ATAGAAACTAGAAAACACTGAATAATTGTTTCATCTTGGTTTGCGACTTCTCACCAGTGCTCACTCACAATTCTAACCAAGACCAAACAAAAGGGCTTCAGGTCTCATCGCTTATATAGTTTTTCACATCCAGCAAGACATTCTATTGTAGGCGTATCAAGTGAACTCTGGAACGATTGTTATTACTTGGTGTTGTTGATACAAGTAAAACAACACCAAGTGAATAACTTAAAGCCCTAGTTATTCCTATACATAAATATATCACAATAGCCGGGCAGTTTAATGTATTCTTTATGAGAATGTAGATTTGACGAGGACAGTTGTTACATAAGAGCCACCATTTGTATTTCAAGAATGATAAAATCTCTAATCTTATGCAACATTTGGATTGCAGTTCATTAACTGAAATGATTTCATCCTTAAGTGTACTTTTAATATAAGTTACCAATAATGTCGTATAGTAGTTAATTCATAATTTAACTTTAGTAAAACTTCATGTTTACATACAGAAATATCTCCTATTTTTGTTAACATTTGTATTGATTACTGAAAAGAGAAGATCATTCATGAACCGAAATTATTGAACCTGGAGATTTAAAATTTACTTTGACACCATTGTAAATAAAGAGAAAACTTGAATCTATTTTTTTTAAAGTTGAGAGTATGAAATTCTTAAAATTCTTGGTATATTGAGTTAATGAGTGAAGCTGTCGCTGTAAATCTTAGTTTTATTCATGTGATGATTCCTTCTTTTACGTATATAGTTCATATGCATATATAGACTTTGTAGAGTAATAACCATCGGTTCATATTAATCCTAGATTGTTTCTCAACTTCACACTTTCTTAATCTGTTGTTTTTGCAATAACAATAATCCTAAATTTGATCTTAACTTTTTTTTTCTTTAGCTTCTAACTGTTACACCGTCAGATAATTCTTTGACTTTAGTCTATGCTGGTCCTGGTACTGCTAGTTTCTTGAAATATATTAACCATACAACTGACCACTTTCCTCCAGATAAGAATCAGATTATCAGACAAGATGATTGTAATCCTTTGATAACTGCTGATAAAATTGATCATATGAACAAAGATCCTATTCAACTGTTTGATTTATCAATTAAATACTTTGAATCAAAATCAGATCCTGAGGATGTGAATAGTTTTCAAAGTGATAATAAAGATGAGGTCAGTAGCATCAGTAGTCTGAGTGAAGAAGAATCAGTTACGTCATCGCCTCAAGATGGTGACAGTGATTTACAGAACGATGAGGATGAGGAAGTGAAAGTGATAAAATAAACAATTGATGCTTATGCATGTGTAATATATATATTTCTGAATAACCGAAATTTTTTATATTTATAATGCTTTTCTGTATCGATTCTTTTTTATATTTAACTATCATTAACTAAACATCGTTGAGATACTTTCTTCAGTCATAGCGATTACATAATATAACGAAAGGGAATTACTTTCTCTTGATAATAATCAATACCAATCATTTCTAATCTGACTCCAACTGACTATCAACCTCCAAAATTACAGTTTGCAACCTTAATGACTCTTGTTAATCTTAGTTACTGTATCGCTTGTTACTAGCTTCAATTTCTGTTACGTCCTTGATCTGTCTACCCAATAATATACAGGAGGGAAATTGTCTCGATCTGGATTAAGGCCTTGACATGATATACCAGCTGGTTTAATCTTGAAGCTAGAAATGGGTGAGTTCGAATAGCGATTAACGGCTTTAGCTAAAGGGACGAGAACTTTTCTATGACCTGATTGGTTGGCAAGCGAAAATGAGTCTTCTGTATCATTATCCGACTCATTGCTGATTCCCAATTGGTATTAATGTAAAATAACACATGAATCAATAGATGACTAAGATGAGCACCAGTGTGCTTCAAAACCAACTACAAAAACCTATCTCTCTCTTGAGATAGAAGTAATCTATTTCAGCATATACATTGTAGTGTCTTTCTCCAAACGCTAAACGTCACATTGTTCCATAAAATTCACCCATTCCATCTAAATTTTTCTCATCACCGTTTTTTTAAAATAATGTTAAAGAAGTGTGTTTCATCATTCGTTAACATAATACTAGATAATGCGACTAAGCACACTAGATAATTAGAGCACTATAGTGAATAACTAAAAAACCAAATAAAGGCCAGAAGATAGGTTTACCAGCACAAATACAAATAGTTCACACGCTGTCAAATCCAGACAATATATCTCTAGTAATTCGGAGATACAACATAGAAAAAAATCGTATTCCTAATTGCAGACGGGCATCTCGGTCTTCGATTGGTAACGACTGATTACCTCCATCGGTCTCGTACTGTTATAGTTGCTGATTTTTCTTTTCTGTACTGAAGTAGCGTTTTAATGCAAGTAACGTGGTCACCGTTGCTTTTTCTCTTACGTTTTGGTCTAACCATCATACAGTTGAGTTCCTAATTACAATGCTGAGTGGCTTTTTTCTTCAAGATGACATAGGCGAAGCTCTTATTGTGATCCATAAACGTTTATTCCATGTAGAAGATAACATACTATGTGAAGACTTGTATCAAACGGCTGCTTACTGTCCCCCATTCTTTTCTGTCAGAAGTTGATTGGATTATTAAGACATCCACGTCTCAAGAAAGGCTAGGAATATAGTGAACACTACGGATGCGTTTGAACGAATATGCCCTGGTACCGCATACACAACAACAAATGGAAAAGACAGCTTACATGGAAATGATTTATGCAGATATATCCTAAAGTTGACAATCAAAAACTCAAGCACCAAAAGTGTTATGATTTTATGTCCGGCTTCTTATCACGTGATTTATCCACCAATCAAAATACGACTTATACAATCTTAGCACTATGTCAAACCAATGACGTTCAGCCGGTATGAGCAGTCTAGCGTCCTTATGGTCCTATGTCCTCCTAGCCCGTCGGCTTGAGTCCAGAATTCAATACCAGCTTCTGCAAAATGAATCGAATCGTTAATTTCAGACATACTCGGTTTATATATCAATCAGACAGATCACAACGTACCATAAAATAGGAAATAACATTTGTATAATATTTGGCCAAATGTGGCTGTGAACATGGGAGGCAGTAGTCAATTATTGGATAATTATTATTGAATAGTTATACAATAAGACTATTTATAGAATTTTAGTCCATTAGTAGTCCTCGGAAGTTACCCATAATTTAATCTTCGCTCTGATATAATAGGAAGTACAAAACATATATATGTTATCTCTAAGATGATAAGCCAAATCAGCACAACAGAATGCAATTATGAAGACAAGTTGAAATAATGATATCCTTTATGGTATCAGATAGCTGAAAAATGGCTAGTAGTGGAATGAAGGACAAACCGTTATGGTTTCACCAGGTGGTGATGAAGTCCACCCCGGACTATAACCCAGTATCTTCCTGTTCAAACTGGTAACGCCAGCCACTAGCTTAAAATTCAATTTGTGATGACTTGAATTATCACTTGGTTCATCTTGAGGGAGCTTTGATCAGTCTTGGTGTATGTTCTTTCATACCCGTTATGTAATTTGGTTGCCAACTGAGTCTCAAATAGAACGAAACGTTAGCCCTGGATTCCACTGCTAGCTATATACTCCAGCTATTCTATAAGCGTGTGTAACAGATGATTACACTTGGGTGATCCGCACATATACCAACCGAGACCCATCAAGACGCAGTAAGGAACATCAAAAACAGGGTAATTAAAGTCAGTACAAATTTAAATATTTATGAAAGCGAAAAAGACTGAAGATTGAAATATATGTTTTACGACAAGACGTAACAGAATGCTGAACTACAAAATTTACTGTAAGATAAAGTATGAATAAAATAAAGACCGATGATAAATCGATTACTAATCATGTTCCAATAAATAAGGGTTCCGGGATTTATCAAAATCGGCAGACTTACAATTGTCAAATGAATATATTCCCTGAATTAGATAGCAATACATCTAACGCAAATAAGATGCTTGATTTCATTGGTGATAACAAGCATAAACACACTATAAACTAAAATGTTTTCAAAAAATCGAAATAAGTAGTTGACGAGACCATATCTCAGTAGAATCAGTTGATAACACAGGGAAAAACCAACTGAAGATTAGAGACGCAGGTTATTGCTTATCTTTGACAGATAGTTTGAATCATAAAACTCGCTTGCAGACTTAATTGCTGTTTCAGACATGGACATCGTGATTGCCTATTTCTAGTTTCGACCCTAAAATATAGATAATGTTAACGGCAACGGCGAATATATTTAATAATTTGTAGGTTGTGTGCATAAATCACCTGAAATCCAAAACCCTAAAGCACAAGACTAGGAAGCAAACTTATGTGGAGTTCAGTATAACTAGTAAACTTTAATGATAAAAATGGGTTTGGGACTTGAATAGATTGACACTGCAATTTATGTGTGTGAAGAAATCACGAACATACATCAGTATTAATAATAAAAATTCATGAAGAAACCGATCACAACGCTTGTTTTTTTTTAATTTAAAAACAAATAGCGATATACCTTAGTGATAACAAACAAACAAAAAAAACCTTGACAACAACAAGAAAATATAATGAAAATGAAGAACTTGAATATAACAAAGTTTTAAAATACGAAAGCCCATTTTTTTGTGTGTGTATACTAGAATCAATACGTTAACCAATAAAATTTAAAAAAAAAAATAAGCAACTAATTTATGGTGTTTAACATTTCATAAATATCCATCAATTAGTGTAACTGAAACAAAATAGAAATAAAATTCATAGTAGAGGAAAGTCAAAAGACAATTTATAAAACATTGAAAATATAATTATATTAAGAGCATAAAATGAGAATGTGTTCATGTGACGACAAAATTTGACATTGTATTAAAGAATAATTATAGACCTAGTTAATAAATTATCAAATTGCTGTTTATAAGGTAATAAAAGTTCAATGAGATGATTTGATATGCAAACGAATAATCAATTATTCAACTGTTACAGATTTCGCCAAATTTCGAGGGCAATCAACCTATTTACAAAGTAGTAAAAGAAAAAAAAATAATTTTAATATTCAATACATTGAAAGTTATTAAAGCTAAATAGAAGTTTCCCGTCATATTAAAAGACTAATATAATAATGAAGATGTTGGGATGATCCAGAAAATTACTTGCACAAGACAATCAAGCATCAGGATTCATTTGAAGTCAGCTAAAAATATCAAGGAAGCGAAAAGTCACATGCAGAGGCTTTGATTGGTTGGCTGCTACACTGCTACTATGTTTAGTAGCGTTCCAGAATCTTCTAACAACCCAATGACATTTAAAATATCATAAAAACCCTGTATTTTCTGTATTAAAATGAACTTTTTAGTAAACTACTCGCATACTTTGCGTCTTCTCTCTCGTGTTCAGGTCGCTGTATAGTTCTAGCTTGGGAATTACAGAATAGCTTAAGAGACGGATATAGCGTTCAATCCGCAAGACTTATCAGAAGACTTCATAATTGTCTTATTTCGTTTAACATACAATTTAATTATGTTTATATATGGTTGATAGATAATATCCTTTATGACTACTATTTTGGTTAGCTTCACAGATTATGGGATTTTGATGAGAATGTTATCTTTAAATTCTTGATGAATCTCAGGTTACAAATCCCAAAACGTGCTACAGTGAATAAGCTACATAAGATTATCCGTAATTTTACACCGACATATTTATTTATCGATGCTCTATTAAAATAATCTGCTAGCTTCAGAACATCAATAATTTCGCCTTGGATGGTCAAACAGTTGGTTGATTGTACAGTTTATCCAAAGCTGTACGTCGATCTATTATGAAACTTGAATCATTTGATACAATAAGTAGTCACTTCACATAGTAAGATAGAATGAATTTAATAGTCTAGTAAAAAAGTAACATTAAAAGGGTGGTGAATAAGGTATAATCTACCTATTGGACAATTTAATTAAAGTGTATCTAAATCGCTTGATATTTAATTTTATTTTATTGTTTTGCATAAAATTAGGATAAAGTTTTGTTGAGAAAAAGCTGACAATTTGAAGAAGCATTGTCTTTTAATATTCTTCATGAGCAACATTATAACTGGGCATTCATGAAAAGGCTACTCTGTTTAAAAATCATATTTATCATTTAAGTTGAATTTACAAAAAATGATGTGGAACACAAAAAAAACCTTCATTTGAAAATGTAACCGTTCAAATAAAGTTTAAATTAAATGATCTCATATGGCCACGTTTATACAGCCACTGCCAGGGAAATCCTACTTACTGCCTTCTCGTGGGATTACTGTCGTTTATGAAATTGAGAGGACAAAAGGCGAATGTCCGGCACTTTAACCGGGTTGGTGGACATGGATAGTCTACCTAGGGGAGTTGGAAAACCTTGATTGCAAACCAATGGCGTACATGGGCTCTAGTATCCTAAGGGAACAAATGGTGTATGAACCTATTGTTGGTCACCGGCTACCATGCAACTGCATCTCTATACGTTACTCCATTGCCTTGTGGATCATACCTTAAGGTCGAAGGCTCCGGGTGTGGCTCCCTAAAAAAAACCACCTGCTTCTGTTTGGGCACCCGGCCAATATCTCAGCCCTCACATAAATCAAGTGAATTGAGTGGCGCATATGTATTCGGTACCCGTTTTTATCAATATTCACGTGTTTAAATAAATAAAAATTGAAAGTAGAGAGAAAAAATATCATAAACCAAATAAAGAATATAAAATTTAAATGTGATGATTACATAACGTTACATCTGTATCTGATTGGTATAGGTGATTTTTTCAGTGTGATATCAAAAGTTTAAAACTAGTGATTTAAATTGCATTGTAAATCTTGATCAAAATCTTTACAATTCTTTAATTAACTTAAATCAACAGTTAGTAACCTCAAACAAATGAAGCTATAACTTAAAATTATTCATATACACATTTCTAATTGAGTCAATGCAGTAATAGTGAGTATTATGAAATAGTGAGAAGGGAGTAAAAGTTATTTTGAACTAACAGAATGGTTTACAATAAAAATGTATATTCTCATATTCTCAAGCTAAAACTTGATGTGTATTAATTTCTATGGTTAAAATAAATAAAGATTTATAAAAAAAAAAATACAACACCGTAGAATAGTAAATTTAGAAAAATTAAAAAGTGAACAGAAACAATTATGAATTGAAATTCAATTGGTATTGTTTACTTGAATCTTTCTATTGATGATTAGGACTGCAATTGATCAGTCCTCTTGTTGACATATCTGCATGCTGTGGAGATTGTCTCGATATAACCTTAAGTCAAAAGATTTTTAAACAAAGATGGATAGTGGATAGCAGTGCATTGCACAAGCAGATGGGTATCAGGACTCAGTAGCTAAGTGGATAACGGAATGGCGTTTGAGGCGAAAGGTAGTGGGTTCGATTCCTAGAGTGAACATCAACTCTGGGATGCAAATACAGCCAGGTGACGAGTCCCAAATAGGACGAGACGCACATCCTGGTTCCCACTGCTAGCCACCATCCATCTTTGCCTATATTAATCAATTGAGTTTATAGGTATCAATGCCAAAGTTGGACTTGATAGTTTCAAATAAATTGAGTACTGGGTAGAAAGCTAATATTAAATACGTTTCTTTGTCATATCCTAATGAATAGAAAAATTATATTTTTGATGTTTTGTCATTTCATGTAAGCCAATTCTTTAGAGTGACTTACATTATGCCACGAAACATTAGAAATACTATTTTTCTATTCATTAGGATACTAAAAATATAGTTATTATTAAACAGAAACAATTAAAATGAAAATAGGAAGAAAAGGATAACCATTCGAAACCTACATCTAATCCACGTTGTACTGCAATATGAAATGAAATCAACTGCAATGGAATAACTGCTAGTACACTTTGTAAACAATCAACTGTTTCAGGTATTTGAATAGCATATGATGCATCTGCCATAACTTGTGAATCACCTTCATTACAAATAACAATCGGATGACCCTGAAAAAAAGTGTAATTCAATCACAATAATCAAAGCAGTTTAATTTGGAAAAGCAACAAATACGTTAGAAACTAAGCATTGCTCTGAATTACATTACATGTATATGATTTACTGGGTCAACAATATAATGCTTATATTTTAAGAATATAGAAATTTATATACATGCTTGACACAGGAAAATCTATCAGTTTTATCAATTGGTATTTGCACGTCTTTATTTAAAAATCACACACATTCACCATGAAATATATTTTGTTAATGAATATGATCACTTTGAACAACAGCAACAACAACAAGTTCATTGATTTAACATTTATAACATATTAGGTCAAGGTTTACGTAATAGGATTGCAATACTTCTAAAATTGCATATATATATATATATATATATCACAGATTATCTAATTGATTTGAAAGAGTAAAATGTGTGTGTTATTCCATCAACTTTATAATTAGTCTCTTTTCTATGTGAACCACTTTTATTCAATTCTCTATTCAGCATGAAACATATAATTATGAAGATTAACAAGAATACTTTTAAAAGATTTGAAATCTAAACGATACAACAATGTTGACTAAATCACAACATGAATTAAAGGTCTTCAATAGCCCATAATTCAATGTTCAAGGTATAAAATGTTAAACTGACTCGTGGATTGATTAACAATACGTGAAAAACTTGTTAGCTCTTTCAAGTACAATGTAGACTGGTTCATGAAACTTAATTATGAATTCTGATAACCAGTAATAGAATAATACTGTGACAAATTACTATTGAATCGTATTATGATTTGACATTATTTTGTGATCTGAAAATTTGAAAAGTTTACTGGAATCATAAAATAGTAGGGAGATTAGTTTATATAGTAGTTTACATAAATGTTTTTATCATCTATAGATGAAATTAACCAAGACTATATTTGAAAAAGTACAATTCATTTATATTACATTCTTATTAAACAGATTGTACTAACATAAATTATCAATAATGTATGATAAATGGAACAAGACTGTTATTATGAACATATTGGATTACGAGAAAAAAGACAGGGAACATTTACAAGAGGGTCCCCGTATGAACTAATTAAAGAAACGAAAAGTAGAACAACGCCTAATAAACTTAAGGTTGAAACTAGTAAAAGCTTACAGTCGTTAAAGGTTAAACTAGGATCGTCATTATGGTCCATGTTATATCCAAAAAGTTGTAACCCTTGTAGACTTTATGGACTTCCAAAGATTCACAAGAATAATATTCCACTAGGACCAGTAGTTGATTTTACATATTCACCCACGTACAAGCTAGCGAAATACTTAGCTAGGATACTTAAGCCGTATGACAAATTGATTAATCATGAAATTAAAAACTATGGAATTCAAGGATGTTATCGATACTATCCATATAGAAGAGGATGAAATGATGGCAAGTTTGATGTATCTTCCTTATTTACTAATTTAGCTGTTAATAGAGCATTGGATATTATTTATGATCTGACTCAGATTTGAATTTATGATGCCTATTAGATTCATCTGAAGTTATCAAATGCTTGGAACTATGTTTACGATCCACCTCATTCACATTTCGAAGAGACCTTAACAGACAGAAACAAGGTATGTAAATGGATTCACCGGTTTCTCCGATTGTAGCGAATTTATTCATGCACTACAAGATCGGCATTAGTGAAAGTTAAGGATAGGTTCCCAAAGGAAGAAAAACAAAATATTGTCTATGAGATCAACTGTCATGAATGTAATGCAGCTTTTGTGGAAGAAACGTTCAGACAATTGAATGTGAGGTTGAACGACAATAAAAAGTGTTTGAAAATTTTTCCCAAATCCTCGGATGACTAAAAGAAACTTGAGAATAAGTCGACGATAGCGTCACATGAGTTAGAAACAGGATACAAGATTATTTTTGAAGGGACCAAAATACTTCAGAAAGGTTTTAACATTCGCAAAGAAAAATTGACAGCACAACCATTGTATATATGAGCGAACAAGAATAGCCTGAACCAAAAGGATAGTATTCAGAAAGCAACTACTTGGCAAATATTCGTTAACAAGTAATTGGACTCTTTCTCTATCCAACCTGTTTATTTTATATGCATCGTCATATTGACGGAAATTAATATGAGTTCCATTCTATCTATATCGTATTAACTTATTAACGGAAATTAAATTCAACGGTTCTAATCAGTTATCTTATTTGAATATGTTGAACAATTGACTGGGACATTAAAATAACACAAACTTTCAATTATAAAAACATTCTTCCTCTTTGAATTCATTCTTTTATCTTGTTTATTTATCTTCATTTAATGCATGCAATGACATTTTTGATTCATATAATCTATAAAAGTTGTATGATTTCTTCACAAATTCACCGATCAGAGACAATATATTGTTATCAGAAGGGGTTTGTGGAGATTTTAGAATTTTCACAGATTGAAATCATGAGTCAATTGAAGCTAGACCACCATGGAAAACCGAGAAGCACTGGACGGCCGTTTCGTCCTAGTAAGGGACTCCTCAAAAGTGCGCATCCACAATCCCACACCCCGCGAGATTCGAACCCAGAGACTAGCAGTCTCGCGCCAAGCGCTTAACCAACTTCGTGGACTGGTTGAAGTTAGACATTAACAGCATTGGATGCCAGCTCAGTGGTCTAGTTGGTTAAGCGCTGGGCGCGAGACTGATGGGTCCTGGGTACGGGACGGCGGATGTGCACAATATATAGTTGGTGAAATTTCTTCTCACAATACTTAGAATTAAATACAATCTATTATCTAAACACACTTTTAATTTCATACCACATGTCTCTTACACAGTAAAGCAGATACCTACTTTAAACATTGTTAACATTGATTGGAGGACTTATTCAAGTGTACAGTTAACTAGAGAATCATGTATTTATTTATATTCGATGATTTTGATGTTTGATGATATTTCATTGAAAAAAAAGCTTGAACCAGATTGTCAGATAAGAAACATTGAATTTACTTCAAATTTATTCGTTAACATTTTATACAACTACATTCATCCTCTTTAATGAGTTATTTTCAGCAATACAATTATGTAATTTATGATTCTCATTTTTATTTGCATATCGATGACTGAGAAACAATTTTTACAACCTTTAACTTGTACTTTTATTTTATTTTATTTATTTATTCCTTCATATAAAACATATTAACACATACATAAACGCACACAAACCCACACACACACACACACATAATTCGTTTCAGTCATTTATTTCCACATCGTGAACTTTTCACATGAATCACATTTAACTAACTCATGTTGTTATCCTATTTACTAAAGTACAACATCCATTATATGATTGGATTAACACAATATATAGATTTGATCTGATTGAACATTCACAAACAAATATTGTTATTTACCTTACGTGCTCTGATTTCTGACAATGCATTCAATGTTTTCTAAATAATAAATAAAACAAAAAGACAAGAATAATATTACTCAAACAAACAAAACATGATTCACGATAGAGAATATAGAAAAATCAAATTGATAAATAAATACTGTTCAAATTGAACCAAAGTAATACACATTTTAAATGTCAACGTGTTAATAAACGATATAGTTAACGTTTGGACAAATTGTTGGTTATATTGCACGGCGACTACTTGACCAAATTCTTCCCAGATTATGAGAAAAGTAGCTTTATTTACTAGGTGTAAGTCCATGGAAAGACTGTCGAAATTCAAAGATATTCTTTCTCAGAACACTACAGACCGAGTAATTTGTCAGTGAAAAAATATCTAAGTAAACCGTACATAAGTCAAATATGCCTGAAATACTTTCAAGTAATAAACCTGTTAGGTTAACTTTAGGGCTCAATATTTTTTCTCCTTCCTAGTCTGACCGGTCAAATTTAAAAGGGCTACTAACTAGGGCAACGCTCTAGAACTATAAGATCTTCCTCAAACAAATATACAACTTGTTTGGTTAGATGACATGGGATAACCAACTGAAAATATTGAATCTAGGTTTCCTGCTATTTGGCACTCGCTACCAACGTGTACCTCTGTATTCTTGAAGAAAGTGATGTTACCTGGTCGATTTGAACGTGCCAATCACGTTAAAGTAAACTGACCGATATAATTCGATGGAAACTTATAAACTAAACAAACATAACATTGGTCACTGATCAGTTAATTATAAACTGAATTTCCGTGCGAAAATTAACCTCGAGACATAATTTGATTTTGATTGAATTGTTTTAAGTCCAGGAATTATAGCTTGATGAAAGTTAAGAGATGAAAAAGGAAGCCAGCATTCTGTACTCAGATCTATCAACATCCTATTTCTTTGGTCAACATAATAGATCAACACATTCCATCCATTTTTTTCCTCTAGGATAGTTAAATATTCTATTATCTCTTATCATTTTCGCTGTAGTTTTTTTTTTCGAATCACAGCAGTTAAACTTTCGTACACCTGCCTCTACTTATCTGCATATGATGATAAACTAGTAATTCTAAGTTCCAATTTACATAGTTGATTGTAATGCAAAATGGGAATAATATCTATATATGTACTTAATTTACTATAAACAAATTGTCAGCATAATGAAACAATCAACTTACTTTAAATAAACGATCACGTGTTATAATCATTATAATAGTGCTTTCACTATCAATCATTGCTAATGGACCATGTTTCAATTCACCAGACATAATACCTTCTGCATGCATATAAGTTAATTCTTTTAATTTCTACGGAAAGAAAAACAAAAGAAAAATATGAATAACTAGATTAAAACAAAACTGACTAATGCTGAAAATCTGTAAAACCACAAAAGTGAAAGTGAATATCAGGACTCAGTAGCTAAGTGGATGATACAATGGCGTTTGAAGCAAACAATACTGGGTTCGAGTCCCGGAGTGGACATCGACTCTGGGATGCAGGTGCATTTAGCTGACGAGTCCCAAGTAGGACGAAACGCGCGTCCTGGATTCCACTGCTAGCCACCATCCATCTTCGCTTAAGTGAAAGAAATTGTTTAAATATTTTTAAAAGAAAAAGATTTAATCTAAAATTGAGCTAAAAATTATTGATACAACGTGTTTAGTCAAAATTGCCCAACTACTTCCTATTCGTCATGAAGTAAAAGACAGAAATGAATACGGTGAATCAAGTTCTTCATAATATATACCATGAAATGGTTTGTTACTTCGTGATTTTAGTTAATATTAGTTGTTAATCAACTTTATGGGTTTTATTATACTCGAATTAACTGATTAACCTATAACCATGTAAAATTCATAGAATTTAAAATAATTTATGTATACTATGACTTTTCAATTTCCAGGCATATCACAGAATCAATCTGTCAGCAATTAAATTCAGGAAGGTGAAAAATTAAAACGAGCACGTTAATTTGACACAGACATGTCAAAATTCAATGATATAGTTTTTCTCTAAATTTGACCAGTTTACGAAATAATTCAACATAGTCTTATATCTCATGATGGTTCCGAAAAACTTTAGCATTGAATTTATCGCATAAAAACATTCATCATTTGAAAATTAACGATTTCCTGTCATATTCTAATTTGATCAAGCATAGGTGATACGAAGCTATCACCGAATTACAAAGCAGATACTATATGTTAATGTTAAGTAATTATATTTCAGCAGTTATTATTGTCCTTAATCACCATTTAATCAAGGCATTTTTTAAATACTTCATTGATGAAACTTATTTTTATTAACCTGAAAACAATCCACTTCAATACAAACATTGTTATTTTACCTGTAACTTTACTGATACTAACACTCATTCAACTCATTTCCATTTAGGATAAGCTTTAGAATTTGATACATGCACGAGATTGTAAAATTATTGATAACAGGCAACAAAAAACAACAAAGAAAGACAGTGCAATTGCTTACTTACCAATGCGCCTTCCAGGCAAGTAGCATAGTTATAACCACGACCCATGACCAAAATGCTCTTTTCATATAAATTGTTTTAGCCAATTCTTGTAATGACGAATCTAACTTTAATATGGAACGTATCTGATCTGGTAATTTTTTAAAGAAGAACGTAAACAGTAAATCAACAATCAGTCATAACATGTAAATAAGAATATGAAAAGATTGCTTAACATTTATCATCCAGTTAACTATAAACATTCTATCGTTCTGTCACCTCGATATCATGTTTCAACTTTTTTTCTGCACTCCGTAGATTGTTTGCTGCTTGATTGAGTGAGCATTTGTGAGGTTAGATCTAATGTGAAAAAATAAGGCTGGAGTATCCACCGACGAATCCTCATCAATCAATGTGATCAGGAGATGGATTGTGCATGCCCAAACATCGCCTACTACAAAATGTATAGTTCGGTGGAGTAAGTGTAAATTAGATGGGAATTAGGAGACGCTAAAACAGCATTGGTATTGGTGCCAACCTCTTAGCTCAGTGAATAAACACTCTATTTATCTTTTGGTGTACTCTTACGTTCCCGCTCGCATTGATTTAACATATAGGTCTGGGATGTCATAAGATATTGACAAGTTAGCTGGTAGATTCAGAACACTTGGCACATTATATCTCACGTTGAGCAAAATAGAATATAATTCTCTTAAGTGAAAAAGACCAAATTATCTGCACTTCAAAAGATAAAATGAATGATTTCATAATTACTGAATGAAACAAAAGACTACTGTAAAAGTAATTGAACAGCACATCGATCATTTGATTTTCAACATAATACGAAGCAAATAAACAAACTGCATATATATTCACAACCAAATTCGAACCAAGTGTGGGGCAAAACATTTCTTAGAAATGAAAATACACTACTACTACACCTCCTAATTGAATTTAGAACTCACTCACCAGACAACTTAGATAGTGCTTCAATAATTGCAATACGCTTTGGTTGAATAGAGATGCGATCTTCAGATAAGACTAAAGCAAACATTACCAGGGCAATTAATTGACTTGTATAGGCCTAATGTCATTGAAAATAAAATGAGGTAAAAACAAAAAAACGGGGATTAAATTAAACAAACTAATAATAGTCAGTAGATCTGAGAAAATTAGACGAAATTAGAACTTATATGTGCGGATTGTTTAAGTTGCAACTATGGAGGCAACCTGATGATTAACAAACACGTTTTGTAACATTAAAAATACATGAACCTATAAATATGTACCGAATAACTAGACTTCTAACAGTACAGAAATTAAAATAGCAAATATGTATAATGACTGAAGTAGAAAGATCAGAGTGACTGAATGATTGGGACTGATTCCTTGTTCACTAAGTCTCAACTTTGCTTGACCATTGTGAAAGCTTAAAGTAAGCAATATATTGCTTAATAGTTCAGTTTTACCGTCCAGTTGATAGAACCAGTAAACAGGAGAACGAGGGTTTAAACCCAGTATTTTTAAACTTAAACATTCAATTCTGCATCAGCTACAGCGTCTACCAACCGAGGCTTTCAGACAGTCTAAGCCATGAAACACAAAGGTCCAAGATACATAAAGAATGCACATAGAAGAAATGATGTACCATTTTGAACTTCTTTGAAATGGTGAAGAATACTTATTTACTAATTGAGAAATGAATTGATCTTCTCAGCATTTGTAGATGTGTCCGCAAACACACTCATAGGGAAAGCCTATGTGGTATATCTATGTGGACTACCTTCGGCCCTGTCAGGACATTGGTTGAACTACAAACGTTCGGGATTAACAAAGTTTTACTGTGAGCTCTAGACTTCTGAAACGTAACCTCCGTGAACTAAGGATGATCAACAAATCGGTTTTCATCCAACACTAATTTTGTCCGAATCTAGATATTTGAGTATATAATTGATCATATTATTTATATAATATTCCAAAATGTATTAAACTAGATTTCTGACATTTCACGACTCAATGAAAATTGTTTTTCCAGGGAATATATAACATTTTTTTAATTAAATGAAGTAATTACGTATGCATTGACATAATTTTGAAAAAGTTACCTTAGTACTAGCCACTCCAATTTCAGGTCCAGCATTGATATGTACTCCACAATGTGATTCGCGTGATATTGATGAACCGACAGTGTTTGTGATACCAAGAGCAAGTGCTCCACGTTTGATACAATAACGCATAGCTAACAAAGTGTCTGCTGTTTCACCTGACTGACTTATAAATACACAAACATCATCACGAAATATTGGGGTTTTACGATCTAACAAATCACTAGCTAATTCAACCATAACTGGTAGTTCAGACATTTCTTCAATGAGTGCACGAGTCTGAGCAAGAGAGATGATAAAATACATAAAGTTTAAAAAGCAATAAATATAATATGCTTAGCATACGAAAAAGAATTCTATAGCACATTGTATAGCAAAAGTCGCTGATATCCAGCATTCCGGATTGATACGTTTATAGGTAACTGGATAGGATATTAATATATTCATTAACCGAATACTTATATGACAACTTAAAGTAATTATATTCACTGATATATGTATGTGTGACTAGCAAGCAGTGGCATCAAAAAATGTTGACATCACAAACTGTTCCACACGAAGTCTTTCGACAGTGTGGTTGTTGTTTTGATACCTTTTCAAACTTACTGTTCGATGCACATAAAATAAGAAAAGAAGTTATACACATTAGCTAAGCAAAATACAACGTTATCATGTTGTATTAATTATTAGTTATTTACATAAATATGATATACTTCATATGATCTTATGAATTTATATTGAATAAAAAATTGACAGTGTTTGACTGTAGTGAGTTTTGTTAAACATCTTGATCCTGAACACGTTAATGTTAAAACCAATTTTTATAACATAAAGTAGATTAATTCATCGAACGGTAAAATTTTAATTTCAATAGTTGAGATCAGGAGTCAAATTGAAGCTAGACTACCATGGAAAACCTGGAAGCACTGGACAGCCGTTTCGTCCTGTTGTGGGACTTACATCTTATCAATTACTATTAAAACTATGGCCTATCTTCAAGTGTTCCATATACAAAAATGATAGATAAAACAATGAGTTAAATAAATTGATCGACTTGAACTAAATTTAATCTTCAAACATTCAAAATACTAAACAAACTTTCATTTACATAAATTGGTGCAATCCAGCATACAGAATCATTGAAATATAATATATGTAACTCCATCAAAAATGAAATTGTCTTATTCTAAGTTTACTATCGATATAGATTACTTTGTGAGACTATGGAATAAATCTGCTACAATCTATCCGTGAAACTAAATCACTATCATCGTTTGTTCGATACATCGATGATTAACTCACTACCGATACTTAAACCACTAGCTAGATCTCACTTTACTAGTGAAATTATAGGAATATTAGATATTTGATCATTGTTATTACTTAGGCATATTTATTGAAATTTCGTTCTTACAAATATTTTACGATTACATCGTATCTGATTAATGTGACCAATTTAAATAATATCTACTCAAATTAGTAAGCCATAAAAGGAGCTAACACAAAGTATAACGACAGAGATGTCACAGTAACTTTTGCTGCTATTGTTCCGTGCTCATTGTTTTTCATTTTCTTCCCTCAATTAGTAGATGGTTATAATTATCTTGCAGCAGCACTGAAAATAGCTTTTGCATACAGTACTTATCCTCAAAAGTGACATACCAATCCACCTAATACGAAAATACTGGTTCCAAACTTCTGTCTCACAGTATTCCAATTCTTGTGACAAATGTCATTTTAAGACAATTTGTGAAAGCCTATTCAAAAGATTTCTCCGTATTAATCAATTCTATAATTAATTTTACGATATCTTATCTGCTTATTGAAAGTAATACTCAATGAAATTATCATTCATTTATTCAGTACGGAAGGCATGTAGTGTCACAACACACACACACCACCACTCAGCTAAAAAAATATCAGAGATTAAATGATATATTGTAGACAGAACAAAAATAATGTCTGTAGAGGATAAAGTACTTACTGCAACTGCGCTATGATAACTAGTTCCACAGCCAATGAATATGAGTCGACGACAACGACGTATTGCACTTAGATGTTCAGCGAGACCACCTAATTTCACAGTATTCATATCGAATTTTATTCGACCTCTCATTGTATTCAACACCGATTCTGGTTGTTCAAAAATTTCTTTTTGCATAAAATAATCATAATTGCCTGGGAATATAAACAAGGGAAGTTACTGACAATTATTCCAATCAGATAACGAATTTGATCATTTTACATTGAAAACGGCAATTAAGTAAATTAAAATTGAGTAGTGAAAACTAAGTGAGTTATCGCATCACTGTCATGAAAACATTTGTAGTTTTATTTATTTCTATGCATCCACTTTTGACGAGTGTCCCATGACAGCGTTTGTGTTATCAAAGAAATTAAATAGATAGAAAAAGAGGTTGGTCACATTGTTTTTGCTAATACGTTTGTTAGTAGAAAGCATGTATGCCATTAGATATTTTCCCGAGACTTTTTCTTTTAGCTGGTGAACATAATATGATATTATCCAGTTAACTGTTATTACGTCTATTAAAAATGGAATGTGAAAATGTGAACCGCCTCGTTCTGTCAGTTTTCGTCTTTTGATTCCTAATTGGATTGAATTGGTCAAATTCTTTTATTTACTAAGATTATCATTTGCACTGTGTTCGTGTAGTATTTTGATTTCATAAAACGAGTTTGTTGAATAAACAACTGTTAAATTCTTTTTAATGTTACATGTTTCAAGGATTTGTGACTCGGATTCGTAGCAATAACTTCTAAAGGTTCATTGATCATAGTTTAATACTGCTCAGCTTCATTAGGTAAAGATTTAATGATTAACTGGATTCCTGTACAAGCGTTCTTTTCAAAATGATATTTAAGACTGAGTTTCCTGAAATGTCCTAATTCGTAAATCAGATAAGCTAAATATCAAGTTTCAAACAATTCTTTTGTTGATTGATGTGTTGTTGAAAAAACAATTTCATGACGAGGTGCATAATGGCATTTTATATTCATAACAAAATCGTATGATCACTAACCGTTTGTGGATTATACCATTTGTATGTGAACAGTGTAATGTTTGATAATTAGATTTAGAGAAAAAAAAACACTTGAAATATCTAAGAAAGTATTCAAAGAAACTGTCTACCTAAAACAACTGAATTGAGAAATGAAAACTTTCAGAGTTCTACAATTTACTACTGATGACTGTTAGTTGGAAATGAAATTATCGCACAAAATAACGCCTGATTGAATAAACTACAGTATAAACACATAAATCATGAATTTAAACAAATCGTTCTAATAACGATTGTATAGAGCCATTGAAATAGTAGTTATTCGTTTTTTCATTAACATTAAAATGTTTGATCATTTTAAGCAGATTAAGCTATTCGTTTATTCATTCATTCACAACTAACAACAGTAAAGCTTGTACAAGGTTTTGTATTTATAAAAATTTCTTCTGCATGACTTTAAAACAAGAACGAAACGAAAAATTCAAAATGCTTGTTAAACATCAAAGGGAAGTAGAAGATTAAATTAAATTGACATCATCTAATGAAAGAGTTTTACTATTCAAATGATGTAGCATCAAATTAAATATCAGAAGTCATAAACTCAAAGCTGACTGTTTATCAAATTCTCATCAATCATTAGTTATAATACAATATATTTGATTGGAAGCTGGCACTGATTTGTGTCATATAGAGATAATGATTAAACTTTAATTTACAAAGAAAAATTCGGATCACATTATCAAACAAAATGATTTTAATTTAGTTTACCTTTCATAATCTGTTGCAATTCCATTTGTAAGGTAACAACTTCACGTGTCGCTGATGCACTTCTTGATAAACGATGAATTGTCAGTTGACCATTACGAACAGCCGCTACATCATCATCTTCTAGAAAAATAACTTTGTCAGTATGTTCAATTAATGCACTAAAAGTAATAGTGGGTATAGGAAAAATTAAAAGAATTTAAGGGATATTAAATATTCATTAATTTTAATAAATAATAAATTAAAAATTACGAATAATATCTAAAATATACGCCAATATAAACAGAAAATGTGAGAAAGAAAAAGTTAAGATTCAATACAACAAATAAATTATTATCAGGGTCATTACATTGCAAATTATAAAAGAAGTGTTATAACTAAGATGATGTGGATCTTCAAGACAGATAAAACAGAAAGAAAATAGTTAATTAAAAACGAAATAGTTAAGTGTTGTCAAATGTATATTCAATCTTTTATTCATTCATTCATATACATTTCTTTAAGGTATTTTGATGTTTGTTCTTAAATGTCTCATTGATCATCTTCATTTTCATCATTTTCTTTCTGTTCTTCCACAATTAGTACATTTGAAGAAATAAGGCATTTTGTAACTAATACATGGCTGTACGAAGTTACATTATGCATATTCAGATAGTTAGACAGTTGGTTTGAGAAACGATATCTTTTCGACATTTCCGCCTATGCACCGACGGATTGCAGCCCAGATGCGATCAAGGATGAGCTTTGCCACCAATTGACTATCCCTTCTACAGAAAGTGCGTTCAACATATTGCAGTACTAGCCAGAGATTTGAATTCTCAGGTCAAGCGTCTAGGCACAGAAGAGAGTCGTTTAGGTGGCCGATGGGGACTTATTGGTCGCAGGACAGATAAGGGGGACCGTCTACTACAACTGTGCACTGACCACAACCTCTTTCTGGCTAGCACTAACTTTCGGCACAGTCATCGCCGATGTGCCACCTGGCATCCTCCCTCTGCATCTCAAGCCTGGACTCGGATTGGTCACATCGCAATCAGCTACCGCTGGCGTGGTTGTGTACAGGACTGAGGCAGGTGGTTTTCTTAAGGAGCCACTCCCCACGCCTTTGACCTAGAGGTCTAGTCAACAAGGCATTACAGCAACGTCAGGAGATGCACTCTCATAGTAGCCAGTGACCAATAATTGGTTCATATGTATTAAGTACCCAATATTTAACAATATTTATGTGCTCAAATAATAAATAATAATACAATCAATTGTATACATTATTGTTACTTTTACTGCGCTGGGATTTAACATGAAATAATTTTGTCTCATTGTCCTAAAGACGTATGACAACTTGAACTGACGAACTCATGTACGAGGTTCTATGTTGCGTATGACTGAGATATGGCAATTTTTCTAATGACAGTTTAAACGACTTGCTGTACAAGTTGAGTTGTTAATAATAGAAATAGTAAAGATTTATTATGCAAATATATTAGGATCTAAGAGTTTACAACACAGGAAAACTCACTAAAAACAATACAGAAATTAAGTACAGTCTCAATTATTTATAGGTAAGGGTCAATGACAACATATTACAGTCTATCGAAAAATAAAGTTTGAAACGTTACAGTTCACTACTTGACAGTTGAATTACCAAGGAATCCAAATTGGTCTATGCAGATACATTTCGCTGCTAGTACTACTAATTCAAGCAGTTAACTTTAAAATATACGGTTCAATATATTAAAATCGTTCATAACTTAACATTCGAGTAGTTAATCAGTACCGTTAGGAGTTATGGCAGATACATCTCATTGGATTATTCGACTAAACTCATATTCTTTGTAGTAAAGCTAACGACTACACGCTAGAAATTGTCCCCTCCAAAAGATCAAATCACTGAGTCATAGTCAACATAGAGCCTGCACCAAATATGCGTTAGTCCAAGTTAATAAACCATATCAACACAGTGATATGAAATTAACAAAACAAATATCGAAATCAGATCACAATAAATTTTCTGAATCTTAACTACTAATTCAACTAGTTGAAATTCGAATGCCAAAACAATTATTTTGGTAAATTCAGATGGAATGTATTTGAAAAATTTACACACGAATCCAGTGATACAGAGATGACTATTTTTTGTTACTTTCACTTACCTTGCACAACTTGCAAAGAAAAACTCGATTTCTCGATGACCATCCGCGCCACTCAAAAAATGTGTCACCTGTTCCATTGATGAATCTCCTAAATCAACGTGCCCATCATTGGATAACGGTCGAATATTATATTTAGTGTTAGAACCTTTAAAATGATTATTAAATCAACAAAAAAGAATAATAACGTAAGCAATAAGGTTAACAGAGGAACGGAAAACGTCTTCGATCACAGACACTTGATTGACACAACGGATCCGCCAGTTAACATTAATAGTGAAATAAAATTGGGGCACACAGAAACTAAGATATGAATAATATCTAACTTAAGAAGTACAAACCGATTTATCCAATTACATGGGACATTATCCGACAATTTTTTATTCGTCAAGCATTTTCGAAAACAGAGTCTCCTGGTTATCAGATAACCATAAAATATCCAAAGACTAACACAGTAATTGACCAATTCCTAGTACGTGAAACAATATTCAAAACTGTGATGATAAGATTGTAAGCATACTGAATAACTCATTGAGCCAAAAGTCAATCAAGATTAGAAATTGGTTGACACAAAAAGGAAATACATACTCGCGAATGAGATCGCATATTTATTTAATATTTACGATAAATTGAGGGGCAAGGCATTAGTTGATAAAGTTTAATCCAACTGTCAATGACTGCACGGACTGATAGCATGTCTTCTTTTGGTTACCTGTACCTTTCACTCTAGTGCCTAATCGTTAACAATACTATAAACAAATAATTAACCGTGATATTTTTGTTTTGTAGCTAACATGTACACCAACGTGCCTGCGCACCTTGAGTAACAATTTAGGCACATTTGGATAATATTTATCTCCCTCCAAATGTAAAATGTTGCTTCAGAACTGGTCCGCGTCGACGCTTGAACTAGTGATAGGAAGTGAAGTAGTTGAATGAGTTAACCAACTCACTTATCTCGAAGACCTGACCGGGTCTAGTGGGTTGGTGTCTGACAAAATCTTGTCACTGGTTCAAAGAACCCAGTGGTGTTTGCTAAATTGAGTCGTTCGTGGTGTAGATGAGATGTCCGTCCGCCAATCACAGGACATGTATATCACGTAGTAGTCCTTTCTGTCATATCTGATACCTGTGAAACAGTCCATGGAATTGGAGACATGAGTAGGCTGGAGGTTTTAATCATAAGTATTTCTGACCTATCGCAAACCGACCAAGTGAGTGTTTTTGAGGTTAGGGACAGGATATCTAGTGAAGATGTCAAACTAGTCGATGGGGTAGTGAACCTTCATCGACTGAGATGTTTAAGACATGTGTTTCGTACGTCTAACCACTGCCTACCTCGACGAGCGACGCTTGATAGTACGAAGATAGGTTGTAATAACGCTATAGGGGGCCGAATCAGAACATCCCATTAGTCCGTGAACTCGCCATCTGTTATCTGAGCCATGTTGGTAGATGCAGACTACTGGGGTCGGTGGGATAATTGTGATTAGTGGTTGGAGAAGTTGGATAACATGACTCAGAATTGTTCACCATTGTTCAGATGCACTCACCTCTTTATCTTCTCTATCCTTAATCCCAGTATGCATTTATTCATGTTGAAATGTAATATGCCCCTTTCGATTAAAAAACCTGCATATATTATCCGACCATTCGGAAGTGAGTTGGATATCTTTGCATATTTTTGTCTAAATCGGTTATCTGTAGAACACCGTGTGCAGCTAAGGTCCTCATTATTGAAAAATAACTATTCCTGTGATTCAGCAAAATCCTAAGCAGCAAATAAACAATTGCGTCACATCCCACCATTTTACAAATCAACAAGAGTCTGTGGTCTAACAAACATAGGAAGGAGTAGTAGTGCTTTGCAAGTCAAAGTGGTTGAACATGTAACAAGATAGTTACAAAAAAAACATAAGATCAAGAAACAAAACCCCTGACTGTACGTAGATTAACCTCCCCCTATGTCCAAAAAATGTTTGTTGAAACTACCGTGGATAATGTTGATTTATTAACCATAATTTCATGATTCATACTGCATTTCTCATCTCTCAATCTATCAGGTTTGACTGTAATCTCCTAAACCCGTAAGTGTCTCAATAAGTTAATGTGTTATCACCTTGTTTGAAATGTATGTGACAAAGTTTAGATAAACTTCGTGTTTTTATTGCATTACATAAATTCATTAGACGGACTAACTGACAGAATTGGTATTAAGGAAATTAATGTATAAAGAAATATACACATTGCAATAACCTACTATTCGGTTTATAAAACACTGGTATATGATTCATTGTCAATTCATGCGGACTTTTAATTCCAACCAACATTGGTGAACCCCGCCTAGGAAAAATGATAGAAACATTTAAAATAAAGAAAAGTTATTCCCATTATATTATTCCAAAATTAAGATTTAGTTTCAATAAACTATATATAGAATACTTTACCGAATAATTACTGTTTGTAATATCCCAATGATAAATTAGTATTTGTGTTAAACTTAAAAGGTAAAACATCTATAAGATTCAGTCAGCCAACCAGTCTTATGGAACATAAAACCTAACATATGCTTCCGATACGCATATAATTAAACACTAGTAACCCACGAGTATTTTCCATTCTTAATGATTATGTGATGTGGAGAGCCAGTCAGAAGTAACTAAATGAGGTCAATCAATGGCAATTAGAAATTATCTGAAGGACAAGTACGTTTCATCGGCTAGGAAATGGACTGCTTTTCTAAGGGGTAAAGTTGTAGATATATATGAGTATTTGTGCATTTTATTCAGTAGCCCAATATACTTTTTCGTCCACTCTTGTGTTCGCGCTCAAGTAGTTGGGTGGAGAGTTAGCGTCTAGCACATCGTGTATCAATGTCGGATTACGGACGCCACCCATCATAAAACAATGTTCTACAGTCATACGGTAGAACGGAGAGAACTGCCGTGAAGTAAATTCGTCCTGTGGTTGACAGACGGACCTCTCACCTACTCCATAAATAACGCGATTTGGCAAAAACCAACCGAGCTTTCTGAATCCGTATCGAGATTTCATCAGATACCAGACTATTAAGACTGATGAGACTCCCAAGATAAGTAAAACGGTCGATACGCTCAACTACATGACTCTCTACTATTAATTCAAGAACTGATGTAGGACAGCTTCAAAGTAACTTTCTGCATTTCAATGTAGAGAGTAGCATACCGAACATGCTTGCATTGTTGCTTAAGGTGAACATAAGACTCAACCCAAAGAGATGGAGCCCGGCAGCTAAGCATTGTTGTATTCGCCATTACGTGGTGGACGTTCATTTTCTAACGTTATAAAAGTCATTTGGGTTTTTTGGAATTACAATGGACCAAATTCCAAAACTCACTGTATAGAAAGAATTATATGCATTTATAAAATGCTAGCCAATGAGTTTTCAACCGATTATTTAATGGTAATGTAATCGTTATGAAATAATGAGAAAGAATTAGTTGTAGAGATAAATTATCTTAAATAAAACTATGAGTAATGTTAGAAGACATCTACTCCACCGAGACATATGGTGTTTAGTCGGTCCACATATATTCTTAAAACTTTATGGTAAAAACTTGTACTGCTGAATCGGAAAATTAAATGAGCTAAATTTTCCAACACTTTAATATCTGATGCTAAATGAGAGAATTTAATGAAATATACCGAGAAAGTAACAGAAACACTTACTGACCTTGCCACAACACATTCACCAGGGTAGTAACAACTTTTGGATGCCAATGCAAACGATCCTTCCTAAAACATAAGGGGCAAAATAGAACACAATAGTTCAGTAACAATCAACACATTGTCTATAATATGCAGGATTCATACACATGGATATATTAAAAAATTTCGTATAATAGATTTCTAATACGTCAATTTAAGTTCATTACATTAATCAACTAGTTCGTAATGGAATATGAACACAAACAGATTCAACGTGAAACTTTGAACACAGGCTCTTAAATTTAAGCTATCACATGTAACAACGAAGAATGTTCAAAAGAAAGAAAATATGTAGATAACAAAGGTTATGGGTTGAGAAGAAAAAAATAACAAGTAATAACATTTTGAAGAGTTAGAAAGTAAAAAGAATGCGTCTGTTTTTTTTTGAAACCTCATCGAGCCACACCATTTAGGGTCTCTAATAACTTATTTCCATAACCTCAATGAATTCATCGAAATAATTTGCAGCTCTTCACATAATTCACAGAAAAATCAGTGAAATCATGAGCTGGGTACGTATTAGCGAATGACCAGTCTTAGCTTTTATCCAACATAAGCTTATATTATCCAGTATCGTAATCTACTTAAGTTATGTACCTATAACTCCTATCACTGAGAGACATAAAGTAGCACATAACGGGCATCTTTTGCAGTATATTCACTCTTAAGTTGATAAAAGGTTGGTAATTGTGAAACGGGCTCATATTTTCGCTGAGATATCGTCGGTAACTCTGACTTCTCAGGGATGATGCAATATTTTCAATAAGTCGCATACACCCACAAACACTTCATTTCCTATCCACAAGCTATTTTTAGTGAAAACCATATATATATATATATATATATATATATATATATATATATATATATATATATATATATATATATATATATTAGCAGACTTACCAGTTGCTGAGCAACCAATTCAACAACTTCTAAAAAGGTAATAGGATTTTCTTTATGTGAATCATAAATCATTTGCATAAATTTTGGAATCACTTCTGTATCTGTTTCAGATTCAAATATATAACCGCGACGACTCTATGAGTGGTAAGAGACCATAAAAAGGGTTAAGAAAATACATTATGCATCGGAAATTGAATAAAAAAGACAATGATAATAACACTGACAGATGTTAATGCCATAAAAGGTAAATCTATTACTGGGCATGAGCGACTTCATCCATCAAATAGATTAATGGATGGAAACATTTTATTCTATGATGAGTAATTTCAGGCTGTCGACCAAACTTTCAATTCCGTTGTAATATATATGTAAAAATTATACACTAAAAACTCGTCTTTCCTGAGGTCAGATCCCCCGAATTCATCGTCGAAACCCTTATTATTGTGCTTTTCGAGTCATAAATAAGTCGGTTAGACACTAAGAATTACAGTTTTATTGCCTTGGTTTCACATTTAAAAACCAAACGGTACTCATTATTATCCGAAAACCGAGAATCAGTAATATAATTTGAATGTATATACATCAATCGATCTTTAAACACTGGACTATGTTGTAGCTAACTAGCTCCTAGTATAGTTGAATCCGACCAGTCAAATATTCCTTAACACAACCAATAAGTACAGTGAATGAACTATGACTTAGTTGAATCAACATTTCGGAATAGAGATAATACAGATTGAGAATATGGGAGTGATGCTTAGTAGGCCCAATCGATCATTATTCTTAAGCGAGATAGTATTTTATTTCAATATATAAATTTCATCCGGAATACCTCGGATAATTCATTGGAAAAAAACATGTATGACGTGTAAAAAATGGTTTACTTTGTGAACTCTAAAACCTACTAATCTGTCTGAGATGCTCTTTGTAACCAATACATTTGAATGAGATGAAGTAAATATAACACGAGGAAATGTTACGAACAAAGCAAGGCAACTGGTATATATAAATAGGTTTCGCAGAAAACGTAACATTTCTAAACAAGTCTCGTCCAGATATAATTCCAGTCATCACCTGATTACTTCTGAACAGTTCACCACAACTTCGACTTCACATATCATAATAAATATAAGATTTCATTGTCTAACAAATGAAGTCCTCGCCAAGAAACTGAAAGATGCCAGGTTTAACTCCAGAATGTGTTTACCAGTGACATGTATTGCTGTTCCACTTTTATTAACACCACTTATTTTATTAGGATCTATATTTAGACTAAAAATTTAACTTACCAGTAATGCCCTAAGATCTACGTGGTTGGTTATAATACCATTGTGCACTACAACGAACCCGTTGTCAGGACCAGAACGTTGGGGATGAGCATTTACTTCATTTGGCTCCCCATGAGTTGCCCATCGAGTATGCGCTATGCCAACATGTGTTGTGATTAGTTCATTTGGAAAGTCATGATCGGTTAGAAACTCTAAATAAACGATACATTATTCTTAAATTAAACTCTTGACGTATACAGAATAAGTTATGCGTAGATCCCACAAAATAATTCCATATTAACCATAACAAAGTGAAGTGTTCCCTAATATAACCATAATATGATCCCAAAATGGATATAAGTCGCTTAACATTCTTAGGTATCTTGATGATAACTACTCATAAATATGAGATGTCTCACACTTTCTGTTTTCCCACAATGAATTGTAATTCAACATATCACTTAGCTAAGTGATAGTGTTACTACTACTCTCAGTTGACAATCTCCCTAGAACTAATGACTGCAAGATAATCTCAATGATAACCTAACGATAATTAATATAATTGAATTAGTACGATAATGACGAGTAGAGTTTACTAAACAACTTGAATGGACAAAAACTATAACCACTCCCTTCGTCCCGACATTTCATGTCCGGGTGGACCGCAGTGATAATCAAAGACATCTATGGCTTTAATTACTAATTAGCTAAAATACAGCTTGGCAAATAATTCAACCGACCTAATATTACAACAGACAGTCATATTCCATCAATATATAGTCTAGCATATCTGAGATGGTTCAATTCCCAATAACTGAGATAATTATAACGAAAGAGATAGCGATGTAGTAGCAAAGAAAAGAAGAAAGACTAAAGCTGTTCAGGTTCGGCCCCCTATAGCGTTATTACAACCTATCTTCGTACTATCAAGCGTCGCTCGTCGAGGTAGGCAGTGGTTAGACGTACGAAACACATGTCTTAAACATCTCAGTCGATGAAGGTTCACTACCCCATCGACTAGTTTGACATCTTCACTAGATATCCTGTCCCTAACCTCAAAAACACTCACTTGGTCGGTTTGCGATAGGTCAGAAATACTTATGATTAAAACCTCCAGCCTACTCATGTCTCCAATTCCATGGACTGTTTCACAGGTATCAGATATGACAGAAAGGACTACTACGTGATATACATGTCCTGTGATTGGCGGACGGACATCTCATCTACACCACGAACGACTCAATTTAGCAAACACCACTGGGTTCTTTGAACCAGTGACAAGATTTTGTCAGACACCAACCCACTAGACCCGGTCAGGTCTTCGAGATAAGTGAGTTGGTTAACTCATTCAACTACTTCACTTCCTATCACTAGTTCAAGCGTCGACGCGGACCAGTTCTGAAGCAACATTTTACATTTGGAGGGAGATAAATATTATCCAAATGTGCCTAAATTGTTACTCAAGGTGCGCAGGCACGTTGGTGTACATGTTAGCTACAAAACAAAAATATCACGGTTAATTATTTGTTTATAGTATTGTTAACGATTAGGCACTAGAGTGAAAGGTACAGGTAACCAAAAGAAGACATGCTATCAGTCCGTGCAGTCATTGACAGTTGGATTAAACTTTATCAACTAATGCCTTGCCCCTCAATTTATCGTAAATATTAAATAAATATGCGATCTCATTCGCGAGTATGTATTTCCTTTTTGTGTCAACCAATTTCTAATCTTGATTGACTTTTGGCTCAATGAGTTATTCAGTATGCTTACAATCTTATCATCACAGTTTTGAATATTGTTTCACGTACTAGGAATTGGTCAATTACTGTGTTAGTCTTTGGATATTTTATGGTTATCTGATCTGACTATCTGTTTAATCCCTAGAATTGATAGTGTATAATAATTACATCCTTTTCTCAAATATTATTACTGACATGTGCCTTTTTAACACGTTTTCCTAATCGATCGGTAGTGTGGCTCAGAGTCATTTATTGTTAATGCCTTTTCTATGTTTTTGCTTTCGTTAACTACCACAGGCCACGATCATTGAATAAACGTCTCGTTAGTTTATATTTGAGTTGTCGCTTTTCATAGTTCCTCAAACTCTGTCAATCTAGTGGACGACACTGAAATCCACTGGTTTTTCCTAACTTTCTGATATAAGTAGTCGATTGATATCGTTTTTGTACCTTCAGCTGCTAGGACATCTTTCCGGATTTCTTCCGAAACTTTATCTGTGGTCGACAAGCTAATTCTTTCCTGAAGGGATCGTTGACTGCATGATCGAACTGACACCCATGAGATCTTCTTGATTCAACTTTTCCATACATTATTAGATAATTTACTTCTACTCATGCCGAGCAGATCCAATTACCATTTAATCTTCCGGAAATCGCTTGGTTTTGGGATTATATAAAGTCAGTCCTGTGGTATATTCACGATAATTAACTAAAAATTCGGGTACTGAAATAATTTATGTACATATAGAAATGTTTAGTAACAAATAGACTTAATAATGTGCAGGTGTATAATAAGAGACAGTGAAACACACCTTTAACAGCTTGTCCCAGTGATGCTACTTTTCCTTTACAACGAACAACTCGAGTAAACGTTTTGTGAGACCCATCATTATTAAATAAGTCATTCTGTTCTGAGCAAACGGCGTCGACTGCTAGTCCTGCAGAATCATAACCACGATATTCTAATCGATGTAAGCCATTGAGCAAAGTGTTTACGATGACTTGACGTGTAACCGGAACTTGATAATTTAGGTACGCAAATATTCCTAAACCAAGAGAAAAAAGTTGTTAGGTCTGTTGGTAATTGCGGGATTGAAAATCACAAGAAAGCAACTGATTAGGACATACATAACCTATATACAATGTCAGGACCTACGAGCCTAGTTGTTTTTAACCATCCAAGTAGTGAATTAAACCAACCAATAAAAATTTAGTTCTACAACTAAACTTAGCTTAATTTACGGACGATACAAAGCTCTTGCCTAGCATAAGATGCGTCAATTTTCACGAATAAGTAAATTTCCATTACATTTTGACCTACAACTCATGGAGATGATGTACGAAATTATGATAGTACAACTGTACATCACGCGAGTAACATAGACACTAGAAAAGTATGATGATAGAGTACTATTCCAGGTCATCTATTAATAATTGTGTCACTATGTGCATAAGGACTTCCTAAGTTACTTCAGTTGGTAGGGTGACGAACGCATCTACGAAACCTAGCGATCCCCTAAAACTACTCCAAAATGCATTTATATGTAAGACTTTGAGCTCATGTCGACAAACTCCTGCCTGGTAATGTGATAGCTTCTGGTATCCAGAAACCTTACTGCCCTGAAACAAACTCAATCATTACAAAGTATACAAATTCACAAATAACATCAAAACTGACTGCAGTCGAGTGACTAAACCACTACACATTGAACATAACCAAATACCCTAAACCGTACAGAGACAACAACAAGCGAGTGCGAAGAAACCAGTCGACTTATAAACGCTCATAACAAAGATATTGTATCTTGGGAGTTACATTTCCACGTGATACTGCATTTACCACTCGATTATCAACATAAAGGAGAGAAACTAGAGTTCAGATAATAATAAAAAGCACAGGTAACATTCAAATAGGTTTTTCTTCGAACATAAAATCCCAGAATATGCTACTTCTTACATACCACACATCCTACGGTGAAAACGTAACGACAAACGAAATAAAGCGCTCAATCTTCTAGCATTCAATATTTGCGTACATATGCCCAGTTCAAAAATTCACTATCCGAAATCTCTGTGATAATCTTATTTTAGTCAGTTGATATCTCTGTGCCTACGTATTGTTGGTACGATTCATTTCCAGTTTGCCTCCAATCCGAAAACTTTATTTCGTCGAGCAGCCTCTCTTCGACAGGACAAAAACCAGGATTTCCCAACAATTTGGTCCAAATAGCCTAATCAAAAACGTAGGTGGTGTCGTCGAACTTCTGACAAAACAGTTCACTCGGACATTTGAAACGACCCCTACGACTATATCGATGAGCGCTTCACCTGCAACCTCACAGGGCATTCGGAAGTGAACCCTAGCGTTTACTTGGTGTAGCGGAAACTACAGCACGTGTAAAGACACTTTTCCTGGCCCGAATATAGTTAAGTCTGCTATGCTGAGGGAAGCAGCTTTAATCTTGGCAATACCGCTTGGCGTCATCTCAAATTCACTAAGCTGAAGCACACTAACAGAAAATTGGATGCCGGCTCACATCAAACAAATTTTCAAGGGATTTCGACGCGAAGAATTTTCAAGACACCAACTGGTGGCTCTTCTCTTCATACCCTCAAAACGCATGGTGTCCCTTGTGTACGACAGTCTACACGACTACTTACCATCCATAAACTTCTTTTGACCCCAACAGCAGGGTTTCAAAGAAGGCCACTCATGTATAACTAACCTGTTGACCGTAGCAGAAAAATGGACAATCAAACTTGTTCTCAAGGGGAAGGTTGACGTCATATACCCTGACTTCTCAAAAACTACTGATAGGGTTGTGGTGACCTACTTTCATTAAGGGAACGCGATTGGTGTGATGCAAACAATTATTATTATAACCAGTTGTACCAGGGATTGTTTTACCGTAGTTGTTTGTTTAACTGTACCAAAATACATGCATTCTCTTGTTGATTGTGACCTTGCATGAATTCGGTTATGCTCAGTAACCCCACTTATAACCTGAAACGATCTCCGCATTCTTTCTGTACCACGAGATCGCCAACAAACACATCTCGACTACAGCCATCAACTGCCTTCTGATATTTGGCCTACGGGTGATCTTATCGGTTAACTGGCACGTAGTCTTCCTGTAGTAGTGATCATAGTCAACCGAGACTCGACGTCACACTACAGAGTCAACTATATATGTCTTATCAATATACTCTGATCATCAGGTATCAAATTACCTCTAATCGATTGGTTCACTTAGTATTTAAAAAGTTGATATTATGAGGTCAGGGTTGACTTCACTTTCTCTCATACTATGGAGTTTTTCAGCAAGGTCTTCCAGTGCTCAGTAATGGGATCTCTTGCTTTCTTGATTCATATAAACAATCTTCCACAGCGGGGGTCGTCGTATTTACCGCTTTTCACCGAGGATCTTAAACTGGAGAGAAGAATGAAACCAAGAGTATAAACTGCCAGTTTTTACAAACTTGATCTCATTTTAGATGGTTCATGCAGCGACAACTACATAATAGTCTGGACTTTGGGATTTTTACTGAATCAAACAAATGAAAAGTGGTCCACGGCTTCAAGCGCCTTGGAATTAGTTGCATTACTACTACTGCCACTAATATTATTATTATTTATTTAGCCGGGAGCATTGTGCAACACCACATCACCAATGTTTATTGCACATGTGCTTTGTTCATTTCAATAATTTTCAATAACTACATTTCATATAAGTCGTCTTCTACCTTATGCTTGCAACCAACTTGTATGCAACGTCGGCCGGTAGGTATGAATGTAAATAACATTGAATCTAGAGCATGTCTCAAGAATACTGTTAGGGATGCAGAGGAATATACCAATCATTATCATGTTAATTCTAATGATGTCCTTGGATTTTAAATGGACATTTCCTATTGGTCGATATTTGTTCGTTCGTTAAATATTGTACAAAATGTTGTTTTCAATTTTATGGTACGATGTGGTATGCTTGATTGGTATATAAACAGAGCATGTTTGAAATATAACGATTCATATCTCAGAGGTTGTGTCTCGTGTTCCGGACTCAATTGACTGGGCTAGACAGGGAAGCGGGACCAATCAGAGCCCTAGGTCGTTCGTACGTGTTTACGTGTCACCGGATCGATCTATAATACACTACTCTTTAATCTTTCAGTCAAGGACGCAACGATTGCCAAGGGGTAAAAATTGACCCAAGTTTGAAGTCACAAAAATTGGCACGGGGTAAAAATCGACCGGTTTTAGAGCCATAACAAATACACTCATGAATAACAAATGACTTTTAGCTATCTGTACAGAATGCATACAATTATCAAGAACTTTTAATAAACATTCATATGTATTAGTAGTACCACTAAATTCCATCCCTGAATGCTTACTTTCTCATCGGCGTTTTCGGAGAAGTGCCAGGTTTCAGCTCAAATTATGTTCTTCAGATTCAATTGAAAACATATTTCTGAACTTTCTTAATTATATTTTAGTCCTATAACGTTGATATACAGACAGGTCTGTCATACGAATGCCCGAAGCTTGCTCGGCAGACGATCGGAGATGGGTGTACAGATTGACTCTTTCAAGCCAGATGTAGTCGTAGTCATAGAAACGTAGTCGGCGCAGTCTATATACAGTATGGAAGTTGATTCTGAAGATTTCATGCTAGTAAGAGTCAATAGAACCCAGAAGCGTCAAAAAGGATTGGCTTTATTAATGAGAATAACTATTCCGTTTATCGTTATTTATAACGTATCGCATGAGAGTGGGACTTGTGAACGAATTGGATGCCGATCTGAATGCAAAGGTAAAGCGCTGATGATAGATTTGGTCTGCCGCAGTCCAAGCTATGAGGCAACTGAGGACTTGACATACAGTCTCAATACTCGGTTAAAAAGTAGTCGATGTATAATCTTAGGAGGCTTTAATGCATCTACGGTGGGCTGGAAAGATCTGAGAACTGGATTGTCTGAAAATTTCTTCAAACAGGAACTAGTTGATGTGGTTGTGACACGTGCCCTAGTGAAACATGTGATTGAAGCAACTAGGCACGAGCCGGGCTATGAATCATTCTTACTGGATCTTATATTACCTCGACCCTCAGTAAGTGTAGGTTGTCCGATGGAAAAAATGCTAAGGAATCTATAGGGTGCCCGACTCGCTTGTATTCGTGTATAAACCAAGGGACTAAAGAAAGAGGAAATATTCCAGCACTATGAAAAGATATTAATGCCTCATCATTATAGAGGACGACCGTGGTTAAGTTCAAGTATTCTCAAACAACTTAAGTAGTGCTTATTCCGTAGAGACACCCTGTGAACTTAAACACCACCCATACAGTGAACACTGTGACCATAAATAACTCGATGCCTCTGGCCTGCTAAATAAGCTTGATATAGGAAAACTACAAGATCCGGTGAAACAGCCTAGGTTACTAAAAGAATTACCACATTTCGTTGCGAACCCTTAAACATTTGTTCCGTAACCCATGGTCGAATACAAAAACGCCACAGTAAGTCTCATCTTCACAACAGGAACGGAATATAAATCTGAGAACGACCGACCTGTTGGGCTTATCAGCGTCGTTTGTAAAATTTCAGAAACCATTGTTCGAGAGGAGCTGTTTAGGTATCTTGACAAAAACCTGATTATTTCTGAAAGCAGCTTGGTTTAAAATAGATTATTCCTGTCTCACTTACTTATTAGTAGCTTGCGAAACGTGGTGTTCTCTTAAAGACCAAAAGTTAAATATAGACCTAACCTACATTAATTTCAGGAAAGCTTTTGACAAAGGTCCTCACAATCGGCTGTTATATAAGTTAAGAAATGTCGGGGTTGGAGGAGAACTATTAATGTGGATAGACGACTTTCTAGTTGGACGCCAACAATGAGTACGGATAAACTCGAGGTTACGTAACTAGAAAACTGTGCTTAGCTGGGTGCTTCGAGGCACAATTTGGGAGTCAATGTTGTTCCTCACGTATGTGAATGATATTACCAGACTCTTATCACCACCAGATATATACTATTATAATAAGATATAAAGAGTGATTTGAACTGAAGGTGAAAGTTTAGAGATTTGAAGTAACCCGGTGAAATTATCCGAATGGTTTGGAATTCGGCAGTTGCCGACAAATGCTTCCGAAACATCATGATGCATTGAGAGTCTTCGCTATCTGAGACTTAAGAACTACTGCAGTGTCGTGTGATATCTGACGAGGGTTTTAGAACCTTATGGTTAATATGTTGAGTTTTTTCCAGGTTGATGATATAACCGTTTCGAATTTATATAGAGAGTTCGTTCGTTCTGAACTCGAATACTGCATACAAGTGGCTGGCCCTTAACTTCAAAGACACAGTAAGCTATTGTAAAGGGTTCAAAGAACCGCAAGTAATCTGGTTCCCAGAGTAGTGAAGCTCCCATACGATGATGAATTAGCCTAACTAAACCCATTTCTGCTGTCATATGGAGTAACCAGAGGTGGTTTGATCATATTTTTAAATTACTTAGTGATAAATTTGCATTTATATGCCCTCATTTTTCTTGTCTTCTAAGACAGTGAATTTAGGAGGACACTCAAAAGTAGTCCACAAACCCATGAAAACCTACTTCTTAGCTGACTGTCGACTTTCTCATCGAATTAAGGCACCTAGCCTATTGTCCTTTCGAAACAAACTGACATGGTGATTTGTCTCATCAACTGGTGCTCCTCTACAACAGCTTCGATTTTCGGGGTGATGAAAAGACTGCGGTTCCTACCAGCTTTATAATTCAGGAATTTGGACTGATATGAATCGAACTTATAATTGGGTAGAAAATAATAGACATATCCAGGTATCATTACTGAACTGACGAAATCTAATACAGATGAACTGCTAGAATGCCACCTACTGAACATAGACAAACATTCGTAACCGTAGCAGGATGAAATGAAATGAAAGCAAATATACTAATCGAATTAAACGAACGCGTTATAAATATATTGGATATTGGATAAGACATGTACGTTGCACTGGAATAACGAAATAAAGAGCAGTAATTAGAGATGTGCGTTACCTTTTCTTGGTGGGTTGTTTTTCAACTGTTGCTGGTAGTTCTATGCTAATATGGCAAAGTGCAGTATTTCAGGAGAAAAATTCATTAACTTTGTGTTCAGCCCTTGCATCGGGTTGCTTGTTAGTCCTGATGTTAATGAACTATGCTTGCGAGATAATCTGACTTTTGAGGAATTATTAAGGCCATTTAGCCAACTGTCTAAAGATGGTTCGTTCCTAATTTTTCCTCATTATTATTTTTAGTAACGTTTAGAGACAACAACAACGTCATCCATTCTGTGAAAAATTTACAGCTAAAATTTTTTGATGTCAATTCCTGTCTTTCGCCCAAACACATAACTCAGTCTTGGGTGCGATACTTTGTTAACATTTGCTCTACAGATAATACTGTCAGGTCTCAGAAGTTTTGTGATGGGAGTCGGTCTGTAGTCGTTCCAAGTATGTCTTTTTATTCACAATACTTTAACTAAATTTCTCTGTATGGTCGTAGTGTTTGCTTAGAAGTGCAATAAGCACACCTAGTCACTTGTTTGACATCTAAGCTGTTCATATTACAGTTCATTTGATCTGTTTGATTTGCCTATTCCTACTATAGTGAATCAAATATTTCTCTTTTTGGATTCTCTTGTCCCTCTATACGTTTTCAGTTTAATTTCCATTGGCCCACCTGAAACTAAGCAGCATTCATGGGGTGACAAGTTTGTGAGACAGCTTACGATAAGTGAATCTGCTGCTCACGAAAAATCGGGGTGTTTTTGTTGTGATATGATGCATTGCTGATCTCTTTTTGATAAGACTTGTCTAAACCTATTTTTGAATGCATAAAATAAAGCAGTCTTGAATTATTTTAGGAACTCGTCTCCAATTAAGTCATGTAATCTATCATCATTTTGAAAAACTATCACATTGTCTTCAAAACTTTAAATCATGATGATTAAAAGTATTTAATATGTCACTGCAAGACAATCTCAACTACATTATTGCTGACATGAATGAACAATTCTCCGTGGAATTGTCGTTTAGGTCTTGATACCAATGGAGTAATAAACGTTGCATATTTTCCATGGCGTTGAATGACCGCAACTTGGGACTCTGAAGAGTTGTGCCGTAAACATGCGTCAAGTGAGAGGATGTGACCATTTATTTGGGTTAAAGTAAAGCTTTTTATCTTACAGTTTTGTAAGCGAGAGTATTTCATTGATGCTAACATCGCAGATGTAATTTGACGAAAGCCGATAGCCTATCTGTCACTAACCTCCTAGGAGTAGAGTATGTGTGGTTGATACTGCTCTATTACAAATTACTAGTTAATCTCTTCTGTGCTATCTAGTGTTAATTTTAAATTTTAAATACTTAAACCCTTACATATCAAAACCAGTACTTATAAATTTGCGTCGATTAAAACCAGATTCGTTTTTTTCCTACGTAGGCCTATCGAAATATTTGTATGATTTAGATTTCGTCATTTAAGTCTATTACTTTTATAAACACAAACATTGGACAATAAGGCACCAAATACATATGCGTCACACACATCCAATGATTTGTGTGAGGGCTGAGATACTTCCCGGGTGCCCAAACCACTCCTCACGCTTATGACCCAGAAGTCTAATTCACAAGGCGATGGAGCGACATTAAGAGATGCAGTCCCATTGTAGCTGTTGACCAACCATAGGTTTATACGCCATTTGTTCCCTCAGGATCTTGGAGCCCATGTGCACCGTTGGTTTGGAATCAGGCTTTTCTAACTTCCCCAAGTGGATGCTCTGTACCCACCAATCCGGTTAGTGCCGGATATTCGCTTTTCGTCCACTCATTTCCTAAATCAAACCGTCGCAGGAAGGCAGTGATCAGGACTTCCCTGTGAGTGGCTGTATACGCGTGGTCATGTGAGTGTTTCAAGAGAGAGGGGAAACTCTACACACCCTCAACCGTACCAGGGCATTTGAGCCATTTTGTGGGGCTTCTTATTTCCTTCAAAACTATCAGTCAGCAACATAATCTCACTAAAACAAGAAAATATTCATCCGTTGCCGTCTTTTCAAAGACACTTGGAACCTACTAAGTGAATGTTTCATAAAAGGGTTTAATCAGTTCACTGTTTTGATAGTCTTAAACTTAATTTTTGTTGAGAGTCTGTAGGAATTTTAAGACTTTAAGATACTGTAGAACCTTCGTGCCGAAATAACCGATACTAGTTCTTTTTTAAGATCGGGAAACGATTAAGGACTGATTGTTTTTGGAATATATATATATATATATATATATATATATATATATATATATATATAGTCGTGGTTTCACGCAGATATTTTCCGTTCATTGAGTTGCTACGTTTTTGTACAAATGTGTCCTTACTATCCAGGTTTATTGGAGATTATTGTGTATCCTCCCAGTCCATGTTCTATTTTTAGAAGATTCAGGTAATGTAATCTAGTCAGAGAATATTAGACAACAGAGAAAGTAACAATAGTACAAGAAACTTGTTGTTTTACTGACCGATTTCGATAGAAATTGATATTTATTGCGGTCTAGATCATTTTTGAAAAGGAATAACGTACGCCTCTTACCCTTTATGGAGGACAGGTCGCTGACCAGAAATTTTCACCTTGCTCTGTTCCGTTTTATCCGTTCTAGTTGTTATCCAGTGCTTTTCATACTCTTGATATTTACCTCTGATTGCCGGCATATTGTGTTCTTGGTCTGCCTCTTTTCTTTCTACCTTGAGAATTCCAAGTAAGGGCTTATGATAAAGTTTGATGATTTGTACAGCGTATACCCTATCTATCTCCAACTTATTTTCCCAATTCCCTCTTCATCTGAAATCTGGTTTTCTCTGCCACAGTAGGTTATTGCTGACGCTGTCTGGTTAACGGATCTGATATATCTTGTGTGGACGGCTGTTTATAAATATCTTTGTCTTTTTGATGATCATTTTAGTGGTTCTCCAAGTCTCAGTTCCGTACAGTGGAATTATGCTGACGTTTGTGTTGGAAATTCTGACTTCTGGAATACGCCGTTTGCTTTGGCAATCCTCACCTTTACATCTTCATCCGATCGTCTTCGTTCATTGATGTTGCCCAGCTACGCGAAAGTTCCGACCTCTTCTAGAGCTCCATGAAGTGTGATTGGGTTGTTGTTCTCTTTGTTGTATTTGAGGATCTTGGTTTTCCATTGTGTATGTTGAGACCTACTGATACAGAGGCTTCTGCCACACTAGTTGTCTTCATCTGCATTTGTTATTGTGTATGGGATGATGGAGCAAGACCATGTGCGAAGTCCAAATCTTCCAGCTTCATCGAAGCTCCCCATCGTACTCGGTGCTTCCGCTAATATGTGGTTCTAATAACCCAGTTAACCTCATGAAGAAAGAGAAAGGCCAAAGTAAGCAACCTTGTCTGACACCGATCCTAACTTAAAATCTATCTGTGAGCTTCCCTTTATACACGGCTTTGCCGTGTAGTCTGTCGTAAGAATTACATATGTACGCGACAAAATTTTCATGTACACCATAGTGTCGAAGACGGTTCTACGAGGCTCAACTATCCACACTGTCAAACGCTTTCTGATGGTCAAGGAAGTTGATGTATTGTGATGATATCCATCCACTTGATTGTTCAACAATGACTCGTTGTGCTGCGATTTCGTCCGTACATGATCGGTCTTTAAGAAAGTCGATTGGTTGAACTCAGTGTTGGCTGTCTACCTAATCCTCCATTCTGTTCTGTAACACCTTGGAAGACTTTGCCGGTTATGGGTGGTATTTTGATGCCTCTGTAGTTCTCACATTTGCTAAAATCCTTCTTCAGTTTCTTGATGAGGTATCCTTTCCAGTCTGTCGGCACTTGTTCTTCCAATTCTTCCTGAGTAGGACGTGGAGCATCTTTTCAGTTACTTATATATCTGACTTCAATGCTTCTCTTTGTATGCTGTTTGGTCGGGTTGCTTTGTCATTTATAATTTGTCTGAAGTCTTCCATGCACCTTATGAACATTTTACTGATGCCAGTATAATCAGTCTGGTTCTCTGTTATGTGGTCTAGCGAAACCTGTATAGCTTTGTGTATGCGTTTGTGAGGGAATATGATGCCATCTTTAACCACGTTGAAAGGACAGTGATTTACAAATATCCCACTATCTTTGTTTCTTTCCCCAAGTTCATGTTGTTCCGTGTTATCTTCGTACCCCGTGTTGTCTATTCCAAACTTGACGTTTAGTTCTGCTCTTAGTATGGACAGATCCTTACCTGAGGATTTCGCTACGATCGACTAAAACCTCTCATAAAACTGATTTTTATTGTTCCCACTGCTGCATCTCGCTGAGAGCATAGTACTAGATCACATTCATTGTAATGCTTTGTTTTGTAGGATGCTCTGATAGGCCTCATGACTTCTGAGGAACCTTGGCTTTCACCATGAGGCATCACAACTCTTCCAAATAAAGATCCTTAAATTCAGGGCACAATTTAGATGGTTAAAATGATTTTTCTATGGTTAGTGGTTTTTGCAAGATTTCTCTAAGAGACAGAGTTACTAACCCCCATGCTCAATACTCATTTATCGGTGCTTCAGAGCAGGAGTAACCCTAGAAATGTAATGTATAATTTTTTTAGTCTTCAAGCGGAAGGCAATATGTGCATATTCGTCAGACAAAACAGTTATCTAATACTCGACATTTTCACTGATTCTTAAAAGGATGTTACTTTCTATAATATCACAGTTGAATTTCATATTTTTAATTTTCGCCACCAAAATATAACTTTCTTTAAATCATTCATTTCGTAAACATATTGGCAATTTTTTTTACACAATTTATTTTTTAGCATCTCTTCCATGGTTTGAAGCATGGCGTTATCTGTTCATAACTAATTTACAGCCATTTGAACATGAATTTATCACTCACAATCTAGCCTGTATATTTGTTTTGACAACTGCACATCCTGATCCGATTCGGGGTTTTACTGAACTAACTCAGAGCCAGTCCAATCAACAACATCATCTTCCAGGAAGTCGTCCGTTTTGGTTTACAGAAAATGTGCTTAAATTTTATGTATTATTACATGATGGTTCGTCGAATATCAAACAAAGCTGGTTAGTCAGTACCTTAATACTTAATTTGTGTCGCCAAGCATTAACAAATCGGAGCACTTATACCGTACTAAGGGGCCTCAAAGTATTAAAGAATTTGGTAGACTTGACTACTAAACTTTTAGTTTTTACCATTACATTGGCTTCGTAGTTATTTCAAGAAGTATTTCTGTGACCGATGTCGTTAGTGACATGAAAAATCCATTCGTATGTACATACGTATAAATATTCTGTGAGTATTAACGATCGTTCACAAAGTCAACTGGTGGAATAGGTCATGCAGTTTAATTCTATCAAACGAAGTTTTTAATTTAAATTCGTTGAAGAAATTCAGGCCTTCCGTTCACTCACGTATTAATTGTAACTAATAAGAACAGAATTTAGCGATTGTCAATTTTTCATTTGGGAATTATTTGTTGAATTGAGTCAGTAGTTCTTATGATGCGTAAGAACGAGTGATATGAATTACTGTGTACCTGTTTTCCTACTTGTGGTTAGCCCCCATAGATTAGATAAAAATTGTCCCAAGCACAATCCAACAACCGTAATATGATTAATATAGGTAGAACTTTGAAGAGTATGTTCAATCTTGAAGCAACTTTTTGTTTTTAGATCAGTATGTGTAACTTTGATCGTTTTGTCGCTCGTGTACATAGGTGTACTACTGTTTAGATCCATTTTACTCTACCTTTGGTAAGTTGCAAGGCCAGTGTTGTTGCCTAGGGAACGTAACAATCATGATAAAAGTAGTGTCATACTTGTATCTACTTTTTTTGTACTTGCCAATCGTTTTTCAACTATTAATAGTAATACTGATATAGCAAATGAATTAAAATATTTCCCTCTCTGTGGTATACCAAACGCTTCTGTGATAATACGGTAATAAGTCTAGACTGGGTGGCCGAATTTATACTGTCGCCAGATTGGATACTCGAATGATACACTATGCAGAGACCAGACCATGTTACATCAGATACCCGATTTACAACCAAAACTAGACAATACATTATTCCACACCATTATAACCAGTCACTGTCAGTGAATTTGTAGTAAAAATCAATAAGAGGAAAGGAAACCACATATTTGATAGTCAATAAGCTGTATACCTGTTTATCTACGCTCAGTGACCAACTCAGAGCCAAACTACTACGAACATGTCAAGTGACGGATCATATAGTCGAGGTTATGAGTATGGAGATAAACTCCACGTTTTCAACTCATCTAAGTATATCGTAGTCAGTAATTATGCTTATGTCTTCGTTTGTTTGGTCACTTAGTTGTAGATATTTTGAAATAATTTCTGTTATATAATTAATTGGAGGTATAACGTTTACTGTTGTAATTTTTCTTCCATCATGACTGACTCAATCAGTCAGTCAGCTACAACGTAGGACCAGGCACATATATGCATCGGTCCAAGTTGCCATACATCATTAACACAAGAAGATGAACACCGGATCATAAAAGTAGTTAGTTCAATGGTGGTAATATATAAAAGAAAGAATTGCATATAAGGATGTAGTACAGGAACAAAGAATTAGTTCGTAGAAAGGAAGATATGAAGCAATTTTAATCTCTTAGTTTAAGAGAAGACAAAGAGTGTACACACCGACGCCATTGTGATCGATTCTGAGCCATGTCACCAAGAGTCTCCAACCATTGGTTACGATAGTCACGCGGACCCCAGCCAAGTAGTCTGCATCTACTAGCATGGCTCAGACCAGAAGTTAGTTACTTCAAGCACTGATGCCACGTTTTGGTTTGGCTGCCCCTAACTTTCTTCCAACCATCTCGAACACTGGTTAGCATTGCACGTCGTGGTAATCGGTGTTCAGGCATACGTAACACGTGGCCCAACCCTCTCAGTTGATGAAGATTCACAACCTCATCAACTGATTTACCATCATCCCCTAATACCTTAAGTCTAACCTAACTATTACTTACCCGGTGATCCCAGCAGACGCCAGAAATATTTTTAAGGCATCTGTGGTCAAATACTAGTAGCTTACGACTATCTTCTACTCTTAATGGGAACATTTTGCAGTCGTACAGTAGAACAGAACGAACTGCTGCGCAGTATACTCGTCCCTTAATTGATAGACGGATATCTCGCCTTCACCATGCGTTACTTATGTTGGCAAAAGCCAAACAAGTTTTCTGAACAGGTGCAGAGATTTCGTCAGACACCGACCCATTAAGGTTGATCAGACTTCCAAGATAAGTGAAGTTGTCGACGCTTTCGACTACTTCATCCCCTATCCTTAGTTCAGGTGTTGACACAAGACAGTCCTGAAGCAACAATTTGCATTTAGATGGAGAGAAACGCATCCCAAACATTTTGGCATTGTTGTTCAGTGCTACCGAAAGATTCTGTATTTTATCAGCGTCTTCACCAAACAAGACTATGTTATCCGCGTATTCCAAGTCGATAATTGGACCTCCTAGAAGGAGACCAATGCCCGGGAATTCAGTCATCATGACTGACTGCGCTGCACTTGACATGTCCGCAACATGATGACGTGGTATTTTCGTTGTAGAAAACTACATTCCTCATGTAAACTAGCAGAAACTACAGAGAACGAAACACTCCTCTCCATCATGGGTTACGATAGTGTAAATGTGAATTTTTTGTTTCATTTTATTTGGCTGCCAGGTGAAAGGTCAAAATTGCGAACAGGAGTGTAGCTTATCTTCACTCGGTTACGGAAGCACAGCTGCAATAGAATTTATTAGGGTTTGTCTCATGGGAATAAGTTATTTTCGCTTCCATTACAGTACTAAAATAAAATGAAATTTACTACGAAGCAACCATTCTTAGTACCAAGAATATCAATAAGAGTATCCACATACCTTATTGGTCAAGCTAACTTTAGCATTGAGTATTTGGTTGGATCGTTCGTCAACAAGCCCATGTGCTTTACAAAATAATAAGAGCGTTCAATGAATTACATTATCTATTTGGTGTGAAGAAACTACTAGTATCTGGATAATGAAATCCATTATTCAATAACTACTTATAGGTGGTAATATTTAACTGTCGTAAGTATTTAGTTGTTCTAAATTGTTAGTATACTCTAATTAATGTTGTGACATCATTTTTTTCTGTAAAACAAAACAATGAAAACAACTTGTTCAGTGTTGACGAAATATTCAGCCAAGTGAAAACTACGTTTGGCGCTCTCAATTGTCATTTGTTAACCATCTTCACTTCATCATCTGGAAGTGAAATTTTAAGTAATAACAGTTGCGCACCAAATCACTTATTATTTAACAACCATTATCAAGCTAATGGAATAATCAATCAACCGAACACACCATCTACTATCGTCCATGCATCAGAAAATGAACCACATTCCGATCCTTGGCTGCATCATTTGCTACCACATGGCTATAAACCCCAGTTGGATCATAAATTATTTCCACCCAGAGATGCACCGATAAAGTCATGTAATAATCAAATAATAAATGGAAACAACGATCCCTTGACAGTTGAGGACTCTAGGGAAGCGTGTGGTCAAATATTTGGTAAGGAAACTGCAATTTTTGTATGAGAACCGTAATTTCCCCATAGATTTTCGAATTTTGCTATCGAAGTCCTTGGTCGAAGTGTCTATGATTTCTTACTGGTGCTTCATTTGTCATTTTTCTCTTGATACTTTCATCCATCTGATTTCTACGTTTCTTGTATTTGATTTCTCACATGTACGAGTTTTAATCCTTCGCATGTTGCTTTCCTCTTTTGTACATTGCACTATAAAGTATGGCAACGTGAATTATTACATAGTTTTTCTAGGTCCTATGTTTCAGTTTACATTTCTCCCATGGTTTTGGAGCACCCTAACTTCTCAGATTCGTAAATCATATGGAACCAGCGGTTTTCCATATCAGTGATAGAGTAAGTTAGAAGAAAGTTGAGACACATCAGTCCATGAAGTAATTGACTGTTGGTCTGTTCCACGTGGCAGGTTCAGACTACCTACTTGGGGTCTGTGCAGTAGCATGGACTAATGGTTCGAGACATTGAACATATTCTGTGTAATGCACTTAGAATCTGGTATAACTAGGCGCCATATGTAGAATACATTGTACAAAATAAAGAGATAATGTGAAAAAATGATGATAAAGTTTGTACAATCGAAGAGAGGACAGAAAATAAATGTTCAAAAATTGTTGTGTAATAGAAGTTACTGTTCAATTCTCAATACAACTGAGATGACCTTTGAGTTAGGAGAGTTTACCTTCCTATTTATGTAGACTGCAAAAGAAAACATCAGGTTCGCTACTTGCTTCTATCCCTAACCTAACGAGCCAATGAACTGCACTAACTTTATGATACTAAGCAGAGAATTAGTTACTGGTGTGACAATCACGATTGTTTATTGGTTGGTCGACACGAAACCCTGAACCTAGGTTTTCTTTACTTATTTATTTTATGAACATATGAGGACAGGTGAGAATAAGTATGTAGCACACAGTTAAAGAAATGAAATTATGAAAAGATAGACAATGAGGGAGAGAAGAGCATGATCAAAGATAAATAAGTAAAAACAAACAAACAAGAATAGTGTATAAGGAGTTACAGTTTAGTTAAAATTTTCTTTTAATTACTTATCTGTAATTATTGAAGCATAACAGCTCCAATTTTCTCAATAAATTGTTGGAATTGGAATTAAAAACGTAGTGAAAACCAACCAAATAAATTTGCTTGAATTGTGCTTTGCAGGAATTAGCAATTGTGGTTTTGATTGTCATTTACAGGGTCTTCATACTTTGTGAATACTTTTTAATTAAAATTGCATTTGTTGGTTGTTTTTGGTTGTGGAATGCAATTTGTTTGTTTCTTTTTTGGACTTATCATGTGGATCTACCTTATTTGTCAGTTCTTTTATTCCTCATTGTGACGTGAGCACACTACTTGATAACCCATATTGTCATTCATTAGACTACTAAATTGTGATGACTGTGCTATATTCTACCATTTTTATCGGGATAAAGCTATCTTAAGACAACATTAAGTTTAAGGATAGTGATTGTTTTGGGATGGCTTCGTGAAGCACAAAGCCTTCAGAGGCTCTAAATGAGCCAAATATGTACCATCCAATCAACGTGGCATGGCATGATTGGGTAACTACATAACTTTCCTACTTGCAGATTGGCTGGATTGTAATGATGTTATAGCCCATACTAAAAACTATAAATTCCCCTGTTTTTCTGTACGTTTTCGATCCTTCCCCAATAATCACTTCCTTACGTCTTTTGATTTGCGACTATTTAGGTTCTACATGTTCGAGTACCGATAGTTGTACACTGTATTCTGCTGTAATCAAGAAAAGATAACGGGTGGGATGAATTGGAAATTTACTGAAATCCTTCTGTCTAAACCTTATATAAACCCTGAGATTTTCACTACACCAACTTTTACTTGTCACTTTTGGAATGTTTTTGTTTCCTCCCAATTTTTGTTTTGCTTTACGACAAGGCGAGTGAAGTAATGTGTCCAAAGAATACTAGGCGATCGCAAATATAACAATGGATGTCGGTTCTTATTAAAGTTTGAGTCGACTAGTCTCTCATTTATTTCAGTCAAGTGTTTATATTCGTTTGATAAATTGATGACTGTTATTTGTTCTGATTCACTTGGTGTTTATTTCCTGTTTTTAGATCTTGGTAAAACATCATCTCTTGATACATCTTGTTTATCTGCTTCAAGCATTAGCTCCCAGTCCTCGTATACATTTTTACCCAGTCGTTATAACCAACCACATGGACAACATTTAACACAAGCTGATCGGGATCGTATACACATGTTTGTTTATGATTTCAGTGTACGGGCTCTTCTCCCTTGGGTTGAGAAAACAATGCGTAGTCTAAACGATCAGGTGATTTTGTTCGTATCTTCTACATATTTATATATATTCATAAACATATTATTTAACCGATTCGCATAAAAGATATTTAGTCCTAAGGGCTTGGTTTTGTAAGGAAATGTGTCTTGGCGCCATAATTAGAAATTAGAGACCATTGAGTCTTTGTCTTCTCACATAAAGTAGTACAGGATTAAACCCAAGTCTTTTAAGCCTCGTGATACAGTTTACTCCATTCTTACGAAAATTCCGCAATACATGATTAACAGTTTCTGTGAATTTTTGACACGACGTAAACAACTTGATTGACATTATCCATCCCAAGGTAAATATTAAAACCGGATTGTTATACTTTTAGACATAAGGAAATATCTGGAAATTGAGTAAATTTACTCATTATTACATTTCTGGTCATATATTAGTATTTTAGTACATTAGTACCTTACAGTAACGGACCTTATTTATCCATCATAATGGTTTATTGTAGTCAAACTATGGGAATCGCTTGTATATTTTCAGTTTGCTTTCGTAGGACGATTCATCAGAAAACTACAAATTCGAAGACAACTGAAAAATAGTTTTTATATGAAGTTTCGTTAAAAATGATATATTTCTATGGGGCAGCTGAGTTTTCTTAAGCATGATTGGTTTTTTACAGTTAAAGTCAAGGTAAAGCAGTTTTATATCCTGTTAGCACAACAGGGAATTTTTTCGAATCAATTCTGACAGTGCTTTGAAGTAGATTCGACCACTTATTATGTTTAAATTGCGGCGAGACTCTAATTTATGGACGACCTTTGAACGAATCTTAAGGGACCTTGAGAAATATTAGCCGATCAACAAACAGTATAGAGTAAAAATATATTATACAGAATCAAGGAAATAAAGTGAATACACTTCTTATACGTGGTTCAAAAACTTGTCAAGGTTAGAAATAGGTTCAGAGGTTCTAAAACCGTAATGCTTGCAGTAGAGAAAATCATCCATATTGCTACAGAATAGTCGGCCTCTGGAGCCATGATAAAGTCTCAAATACTCTTTCAGACTCGACCACATAGCTTCAATATTGTTTATATGCACTCCGGTTGTTGAGTACACAAAATGCCACTTGTGGATAACAACCCGATGCACATAACCAAGCCTATGTAGGAGTGTGTATGCTCTCCAAACATCGTATATATTGTAGTACCTAGCTGGAGCCTGTGTTACTGGTGCTTTTATTATCCACTTTGCAATAATTGTCATAATTTGCCTTAGTTAGGAATTATATATGGGGTTTTTATCACGAACTGACATCAGCTATAATGCCTGAAATTTATTTAGCCGAATGGATGAAAGGCTTTCGCGTTAAAATCCGAGATCTATTATCTTATACTTGATTGATTCGTCCACAAATTATAGTCTTGCCGTTTTATTTGTTATAACCACTCAATTATCACGTTTTGTGCAAAATTCCCTGTGAACCGATTGTACGTTAGCATTAAGCACTGAAGTTTGGCGCCGTGACCTTGAAGTCTCTAAAACGCTCCTGATTGGCTCGTCCATAAATTGGAGTCTCTCCTAAATTGCTGTTTGTTGATGTTTCATCGATTTATTAGTTGTCATTATTGAATTGACTTTCATAATATATATAAACTTTAAATGATGTATAGGTATTTACAATGTGTCCAATCTTAGGACTTAACACAGATGCGTCATACCAAGCTACCACACTATATCAGCACAGCGAGATGAATTCGATAAGATGGATGTCAAAGAATTCAGTTGTATAATAATGTTATGATGCTATAACTGAACATAAAAAACATGGTTTAGAAAGAGGCAATCCAATAACGAATTCGAAGTATGAAGTATTACTGAAACTTAAAATTTAAGTCAAAATAAGTAGTAAATACTTCTAGTATAATACGACCTATTTTGAAGTAATTCACCTTATTTCACATAGTTCTTATCATTTATGAATTAAAGAGAATAATAATATGAATTTATCTATTTCTTGAATACTTTTGAGCTGTTACGGCCCAGAAACAATAGTATTATGTATTAAAAATATAAATATTCAATATAACCAGAGATTGGTGGTGGAATTCGGGGTGCACGTTTGTCCTATTTAGGACTCGTCGGCTAGATGTACCTGGATTCTACAGTTGATGTTCACTCTAGTACTAGGTTCGTGTACCGGAGTGAACATCATCTCCGGGATGTAGGTACGTCCAGCTGACAAGGCCTAAATAGGGTGAAACACGCTTCTTGGATTCCACTGGTAGCCACCGTCCATCTCGGCTTAAAATGCATGTGACTTAATGGCAATATCGAGGAAATCTTCATAGAATGTAAATATGAAAAAATAGACTAATTGTTTGCAGTCCTATACATCAGTGGGAAGATTTAAACAATCAGTGTGTATGAATTAGATTTTCAACTTTATATCAGTATAATCTTGACTAAGGTTGCGATTGACATGTAGATATAGCCTAATAAAAATTCGATGAATATAGCGTGATCAGAATTATTCTTAAGGTTGATTGTTATCGGTTAGCTATCTTAATCCTCTAGAAGTGTGGACTAAGAAGAGTATGAAGGTAAATTCTACAAATAGAGGGTAATGTCGTAAGTTATGCAATACAAAATACGAGAAAGTTAACAAACTGTATAAAGCTTGGAAAAGAAAGAAATTAAAATTGGGGTTTTAAGAAAAATGATGTTACAAAATCAATTCACGAAGTTATGACTACAAAGGCAATGCAAGATTAACAACATTCTCCTTTTGGTTACATCTTTTGAGGCGATCGGTTTTAAGATTCTCCTGCCCATGTTGATTTTTAGATGATAGTTGTAAATTGCATTGATGCACACTTTTGAAAAAAACTAACCAGGATAACGATACGTAGTTAGGTACTGTCCAAAGAATTTTTTTATAAGCCTTCCTATACAAAATGATTCGCTTGTTAACATGGTCAATTATAGATGAATCACCAGTTCATGCTATTTTCAATTTTTTATAGCAATAGTTTTATTTACTACTATAAACTTGTCTACTCATTTACATGTACGTTCCAAAAGCACAGTATATTACAAGAATAGAAAGCAGATTTCTTTTTCACATTTAGTACATTTTATTAAGTTGAGACAGGTTTTAGAAAGTGCAATCGCTCGCTATTTACTTAATAATGGGGAAAATATTGATTTCTCAGAACTTTACAGAATAATTAGTAACCAAATGACTTCAATTATGCTAAGTTTTACCGAAGCCAATTTTCTTTTTTAGGATATTCATACTGCTAACATATAAAGGGACAACTTTATTAAAAATAATTTAATTCTTGTACAATTGTCTTTCTATTATTTGTTTATCTTTAATGATCATTACTATTGTTTCAGGGTTTTAAATAGCTAAAGAATATCTAAGATATAAAATAAATCCATATTGTTCTGCCTAGATTATTGTTACTTTCATCTTAGTTTAAGAGTTATTGATCGTATTTATCGTGAGTACATCAACCACAAAGTCTACATAGCCAAGCTTAACAGGTGCAGATGTCACTTTGTCTGTTATGTCTATCATCACGGTCGTTTCGTTTATTTCAAATACATTTATTATCTGTTTCTGTTATAACCCACAAGGCCGTCTCGTAGTATTCATCTATATTTTTCCATCTCTTTTATATTCACCATCATCACCATTCATGATCATCGAGTAGACGATTTATCAGTTTATTTCTATGTTGTCTTCTGTTCTCACAGTGTTCCGGGAGCTTCTGAGATCTAGTCTTTATTTGAACTTTTGGTCTGAGTTACGAGGGAAATATCAGTGCTGGATGTCATAAACTAATTATAAGTGAATTCTCACGATTTGCTATGTGCTTATGTAGTTGTTTCTGAAATGTGATTTTCTTTTTCATCCCAAAGTAGAACTTCAAAAGATCTTCCTATTGTGATTTCTCTTCATCCGTTAAAGCACAAACAAACATATCTTATTACTAGAGCTTTGACAGAGTCCAAATATGTACTTTCGGAAAACCAGGAGTCTTTTATCTAACCTAAAAGTGATATGATTTATTTGTGTCCATCATGTATTTATCTTTCTTGATTTTGTACTGTCTTGTTAAATCCAAAGCCACACAACCTATTGTTTGTTACAATTCAATTCGAGAGTACCCTAAAAATTAGCACTACATCTTCAAATACAAGATAACGAAAAGTTTCAGTCAAGTTTTTAGATACATAAGGGGTAAATCGTGCTAGTTCAATATTTTGACTAGGTGAGATAAGGTGAATGATTATACTTGGATCTTGTATTTAGGTTTTAGAGATGCAGTACAAAATTTGAGTCATTTTCATGGGAAAAAATTCTTAACACAATCAATTTGATATCTTCATGCTTACAAAAGTTATTCGAAAATAATGGAAAGAAATGAGGCTTTGATTGATGCGGATCGACATTCTAAATCAGTGAATAAACAGTTGAGTAAATCAATATCATAAAAACGTAATCAGTTACTCAACGTTAGAAAAGTAGCGTTTGTAAGTTTGTTGTTCAGATTCTAAAACAATACAAATGTTTCTTCAGTTGAATGATAAGATTTTTGCTATGTAGCATGAAGCATCTCAATAATCGTGAGGAGCATAAAACTGCCACTCGTTATAAAATTTCACTGAAAAAAGTGACTAGAATTCTAGTTTAGCGTTCATCTTCAAAAAACATGGCGAAAACAAATCATTAACCACAAAACAGCTCCGTACTAAAATGCCAATATAATATAAGTTTATACTTTGTATATCAATTCCATTTGTAGATTGCGCATCGAATGCGTCTTTCGCGTTCTTTCTTTAATGCCACTAAGAAATTTTTTACTCAAGCTGTTGGTGGTGGTGGCAGCAACAACACTACAGTTAGTACTACAAATAACTTAACTTCAAGAACATATCCTAATCCATCGCCTATTGAAACGTCAGCGAACTATATAAGTAATCCGTGTAGCCCAATAAATCCTACTATTGTAAATGATTCGAAGGGAGAATCATCTTCCAATAGTATATTGACTCCTCAAAGTGTTTCATATGCAGCCCCAGCCAATCACTCTACAATTGTGTATAGCCAAGATTCACCTGAATCTCAAATGCGTCGTCTAGCTGATTTAGCATTTCTGTTTCAGCAATATGAAGTAGCCTATCAGACGTATAATGTATTAAAACGTGATTTTCAAAATGATTCAGCTTGGTTACATTATGCTGGAGCTCAGGTGATTTGTGTTAATTATTTTTTCGTCTTTTTATCCTTTTTATGTTAAAGCTAAATTAATAAACTCGATAAATCTCAGCGTTGTGTAATTTGAAGTATATTCTATCCAAATCCCTTTTAGCTAAGTATCATCAAAGTTCTACATAGTGTATCATTTATCCCTTGTCCGAAACTTTTGAATAAGACAAATCAACAATATGTTTGACGTATCTCTGTAGTAATCGCTTATTTATAAAGACAATAATAACAAATCGACTGCCTAATTTGATAAAGAATAATCTTCGACCAAATATTTAATCTGATAGAATACTAAAACTTTACCATCGCTATTTACCCCATAATTCTGTGTACTAGCTTTCACTCCTATGCGAATTGAGGTAATCACAAGCTTCGACAGGATGTTATGTTGTTAATCGTATTAAACGTTGTTATAAGTGGACGTAAATTATCGTCCAACACTGGGTTCTTGGAGTGATTATAGGACTTTGAAAATGACTCGAGAAAACCCAGAGGTGATACTTACCTTTTCGAGTAACCATGACTTCCCCTGAATTATAATACTCATTGAGCTATACTGCTCAATTATAATAAGTAGTGTGGGTTATTTCTGACCTTTTTTTGAAATATATATTTTGCTGAATAAAGTTACGTTTATTCACCTTATTTCAGATCGTTTAGCTGGCTTTGTTAACCTGTAATTGTATTTCTCCTATCTCTCAAAGATACTTCTTTGAAAACTTTGTATATTTAGAATACTTTTTCTTTTCAAACGTAGAACTTAAGTCATTTTTGTAAGCGCTCATATTCACGAAAAATAATTCTGTGATTTTTTTATTATTCCCTTTTACTGGGAATTTTGAGTTTTCGATCCCACAACGTTCTCCCGTCGTTTGTGAATAAATTCGTTATGTTTCATTATTCTTCCACGGTAGTACCGTACATAAAGAATTTTCACTTAATTAGGTTAATAGAACTTTTGCGTTTAACACAACATTATAAAAACTGGAAGCTTAGTTAGTGCTAGGATGTTTGTAGTGTATAAAAAATTGACGATCGGATACATCTGAGCCACTGTGACAAACCTTGAAGCGGAACTCTATGAGTCTTTTGTCACAAAGTCTGATCGTTTCGTGGATTCTAATGAAATAGTTTATTTTCATAAATAGTTGCTTAGTTTGAAATCATGTACTGATATTCAAATTTTCACCTAACAAACTCTTACTTCAACCAACGTGCCACTTTTGAGTGTGTGAATTATGAACTTGTAAAACATTGTCATATACATTCTCGCTCGTGACAGTTTAGAAATCAAATTAAGTCATTAACTTATGCAACTGCGTCATTACTCGTCTAGTACTGCTATGACATTCCCTTGGTGCTCTGACGATATCCGCTACCTGTTTTCATACTTTTAAATAAGTGAATACGGTTTTCGATCTTTCATAGTTTGTTTATTTCTGTCTGTTTAACCTTCTAGGAAATGTCTGCCTTATCTGTTTACCTTCAAGGTGCGACAAGCCAACGTCAGTATCCATATCATCTCATGGATTCAGCTGTAACTACTTACCTTCAATCTCATTTGTAAGTTTTGATTGACTTCCTCAAATATTTTGATGTATTTCTATCGTAATTTCATAACAGCAAATCAATATGCTAAGTATCTTTCATTTTACAGAGATTTTAAACTACTCATTATGTGAATATTGAAAATTCATTTTGTTTTTGTGAAAATATAAAGAAACTATTGAAACTCAATGGTTGGAAGTTGAGTATTGGAATTTTTTCCTATAAGACATAGGTGTATCACAGAGAAATCTAGACCATGTTATATACTTAAAATAATTTTATGTCGTAGATTAGTTTAAGATTTAGAATCACTGAAAGTGGGAAGATTGGTGTACGTAGTTTCAAACCATTTGTATTCGGTAGCAAATCTTATTACTCCAAAGATTTTTACCTTAGTGGTTGTGACTATATGGCTCGCAGCAGGAATTATTTTACCACAATAAATATGATTAGTCAGAAAAATAATGGATGGTAATAATGATTATGTGGATTTTACAGTTTACCAATAGTTTACTAGTTTTTGCTTATCACAACCATTTGGCTTCGTGGTTTCAATTTAATCGGCTAAGCTGTCCTTTGGATTTTATGTTACTGATTTGGTCAGTATTATTTGGAGAAAGGCACAAACTTAGTAAGATATTGATATTGCCACTTCAACTCTCGGCAAAGTTAAAAGCGCTTTCAATAGAAGCAAGAGGTTTGGCTTGTTAATTAGTTCTTTTCAAGTGGACATCCATATGATGTATAAACGGTGTGTTTCGCCCTATTTAGGACTCAAGGCAATCAGCACAGGATGCGAATGTTCCGAAAGAGACTTATCAATTGCAATACTATAGCTCAATAGAGAGATTTAAAGCAACTGATATAAATGAATTAATTCCAAGTTAGTTCATTCATCACATATTGAGTGAATGACCATGTTATCCCATGCTAAAAATCTGGCTATCATATTATCAATGTTCGAATATTTCACGAGAAGTATATTTCTTTTAGGTATTTCGTATATATATATATATATATATATATATATATATATATATATATATATATATATATACATATATATATACATATATATATAATTTTGTTATATGTATGTATATTCAGATCACCAGAACTTGCTTTACGATCAACTCTGTTAAATTTTGAAGCATTATGTAGTCGTGGTCTCTACAATGAAGCTTCTGTGGCGTTGATTCGACTAACTTCAGACGTAAGTGGCAATAAATTAGAAATTGTGTAAATAATTATTTCATAAATAATCCATCTGTATTTTTCCGGTCTGTGCTTGATCCAAAAACACCAAACCTTCATGAATAAACAATGTTTTTCCAGTAAACTTTTCCATGAAATACTCTTAGGTGTTGAAATGCTGTTAAATTCTGTGTATCTTATTGTACGAAGGATCGAGTTGTTAAAATATAAGCATTTAGAGAAGTGAAAAATACTAAAAGTATTGATTTACTGTTGAATATTAGTGCCTTTTGGTGCGTGAATATCATCAGTTAGTTATCTTAACCATCTAATATAATGTTGACTTTAATTTACAAATCGATTTACTTTATAAAAATATCAAACGTCAACATTTTCCATTCAGTAATTATGATATGAAAGTTCTACTGTGAAACATTTCTGATGATCGAAGGTTTTGACATACATCTACCCAAGTCCGATCTATGCTAATCTGATTCTTAAGCGGGGTCGACAAAGGTGATATATGAAATTCATCGTCTGATAACAATGTCACCATTCATCCCTATTGAAGTGAGATGAGTTCTTATGTCTGTAACTAGTGAGCATCAAATAACAATCTGATGTTCAGGCGTTCTTACAAATCGCTTCTACTGTGTATGTCTTTTTTTTAAATATATCGTATCTACTAAAATGTAAATAACAAGACATCCCCACAACAACTGCGTCTTGTAGGCAAGGGATTTCTACCAATTAAAACTAACTGACTATCCCATCATAAATTTATGTGGTTTCGTTGTATTTTTTCAGTGGAATTTCGTTATAATTGATTGATAAATTAATTAAAATTTTGTCCGGGTATACAAATGGGACTCTTGGTTTCCTGCAGCGAATAGTGAAACGGTCGTATTACGTATACGATCGAAATTCATTGACTAAACTACCACACGTGAACTGAATTCAGAGCAAGCACATGTTATTTCTCTGAGTTTCATCTGTATTATTGTATTATGATGAATGGAGATGACGGGAAAATATGAATGATAAGTCAGTGCTTCCAGGTTTTCAATGGTGGTCTAACATCAATCGGTTCATGATCTCAATCAAGAACTTAACAATCTTCACAATCCCTAAACTGAAAAAGCAAAATAATTTCATTTTTTATAAGGTGACTGGAACTTATGTTTAAGGTAGTAATTTGGCGGAGAGAATGTAACAGGTTCTTTATAATTTATGTATTGTCATATTTTTTGGTGGTCTGGAATACTCCCGGGGCACCCAAACTGAAGCTTTTCACTTTCTTAGAGGGTCATCGTCCTAGCTTCTAACCGAAATATCTGTTCACGAGGCAATTAAGGAAATCAGAGGATTCAGTCCTATTTTATCCGATTATCAGAATAGGTTCATATGGTGCTCGTTTTCTAGATCCTCCAAATCTATCCTTCTGTATCCTTAACCTCAGTTTAAGTGCCAGACATTTGCTTTCCATGCTTTAGTTTTCGAAACAACACTGAAACTGCGTGAAGGAGGTGAGCATGACTCCTCTGGTATAACGTGTTTGACGTAATCGCGAGTCAATCACAATGGCGTCAGTACATTCAATCCTTTTCTTCGTTTAGATCTTGAATTTTAGCGTTCCTTAATTCATTTATTTTTGTTCACTCTAACTACATTCTCAATCTTTATTCTTTCTCATTGTCATTGCTACTACGTCATTTCAGTTTCTTCGCTATTCATCTTGTTGTGCTGATGAGTACAACAACTTGATCTAGCGCGAATTCGCTTCACCATCTACATCGAAAATGACTGACTGAGGTAAATTTGCTCATAGGGAGAAGTTTGAAGATATGTATTGTTGATTGTATCTGTTGTTTACCCATTAAAGGGTAAGCACCAAAGAGTTCGTGTTTGCAGAATTTTTCCTTTGCTTTTTGTGCATACATATAATAACTAAATGTAACGGATTATAGCATCTCTCATTTTTCATAGTTTACTCCGAATGTGGTAGTTTTCACGTGTACTTGTAGTATCATTGTCCTCTTATTTTCTATTCGCCTAACTATTGAGGGATTAGTTTCCTATCTAAAGACAAACAATATAGCTTTATAAATTATCTGACAATATTGTTTTCTGTATGTTGTGAAATAGAATGTAAGATTGTGTCTTGATATATCTATCTCTTTTTACGTTTATAATGGTCTTTCAAGATTAATTAGAAAGACTTAGTAAATTAAGTGGTTTGCTAAAAGTACCATTCTTTTGTTTAAATCAGTACTCTCTCCCAGCTTACAATAAGTTAGGATCGTAATGGTTTAACTGTATGGTCATAGGTAAATATTTTACGTTTCTATGCTCACGTGCATATTAAATCACTGAAAAACAGCAACCATTGTCTGAGTTGTTGTTATTGACGCTCTGTATTACTAAGTTGTACCGTTGTATGGTTAGTTGGCTTTCTTTATTGAACATTCATCCTTTTTTAATTGTCAGCGCTCTCAGTATTGCTTTGATGTTGTAATTCTATTTTATTTAGGAAGATGATCTTATCAGCGGTCTCCTCATAGAACAAATAGCTCATTGCGTTCTATCACTGAAACGCCCAATGTTAAGAAAGTTTGCATTTCGTATGGCATTAGCAGCACATCGATATGCTCGGGCCAAACAGGTTATATATGATATTTCTGTTATGATGGTATTGTACAAATTAATTTTTTTCTTATATTACGTGGTCTCCGTAACTTCTGATTAACTGGTTAAATCTTATGACTAACACGTGACATTCCGTATTTGGTTGCCAGCTACAGTGAGGAGTTGAAATCTTTCTTTTCATTTAGACTACATAACTGAAAAAATATCATAGAACACTATCGATTTTGCTAAAAGGTTAATTATTCCATGTTTTATTCAGTTATGACTTACATTCATTTTCCCATTCCAATAATCATCATCGTTACCAGAAATATTATTCTCTTTACGGCACTTTACAGTAAGTATGAAGCTAACCAATGCGAATATTTAGTTCACTAGTTTTTATTTACTTTTAATTGTTCGTCATTTTGTCACTAGTTTGATCAACACTTAGCTTACTACATTTCGTATAGGCGGATTTGGTATGTATAAGTTCATTGACTGTCCAAATACATTACTCCTGTTACCTCTCGTGAAGCAGTATAGACCACCCACAGTAGGCTGTTGTTAATGATGTCTAGTCAACGGACACTGAGTATCTTGCGTTTACAATTACTTTTAAATATTTGTACTTTTTTGGTGATGGTTGTGGTAGTTCTTTAAGTTTCAGCTCCGTACAGTAGAACTGTCTTGATGTTCGTATTGAAGATTCTCGCTTTGACATTGGTTGACAGTTTTTTTGAGTTCCATATATTCTTCAACTGTAGGAATATTGTCCTTGCTTTGCCAATCCTCGCATTTTCGTCTACATCAGATCCTCCTTGTCCATCGATGACCCTGTCCAGGTACGTGGAGATTTCCACCTGTTTCTGAGCTACCCCATGAAGTGTGATGGAGTTGGTGTTCTTCGTGTTGCGTTTGAGGATCTTTGTTTTCCCCTTGTGTATGTTGAGACCTACTGATGCAGAGGCTGCTGCTACACTAGTTGTCTTCGTCTTCATTTGTTCGTGTGTATGAGATAGAAGTGGAAGGTCATGTGCGAAGTCCAAATCGTTCAGTTGCATCCAAGCTATCCATTGTATTCCTTGCTTCCTCTGAATTTTAGAGGTATTTATAATCCAGTCAACCCCCAGAAAGCTAAAAGGAGAGAGTAAGCAACCGGTCCGCACTAGGAATGCGTCTGTCAGTTCTCGTCCATGCTGGACGCTGTACTGTATTCCGTCATATGAATTCCGAATGTTAATGATTTTCTCAGCCACTCATTCCATAGTTTCTATAAAGGTCCCGTAATGTCATCCTATCCACACTATCAGACACTTTCTCATGATCAAGGGAGTTGATGCATACTGACGAATTCCATTCAGTTGGTTGCTCGACAATAATGCGTAGTGTCGCTATTCGATCTGTGCACAACAGATCATTACGGCATCTGGCCTGTTGATATCGAAGCTGATCGTCTACTGAATCTTTCATCCGGTTCAACAACACTTTTTTGAAAACCTTTCCTGGTACCGATAGTAGTGCGATGCCCCTATAGTTTTCACATTTTCTCAGATTTCCTTCCTTTGGTATCTTGATGAGTTATCCTTCTTTCCAGTCCGTCTCACTTGTTCTTCCTCCTAAATCTTTGTGAACGGAACATGGGGCATCTTTGCAGTTGCTTTTATGTGTGACCAGTGCTGGTATATTGTTAGGTCCTGCTGCCTTCCCACTCTTGATTTGTCTGATGGCCATCCTGATTTCTTCGAACTTTGGTGGAGTGACAGCTATAGAAAGGTCTGTGTATGCTGCTTCGATGTCCAGTGGATTAAATGGAGCTGGTCTATTCAAGAGTTCTTCAAAGTACTCTACCCATCTGTTCCTCTGTTCTTGAATTTCAGTGGTTGTTTTGCCTTCTTTATCCTTGACCGGTCCCTCTGGTTTACTATATTTCCCTGCCAGTTTCTTCGTTGTGTCATATATTTGTTTCATAATTCTTTCTCTTGAAGCTTCTTCCACTATCGTTGCTAGGTCTTCTACGTATATCTTCTGAATAGATCCTTTGCTGTCCAGCATAAGTCCAATGGATTTCACTTATTCCGAACACCGACATGTTGTATCTCCTCATTTCCGTAATTATTTGATTGGTCGTCCCGGTCTCCCACATTATGGGGACATTCGATGTAACTTTAAAAATTGTTGCTCTGATTGTTAGAAGGGGCATCGGCCTCGTGACTTCCGAAGAATCTCAGCTTTCATCACGAGGAGTCATCATTGTTCTGAATGAATATTATTCGACTCCCATGACAGAGTTTAAATGGTTTGATTTGTTTATTCTGGTTAGCTTTTTTTAGCAAGGTTGTTCTCTACGAGATTGGGTTGCTGATCCAATGCATAATCCTCCTCCTTTACCCGGGTTTGGAACCGGCAGCAACCCTTGAAAATCTAAAGGACGAGTTGTCCAAATCACTACTAAGTAGAAATTCATGTAAGCTACTTTGTCTGAAGCCCCTCTGTGGCTACCGCCGGTCCTAACCCCCGGATAAAGGAGGAGGGTTGGGCATGGGGTTGGCAACCCCATCTCGTAGAAAACTAACACGCTAAAAAACGCTAACCAGAACAAATAATTCAAGTAAGTAATCACGTTGTTAAATATATGAAACTTATCATAGTAATCTATTGATATTTCAAAAATTGTTTTTCTCCAACTTTCCCCCACACCGAAATTTTGAATTATTTAGCCGCTTTTGGCAATACGAAGTTACAAATCAGCTATGCCAATTGTTATGGGTCATGGATGGAGTTTATTAGAGGTACATTTATAGTATATGCTTTTATTTATGTCCTGTATTTTGTCTTATCTTTTAAAACTGGTAAAATTATTTTCCGATGATAGAGGATGAAGATTCTCGATTTATCATATTATGTAAGCTGGATAGTTTAATCATGATCATCCAGCTTAGAGGAAACACAGGCACCTTCAGGAAACTTATTTTCATAACTTTCAGTCATCTTTTTTCATGAGCAGGAACAAGTTAATTATCTTTATAGATGATTCTTCACTGTCAATTTACATCTCTTTTCAAACGTGTTGCTCAGTATACATATATAAATTCCAACACAAGAGGTTTTAATTGACGACTAGTAATCATTACAATCCTTCATGTTTGCCATGCTGTTATTAACATCATTGTAATATTCAAAATTGTGTAAACTTGCTCTAATTCAGTGATTCAAGGCGTTACTATCTCTTTACTTGAAACTGGATTAACTATTTCGATTAAAAGGCAAATTATAATTACCGTCAATTTTATCAATTCTGTCAGTCTAAGAATAATTCACTGACCCACTGTTAATCATCATTGAAATAAGATAAAACAATCATATCAAGACGTCTGAGCAATTGATTTACATACTGACGACAGAACAATAATATTGATCATCTATGTATAGTCTCGCCATTAGCTAGTTGTGATGATCTCCGTGTTTAATCTATCTTATTTGTTTTTATTTATACCAACCCCTTTTATCAGGATCATATAAATTTCAATGTCGGTAAACAAGCTTATCTTATTGGAGATTTAAATACATCTTGTAAGGCTTTAGCAGAAACATTAAATTCATCTAGTAGACAGTCTGCGGAACGTCAATTGATATTTGTTAAAGAATATTTATCAACATTAACAGTAAGTAGATTATGTTGTACTTTTTTTCAATTTCATTTTACTCTTTTGAATATTGGATACAAATTTATTTACAATTCATTATCAAGTACATTTTGTTAAAATGTTCACAGCAAACAGTTGAAAACATTCTATTCATTTTATTCTATTTTGATAAAACACAAACAGTATTGTACTGTGTTAATCTGTATTTCCTATGAATGAGTTAATATTAACCTTGTTCATCTTATCAGTATACATTGAGTTGACTTAGGTATGGTTCTCAGATTTCAGTAAGATGTTCTGTAATTTCACGTTTAAATACATTCGATTGCCCCAATTCGTGTTCTCGTTCACTACATTGTAAATGATTCTTTTGACAGGGATATGATTGATCAGTAAGTTGACTAATGTGGGAATAGTATATATAGTCACTAAGAACTTCTCTTTAATCCTCTCCATTATAATAGATATAAAACAATCGTTTTCTATATGCATCATTTCATCTTTAGAACACATGTTGGTGTTATCATTAGTCGATGCTTTTTAAATACGGAATCGAGAAAGTATACTTAATTTACTTCATATATAAATCTTTCGTGAATGGTTTTTAACAAATATCATCTTCCATTATACTCCTTGAATAACATCTTCAAACCCTAATGTTTTCAATTACTGCTTATACTCTTATTACCTTTACCACTACGGGATTTGAATCGAAAACTTCATCTCGGTGCTAATATGGTATAGCAACTCGAACTGATGTACGTACGTACGAAGTTCTACGTTGTAACTGACTGACTGACATCTTCCATTAACACGTACTGAGAATAATAATATCATTGCAATACAATGAATTATTGAATAAGATTTTTTGTCAGCTGATATGTACAACTTTAAGGATATACTCAAATGTATTCGTTTGTAAATCAAACAAATCATCACTTTATGAATGATTTGATTGTCTAACAGACAATATTTTGAAGGTTTATATGAAAGATTCTGTTCTTTGTGAGTATTTGTTGTTGATGTTAAAAACAGTTTTAGCTGTTTCCATTATTTGGTGTTTCCAGTCTAAATATGGAAAAAAATATGAACGTATAAAAACAATGAAATGTTGGAAATTTAATATGTGAATTATGAAATGTCTTCATTAGATTATGGGCAATTCATTTTCTCCAGTGTTATTCAGGTTATTAAACTGTTTCACTTTGCATTAGGTCTGAGAAACACACATTGAATTATTCACTGCTACATTGTTCAAGTTCTTAATTAGGCGAAACAATATCCAGATTCAATAAACTTGACATGATTAATGTTTAGTCAATGTGTAAGCATTTGTTACATAAGAAATATTTTGAAACATAAAATTATTCAGTAGTTCTCATCTTCTCTACTCTTCTGTAATTGACTGGACATTTACCACTATTTTTGTTTTCTTTTGAGATTTATTTATTTATTTATTTGAACACATAGATATTGATACAAGGGGCACAAAGTATCTTTGCGTCACACAAATCTCATTTGATATGTGTGAGAGCTGTGATATTGACCGGGTGCCCAAACCGAAGCAGCTGGTTTTCTTACGGGGCCACACCCCGAGCCTTCGACCTGAAGGTCTGATCCACAAGGCAGTGGAGCATCGTCAGGAGATGCAGTCCCATCGTAGACGGTGACCAACAATCGGTTCATACTCCACTCGTTCCTTCAGGATAATGGAGCCCATGTACACCATTGGTTTGGAATCCGGTTAAAGCGCCGGACATTCGCTTTTCATCCTCTCATTTTCGTAAACAACTAATGCCACGAGAAGGTAGTGAGAAGGACTTCCCTGACAGAGGCTATATACACGTGGCCGTGTGAGAGCATTTCGAGAGGGAGGGCTGGCCCTCCCACTCTTGGCCGTACCAGGGCATCTGGGTGCTTTCTTTTGATAACCCCATGATTGTTAAAATTCAACAGGAGATAACATAGTCACTAGAAATATAAGGGAAATCAATGATTTGACAGATAATTCCCATTTAAACATTTAAAATTAAAAACACGAAGTTCAGCGAAGGAATCCCTTTTCAATGAATTTATTATCAAGCTGTACAATTGTATATATATGAAATTTTTTTGTTAAAGTACCAATATGAAGACGCGTAACCAAGGTGACATAACAGAAAATTATAATACTAGATTAGTACTTTAATAAAAATTTTCATTTATATACGATTGTACAGGTTGATGATAAATTCGTTGGGAAGAAATCCCTTCGTTGAACTTCGTGTTTATAAATCATTGATTTATTAAATCATCTCTCCGTATCGTAGTGACTAAAGATCAATTCGAAGTGTTTACTTTATTGGATATCAATATTGATGTTCTATCACCTCAAATGCCCTGGTATGGCCGAGAGTGGGAGGGCCAGCCCTCCCTCTCGAAATGCTCTCACACGACCACGTGTATATAGCCTCTGTCAGGGAAGTCCTTCTCACTACCTTCTCGTGGCATTAGTTGTTTACGAAAATGAGAGGATGAAAAGCGAATGTCCGGCGCTTTAACCGGATTCCAAACCAATGGTGTACATGGGCTCCATTATCCTGAAGGAACGAGTGGAGTATGAACCGATTGTTGGTCACCGTCTACGATGGGACTGCATCTCCTGACGATGCTCCACTGCCTTGTGGATCAGACCTTCAGGTCGAAGGCTCGGGGTGTGGCCCCGTAAGAAAACCAGCTGCTTCGGTTTGGGCACCCGGTCAATATCACAGCTCTCACATATATCAAATGAGATTTGTGTAGCGCATATGTATTTGGTGCCTCCTTGTACCAGTATCTATGTGTTCAAATAAAATAATAAAATGAAATGATTATTTGTGCTTTCAATGTACTGCTTATCAGTTTATATTTTTTACCGTAATTATATCAGAATTACTTATTCTATTTGTTTGTTTTGTTTTTGTTGAAAAAATTTATTATTTCTTTTCAGAATTTATTATCTACTAGATGTGATAAAGACCAAACTTTACCAGAATTCCCTTTACCAATTATTGATCTTCATAATTTTAAAATCATCATTGGTAAACCATCGCAACAATATCAACAACCAGCTGGTAAATAAAATAACTGTTTGTTTGTATATTTAATATTATTAACATTCAATTGACCAATCTTATGGTTTATATTTGAATTTAGTACTAATTGTAGTTCATTTTAGTCGTTTTCGATAACTCTGTGTTCTTGAATCTTTTCAAGATTACATTTACTATCATGATGTTAATTGTTCTGTTCTCTTAGATATTATTTGTCCAGTCTCCATAGAGAATTCTCTTATTCTTTTGTTCTTCTAATTTCAATCTTCGAAAGTATTGGAAATTTAATCAATACTTTTGTAACTTAATGTTCAGAAACTTTGATAAAGAACACATACACTTTAATTTTGTGTTTAGTACAGTATTGTTTCGTATTGAAACTGTTACGAAATTAGAAATAATCCTTACACTATTGTCATTGAACATTTCGTTTTTGAATTCTTCAACAATTGAAAGTTTGAGTTTCTTTGTATTAAAAGAAATTTGAAGTGTTTGTTTGAACTAGAATGTGCTTTCATCTATTTGTCTGTCGGTCTATAGAAGATTTCGATTATTATTATTTTTTTAAATACTAGATTATTGACTCTATTTCTCTAAACAATTTTATATACCTTCATATTTTTCAGGATTTGTCCTGTTCTTTAAATGAATTCATTACATGCCCAAATCTCTTTTTAGTTATCTATAGAAACTATTAAATCTATTTCATTTTATCTAAAGGTTTTGTTTCATGTCTGTTTAATGTGATAATAGCTCATTCATGATTAGTGTGCTATGGTTTATTTGGAATCTGTATATGGGATTTGATAATGTCAAATTTCTGTTCCGTTTTATCCTTCAAAAGCTATATGTCATCTGCAAGTTCTCTCAGATCTAGTTTTACTGCATCTTGTTTGGTTTTTTATCGATGATATTCGCTATTTGCAGAATTTGATTATATCAGCTCTGTGTGTTCGTAAGTAAAGTTGCTCAGATTAACTTAGTGGTTAAGTGTCTTTTGACAATTTCGATCGGTTATTTCTTGAATATCTAACGATGCAAAATCGAATATTGTCAATGATAATTTCAGGTAGTTTATTGTCAATCAATGGGTCGTATCCCAGCCTTGATTCATTTAAAAGAAATTTGTACAGTTAATAAGTAATTTAACTAATCTCCAACCTAAATTGATAGCTCATGGTGTATTTCACAAATCGAGACCTGATTGTTGTCAGTAAAGTCATGAAAAGTTCTTTAGATCAGTATCTAATATCAAATTATTCACAATTATCTGAAATTAATTTCTTAGATTTACCTGGAACAAAATTTTTAACATATTACCCCTTCAATTTGTAGTTATAACCTTCATTCACTAGGTATGATACACTAATTATAATGATAAAAATACAAGTATATTAACCATAATAATCTTTGACTATTATAGATAATTGTAATCAAGCAAATTTACATTCCGGTAAGATATTTAGCTTTTTTGTGTTTTTGTGTTTTTACCCCATTTCGTTTAATACTCAACTGAATTTATTCACAATGCACTTATGCTTCACTCCTAAAGACCAAATGTGTATTATGTTTTGTTTGGTTTTTTTGTTTGCACGGGATTTGTGTGAACACTTCAGAAATTCCATTTGTTTGTTTTGTCGGTTTTAATTCTGAGAATATTTTTTTAATACTAACAGAGTCATTACATTGTATTATTGCTTGATAAACGTTTCAATTACTATTTCACAAAAATCATTATCAGTGCGCTCAGATCAATAGTGATTTCTTGCATTACTTTAACGGGATACAATTTGATTAAAATATACCGATCAATCTTATGATTTCTGTCTGATTGATCCGCTCAAATCTTATCATTGATTTGATTTGATTTTGTTGTGATTTATGTACGACATATTCTATGTCGTTTTATATAAAAATGTATGCTCCACTAATTTTTACTTTATATGCAACATGTTACACCGTGTAAGTTTTCCCGCCTGGACATATAATTATTGTAGTGTATAACTACTGTTTTCAAAATTTCACTGTATTGAATGAAGATTTCATTTAGTCTTAGTTTTTTTATTCACTTCAAGTAATAATTTATTAATTGGCTCAACACCTCATGAACAAAAGACAAAGATACTAGAGAAGCTTTAGTTTATAAAATGACTGGATTGTTGGAGGAGAACAACAGATTTTTTTCTTGGATGGAATTGTGTTGAGTTTTGTTTTATCGGATCAATCAGTAGAAGAAAGCAGGATGCTGATCAGTTCTCGATTGTACTCTGTTCAACTACGACTTAAGACTCATGCAATAATATACTTGAAATATCTGATTACATATTTAAGAAATTGTAATATTTACATAACTTGTTGATTATTAATAATGCAATACCAGAGTATTAGGGAAGTAGTTAACTAATAATAAATCTGGAATAATAAGATATATGACAGTGATTTATAGATCAAATGATAGTTCAGCAGTATGAGAATATAAAAACATAAATCTGAGCATATATTAATGGTACATTAAAAATAAATAAGAATACTTTCTATGATAGTTTGTAAAGTTATACTTTGGCAATACTTGGTCCATTATATTCCTGGCCTATCGGAACAATAATTTTAGCCAGTCGCAATTTCTGCTCTACACGAAATTATATGGTTTTCTGATACTTCTTCAAATCTCCTAAATGAAAATCTATCATCTAATATACAGTGGGGATTATTAAACGATGTATTCAGTTGTTCATTGTAGCGTATGTTTGTAAGTAAAAATAAATATGACTAGTAATGACATAAATCAATAATGAAGCAACGTGTACAGTGAGTACATCGTTTATATTATCATTCATTGTAAGTCATACTATGTATTTTCAGCCAAGCATTATTTCCCATTATTCGTACTTTTACAGTATAGTAATCTATATCTTCCTAATCAACACTGACTAATGATCAACAATTTTATTTTCTATTGATGAGTCCTAGTCATTGCTGATTTATTTTAAAATCAACCTAGTTACACTTCATTTATTATTGTACAACTAACTGGTAGAAGGTGACATGCCTTAAATTAATAAATAATCTTTTAATCTTTCTTAATAACTATTTTGTGGTCATAAATTATTAATGATTAAAAGCCTGATCAGTATAATCTTCTTGTCATAGATTATTTCGACAGTTGAGAACATATAAACCTTCATTCCAAAAAATCTATAAATAAACATTCTAACTATCTTTCATCTAATTCTTCATAGCTATTTGAGTGGCTAGTGAGTGAAGTTTTTACATAATATTCGTTTTATATTTAATTCAATCATTATTCCATATTTATTTTCATAATATTCCAATGCGATAGAACTTCACTAATGTCTATTTCTATTTTTATGAAAATATTATTACTTCGTTTCCATCTTATTGTTTAAAGATCTATTCGTTGAAGCTCGAGGTGTACAGTTTTCGGATACTGAAGACGATGAAATAGTGAATGAAGATATTGGTGACGAATTAACACCTTCCTCATTGTCACAAGTCATCGAGTGTGAGAATATCGATCCATTCAATAATGTAGAATTTCAAAAACTCACTAAACACTATCATAATTGGATGGAGGCCACAGACGTTAGCAGTAGCAGCAGTGAAGAAAGTTTGGTAGACGGTGATCATGTTGATACCCGTTACAGAAACGGTGATTGTTATCCTCATCATATGAATGACAGTAATGATGAATCTAGTTATCGTGTTACTCATAAAAAAAGTATATCATCTCAAAGTATGATTTGTCAACGACTAGAGTATATTCTTTTGCAAACAACATTACCAACCGATGAGTCGAAGAATTCGCATTACTTCAAACGTGATAAAATTATTTACACACCTCGTTCAAAGTATAAACGAATGCCTACATTTCCTCTTGGTGGTAAGTTAGTGAGTGTATCATAGTAATTCCTGGTCGATTATACCTACTGTCTTCAGATTTTCTGTATACTCACTATCAAAATCATTTCACTAATATTGTTGATTTAACCTTTAATGTATACATAGTAGACTGAAACTATCAAATAAACAAATCCTTCGCAGTGTTTAACTTTAAATTTCAGCCTGATAGTTATGATGCATTACGTTTTTGTATTAGTTCAACCGTTCTGGTATACATTACTTTCAAAAACATTTGGATAGGTACCGTCTGACACATTCTAACGAAATAATGCTCAAATAATATGATTGCTTACTCGCCGCAGAATGTTGCTTATAGTGTGAACTGAGCGTAAAATCTGGTGGCCATCTGGAAAGTTGGGCTTGAAAATCGTTAATATGATTTAAGTAGCGCTAAAGAGAAGCTTCAAGTAAAGCATTTGTTTTCGATGTATAAAACCAAATGTCCTTTAAGTCAATCAAAAGTATATTAATGCTCTTCTGAGGTTACCTTCAAATGTATTTACGAATTTACATGTACTTGTAAAAGCAAGTAAATAGGAAAAACGGAAAGAATCGTATGTGCAATGTTTTCCGAACATATTCCTCGTTAGTTGTGTCTCAAAGGAAATAAATTGTTTATAAGTGCAATCACTAGACTTTTAATGAGTAATTGATATAACTTTGATATCAAGAAATTTCTCAAAATAATTTAAAAGCAACTGACATCACTTATACTCTGTTTTATAGAGACCTTTACTATTAAACACCTTCGACCTGATATTTATATACTGAAAGAAAATATGACAAATCTCATTCATTTGCATTGTAAGATAGTTATATTATTTCAATGTTTGTCAATTACATTATCTCTTTATTATACCTTATAATTTAAAGTATCTTTTTTTGTCAACAAACTTCCTTGTTTATCGTTCGTTTGTTACAAATCTGTCATTTATTCTTTGTTTCTTTTGCTATTATTTACAATTTCATCGTCATTTCTCTTCACTTTTATAATTGATTTCATCTTCAATTTATGAAATACTAATGAAACTTAATTACTATTGAATTCATTAGTCGATTTTTAAACTAGACCACTATTGCAAACCTAGTAGCACTGAACGGTTGTTTCGTTCTAGTATGAGACTCCTCAGCTGTGTGCATCTATGAACTATTGTGCTAAGTATTTTGTTTCCAACCGAAATTGATTTATTATGGTATAGAATAAAAAAACTTTTTCATCAGCCGTAAGTATCATTATCAAGGTTTGACCTGATAATTTTGAATAAATTGAGCATTGGGTAGATTGTTATAAATAAAATTAAACTTCTTCTGCGAATAAATAACCAAATCAAAATTAATAGTACAAAGCGAACAACGCAAGAATATTATGTGCGATCAATCAAAAAAAGGTGTGATTGACTTATTCAGACATGTTTTTTGATTGATCGCACATAATATTCTTGCGTTCTTCGCTTTGTACTATTGAAACTTGGATTAATTTTGATTTGGTTATTTATTCTCTGAAGAAGTGAATTACACTAAGTCACGAAACGTCAAAAAACCTAATTTTTCTTCCAATTATTGGGATATCTACATATATATATATATATATATATATATATATATATATATATATATATATATATATAACAAGCCTTAAAATACATTGAATTCATGTTTATTCTGTAAAATTCGTTCGCATTTTATTTAAATTTATCAAGGTATCAGTTTGTATGAATTTCCACAATAATCATGATTTTTAATTTAGAATTGTAGAACCTGATGAGGTAGACATTGTCATGTTTTTATGGTACTCTAGTTATCACGTAATTTATTCGCCAATCAAAATACGACTTATTCGCCCTTGTACAGTATTAAACCCAAGGTCCGAAGGCGAAGTCGTACTGCTGACTGTACAGAGGTGTGACAGCAGTAAGGTGTTTCCTTCAGACAACCAGCATGACAGCGATGCTGCCTTCCCACAAGGAGGGGTGGGGTTAGAAAAGGTCGACCCTAAAAATGCACACCTCGCCTTATCCCACGGATATCCGTCTCCGGCGGTAAGGTCTCAATAAGTACGGAGCTAACACAAAAATTACCCATAACAAGGTCGTGTGTGACCGACCTCAAGCAGTTGTCCCTTGGGCACTGCGGTCACGCTCTCAGTTCACTAAGACCACCTTTAATCCAATTTCCTTTTCAGGTACCTCCAGAACAACCCTTCCACGGTGTGGGCAACCGGGAAGTGATAACCGCCCTCATACTTCTAACAGCACTCAAGTCCACTGTATTCATAATCAACCTCCTCTTCAATTCCTATTATTCCTCCTACATCGACTTTCAACTCTGTATTTCCTCTCTCGGCTTCCACCTCAAGTGTCACCGTAGCCAACGATTCTAGTGCGCAAAACACTGTCCCAGGTCTACTGAAACCTCGCTCCAAACTACACATTGGAGCCTTCAACGTACGCACCCTATGTCAAATCGGTCAGCAGGCTTCCTTGGCTAAAACCCTAGAGTCTCTTTCCATTGATGTATGCTGTGTCTCCGAAACACGCATACAGGATTCCAGTGTGGTCATTCACTTGACCTCACCTCGGCAAGACGGAGAGCCAACGAGATACACCCTTCGTGTGTCCGGTGACCCGATGGCAAGTTCTCGTGGACTGGCAGGTGTAGGCATAGCACTAAGCATAAGGGCCGAACAAGCACTGCTAGAGTGGATCCCCGTCAACAGTCGTCTATGTGCTGTTCGGCTGAACGGCTACGTAAGAACTCGGAAGGATAGGGACACACGTCGTTGCCTTTTTGTCGTTTCTGCCTACGCTCCCACTGACTGCAGCTCAGATGAAGTGAAAGATGAATTTTACAGAAAGCTATCCGAACTTCTTCAGAAAGCTAAACGCTCAGACATAGTACTCGTAGCAGGTGATTTTAATGCTCAGATAGGCAGTTTAAACCAAACAGAAAGGCATTTAGGTGGATATTTTAGTATTCCGACACAGCGAACAGATAATGGTGATCGTCTGCTGCAGCTATGCTCAGACAATCGTTTATTTTTAGCAAACACAAATTTTAAGCATAAGGAGAGACATCGTCTAACATGGCGACCCCCTACACCAAACCAACGATGGACTCAAATAGACCATATTGCCATCAGTCATCGTTGGAGAGGGTCGGTAGAAGATTGTCGTTCATTCTGGAGCACCTGCTTGGACTCCGACCATGCCCTAATACGGGCACGCATCTGCTTGCGCCTCAATGGACGCAAAAAAGCCACATTAAAAAGACCCATTAGAACTGAGTTGAGTAACGAGAAAACCAAAAGTAGGTTCCAGGAACAACTGAGGTCACACTTAGGTAGTTGTGAAGACGAGGCTGACCCAGATGTTGCTTGGAAGGGCATACAAGCAGCTGTGGAAACAGCAGTGACATCTATTAGTGACTTAAACCACAGAGTTACAAGGAACCAGTGGATTTCTTCAAGGTCTGTCACACTGATGGATTCTCGCAAACTCGTCCCATCAGGTTCTGAACATGATGAAGAGCGTAAACAAATCAGATCTAGGTTAAGAAAAAGTCTAAGGAACGACCGTGAGCAGTGGTGGGTAACGAAAGCAAAAGAGATGGAAAAGGCGGCGACTATAGGGAACACAAGACAGCTTTACAGACTAATAAAAGAAACTGGAATTAATAAGTCAAGTGTAAGTGAGATTATTTCGGAAAAAGATGATACTCTCATCTGCTCCCAGTCCAGACGTTTAGAACGATGGGCGGAACATTTTAGAGAACAGTTCAGCTGGCCTTCAGCTACTCTACAACTACCCTCCATTCCCAGACAAAGTGAATGGAACATTGAAGTAGGTCCCCCAACTCTTGCTGAAGTTGAGAAGGCTATAGTTAATCTGAAACGAGGAAGGGCAGCTGGTCCAGATGGACTGGCTCCAGAAGTCTTTAAGGATGGTGGTCCAATTTTAGCGATTAGGTTGACTAATATTTTGGCTAAAATCTGGGAGTTAGACGTTATCCCATCTGACTGGTCGCAATCACTTATCGTCCCAATATATAAGAAAGGGTCAAAATCATCCTGTGACAACCACAGAGGGATTAGTTTAACAAACATAGTATCTAAAATACTGGCCTCGATAATTATCAAACGCCTAACTAAGACTCGTGAACTACAAACACGAGAGAACCAAGCTGGCTTTAGACCTGGTCGTGGCTGCATCGACCACATATTCACCATTCGTCAGGTTCTAGAACACAGGCATACTTATCGGCGTCGTCCGACGGTGGTCTTTCTTGACTTAAAAGCAGCATTTGACTCTGTAGACCGCGAGACTCTGTGGCAGTGTCTGTCATTGAAAGGCGTACCTCAGAAGTACATAAACCTTGTGAAGGCTCTTTACTCGAACACTACTAGTCGAGTCAGGGCTTATGGCGAACTGTCATCTACTTTTGCAACCTCAAGTGGTGTCCGTCAAGGCTGCCCACTTTCTCCATTTTTGTTTAACTTCATCATAGACCTATTGATGGAAATAACACTCTCGTCGACTGAATTCTCGGGTATTGATCTCCTTCCAGGAGGTCCACTTATCGACTTAGAATATGCAGATGACATAGTCCTGTTTGGTGAAGACGCTGACAAAATGCAGAGTCTTCTGGTAGCACTAAGCAACAATGCCAGAATGTTTGGGATGCGCTTCTCTCCCTCTAAATGCAAGTTGTTGCTTCAGGACTGGTCTGCGTCAACACCTGAACTAAGGATAGGGAGTGAAGTAGTCGAACGTGTTGACAACTTCACTTATCTTGGAAGTCTGATCAGCCCTAATGGGTTGGTGTCTGACGAAATCTCAGCACGGATTCGTAAAGCTCGTTTGGCTTTTGCCAACTTACGTCACCTTTGGCGGAGGCGAGATATCCGTCTATCAATAAAAGGACGAGTATACTGCGCGGCTGTCCGTTCTGTTTTAATTTACGGCAGCGAAACATGGCCCTTAAGAGTAGAAGACACCCGTAAGCTACTAGTATTTGACCACAGATGCCTTAGAAATATTGCTGGCATCTGCTGGGATCACCGGGTAAGTAATAGTGAGGTTAGACGCAGGGTATTAGGGAATGATGGTAAATCAGTTGATGAGGTTATGAATCTTCATCGACTGAGATGGTTGGGCCACGTATTACGTATGCCTGAACACCGATTACCACGACGTGCAATGCTAACCGGTGTAGGGGATGGTTGGAAGAAAGTTAGGGGCGGCCAAACCAAAACGTGGCATCAGTGCCTGAAGTCACTAACTTCTAGTCTGAGCCATGTTGGTAGATGCAGACTACTTGGTTGGGGTCCGCGTGACTTTCGTAACCAATGGTTGGAGACCCTTGGTGACATGGCTCAGAATCGATCACAATGGCGTCGGTGTATACACTCTCTGTCTTCTCTTAAACTAAGAGATTAAGATCACTTCACATCTTTCTTTCTACGAACTAATTCTTTCTTCCTATACTATATCCTTATTGCAATCTTTCTCCTATATATTACCACCTTTGACCTAACCACTCCTATGAATCCAGTGTTCATCTTGCTGTGCTAATGAGGTATGGCAACCTGGGCCGATGCATACATGTGCCTGGTCCTACGTTGTAGCTGACTGACTGACTGATGACGTTCGACCGGTATAAGCAGCCTAGCGTCCTTATTGATGTTTTGTTCGCTTAGCCCGTCCAGTTGACTCCAGAACACCATTAACAGCTCCCACTATGCGAATCATCTATTACAAACATACTTGGTTCATATACCAGCCGAACGGATCTCATCGTACCATAAAACAGGAAGTAACATTCATACACAAATAAGCCAAAAAGTAGTTGTGAACGTGAGAGACAGTAATTAATAAACTGAGTATAACATAGGGACAGTAAATCGTACAATAATAATCTATAGGTCAAAACGAAGCTTATAATAAGAGGAATATAGATATACATAATTTAATTACTGAATAGTTATAGAATAAAAATATATAGATAATATTAGTCCATTATTAGGTCTCAGAAGTTACTCGTAATTTAATCCTCACTAGGATGTAACAGATATCAAATACGGCTGTCCGGTCTAATAACTCATTACTCTTAAGTACTAATTTGTCATCTTTAGTCAAAGTCTACATCTGTTGACAACAGCTTACAAACATTTCCCCTAAAAAATACTGAATGACAAATATTCTATGAACAGGGTATAAATATGATGATGTAATAGAAAGATTATAATACTGGAATATTAATAGTAACAAAAGATTGAGTGTGTGCAAACAGAAAGTTAGCAACGGATTATAATGTGAATAAATCAAAAGGTTAAGATGTTTTCCAGATAATAATTAAAGATAATAGAGATGTAAAATGAAAGGACATGATATGAGGAACAATTATGAATAAAATCATAAGGATATGAGACATATTTTAGGAGAGGGGGATATTTGCATATATGAGATGTAATAATAATAATAATAATAGATTAAGATCAAGTTAACGAGGTGTTTCTGATATTCCTTCATTTCATTTTCACCCCTTTATTAACTTTTTGTTATTGTAACCAAAACATTGAAAAATTTCATACACATAGTTACCTTCATCATTTTGAAACTATCATTTTGAACTGAAAGGAAAGCATATCTTAGATTGTTTGAACATGTTCCAAAAAGTCTTAGAACAAGGGAAAGAAAGACTCTGAACAGTGCAATCACCAAACATCTCCTTGATATAAGACATCAAGTAGACACCTTACAATCCTTTAGGGTGATTAGTAAGCAGCCAAACTCCAGTCTTCTGAAGTTTGCTGAAGCCATTGCCATCAGGCGTCAAAAACCTGGTCTATGTATTCAAAAGAAGGCGGTGCTTAATCTTTCCTTGCCCTGGGGATAAATATTCCTTCACTGCACCTTATAAAATTATTTTTTCTTTTTTCTTTTGCATTTATTACATCATTGACTCTATTTTATTTTTTCAACTATCTTTCAACTGAACTCTACTCACTACATTCCTTCAATGTTATTCATTATGTAATCGATTGTTTCTAACCCACTTTTGAACTGTTGTCACAATTAATGTTGTAGAATATTCTTTCACATTAGGTATATATTTACAATATTCAGTTAGCAATTTAAACCCATTATGTAATGATTTTTAAATATCACAGGTTGTAAGCAGTTGACGAGAGCCTACGAAATAAAATGAATTCATGCTATTCTGCTTAAATCTTTGTTCTTGCTCTTTTCAAAAACATTGAAATCATCTTACTTTATTCACATTATAATCCGTTGCTAATTTATTAATTTTACAAAGCTTTCTATTTGCACACACTCAATCTTTTGTTATTCTTATTCGAATGATGTAATCTAGTATTATAATCATTTTATTACATCATATAGTCATGGAACCAGTACTTTAACAAAAATATTCTATGAATGATTTATTTTTCCATTTATTATTTCTCCTACTTTTGTATTTTACGTATTCTCATCATTTCTTTCTTGATTATTAGTTCTTTTTACATGTTCAACATAGCAACTAATTGATTTTTCGAATATATAATTTGATTACAATTAGTCTCTTTCTCCCAGTTACTCAATATTATTTTGTAATTAATGTGTCATTATATAATTATTACGTAAATTAACTACCTGATGAGTATTTTTTCAATGTTGTAAATCATACATATAGGTATATATGTATATGTTGGTCTAGAGCCATGATGAAAAACTAATTATCAGAAGGGGTTAGTGGAGATTTTAGGAATTTCAATAGTTGAAATCATGAATTAATTGAAGCTAGACCACCATGGAAGAACTGGAAGCACTAAACTGCCGTTTCGTATTATTGGGGGACTCCTTAGCATTATGCATCCACGATCCCGCCCCTGCGAGATTCGAACCCGGGACCTATCAGTCTCATACTAGGATGAAACGGCCGTCCAATGCTTCCAGGTTTTTTATGGTGGTCTAGTTTTAATTGACCCACGATTTCAACTTTTGAGAAACTAATTGAAAAGAAATTTTTTCTCTGGGCTCGTTTTTTATAATCAGACATGTAAATTTTAGAGTGACAAACTACTTTATGACTACATTGGATGAAACTCATGCATCAAGTTGAAACCTTGTTCATGGTATTCTACTCAATTAATATGCTTACCAATATAGGGTGCATTATGTAATTTATTTTCACTAGAATATTAATCTGTACAAAGTTTGAATAACTTGATCAGCATTATCCACTTGTAATTTATGGGTTATTCACAATCAAGTTCTGTACTGGAAAGATTTACAGTTTTCAATTTGAGTACTTCTAAGGTTCGAAATGTAAAGATCATTCTTTTCTATTCTGTTTTTTTTATCTACCATTTCTTTTTAGTTTGCCTTCATATTGAATCATTAGTATTTGTTATTGATGACATCAATGAAATTCCCTTTTTTTCTTTTATATGATTACATGTATCTGTTTATCATTCATAAGTCTGAACCATATTTAATAGTTACCTTTTTTGTTAATCATATTGATTTTATGCTGTCAAATAAACAACATACATATTTATTTTCTTGTTCGTTTACCTTAATTTCAGAACATTTAACTGTACGAATAACACTCATTAATCCTATGCGTATTCCATTAGTTTTCACTAATGTTCATTTATTATGGATATTTAAGTTGACAAATTCCATCACAGAGTCATCATCTTGTACAGTGAATACAATTGATCCAAATATAATAAATAATTCATCTTCTCACTATCATTTATGTAATAATGTCAATAATGATCAATTAATTAATATAACAAATGAAATTACAACTCATTCCAACTATTCTTATCCTCATCATCAACAAGAAAGACAACATGAAATGATCAATCAATTTGTTTCTGGTGAAACTATAAGTGAATTTATTATGTTACCGGGAGAACGAAAAAATGTAAATTTCATTATATTCTCTGTCATAAGTTTTAATATATCATGTTCATTTCTTAATTTTAATCAGTTATCAATATTGTTTTAACCCCTTATCATTGATTGTATCTTATGGATCAACAATCCATTAAGCGACCAATTACACGTGTAATTATTCAGTAATACATTCACACTAATGGTTATGTTGTGTAAGTCTTTTTTGTGATCAATTTTCTCAAGATTCATAAGTTATCAACCATCAGGAAATCTCAGTCATTGTGTGTCATTGACTGGTTATTCGGTATTTATGAAGATATCGTCAAAGTTTCATGTCTAGGACTGTGAACAATTTTTGATGTTTAAATGCGTAGTTTACTGACTGACTTACTGAGTGTTAAGATGAGTTAGATACAATAGGTAAGAATTTACTATAGAGTCATTATAGGTCTAGTACTCAGCAATAATTCATGGTAGTTTATTTTCTTGTTTTGATGGATTATGTATAGCTCTTTTAAAGAGATTAAGTCGATATGTCACGAATATTAGCAATATAATTCGTGAAGAAATTTTCATGTTAGTAGTCCTTTTTCAGAATAACTCAATGACATTATAAATCATTATTTACATTTTATATCAGTGTTATTCATGTTTCGTTATTCTCCTTTCTCAACTATTTTCTTTCATAATTTCTAGCTTCAACTTAGTATAATCGCTAAACGATTGGGTCAGATAACTATAACTGGCCTAGGATTTGAATGGAGCTATCTGTCACCTCATCAAAATAGTGTTGAAAATCACATTAACATTAATCATTATGTTGTTAATTCACCATCTATTATTGAATCTGCGCCAAACTTATTTTTATCTACCACAACATCAAAATCATTCAACAACAATCTGTATATTGATGGTAAAAATTCATCAGTTACTGATTCAATGTGCACTAATCTCCCACCTCATATTACTACTAATAGTGACAGTGTTCCAACTTCTATTAGTGAACGTAATTCTGTAAAAGGCAAAATTCTATTCAATCATAAAAACGTATAACAGTGTAAATGATAATTCCATGATACGGCTACCGTTGGATTGGTCAATTACGCATCCAGTTCCTTCTTTAAGAGTAAGTCGGGATTCTTTTAACAAGTTATGCTTCTCAGTAATCTATTTATATATCGTCAAATAATTTCGGTTATCGCATCTTTCTTTCTGTTCTTGTCCTACTCTCCATTTAACATCATAAACTCTGAAGCTAAAACTGTCACAACGTTCAAATCCAAAGCACTGTGTCAATCATTACGCGACTTTTAGAAGCTCAAATAACGTTATTTAATTAGACAAGCTTTTAATTTGTTTTCATTTGTGAATACCTCAAGAATCGATTTCATTGGGAATAAGCTTAGCATCTTAAAAAATACAAACTAATGCTTTATCTTACTTCATCGAGTTTTAAAGTTCGCTAGTTTACATTTCATACCCACTTAGCTATCCTTCTTTATGTTTAAGCTAGTCTTAGCTCTTATTTATGATCATTAATTCATGATTCTTGTTTGATCTCAAATTGTAAAAGATGTGGCTAGAACTTCATTTCTGCAAAAGATCTTTCCCACTGTTTGTGATTTATAAATCTGTTTCCACCGTGTACATAAATCTCAATATGTCCGCTGAAGGTGAGCTGTGATTGGTTTATGATTGCAGGCCGATTTATTTATACGAAATGTAACCTATCGTGCTTGTCATAGTTTACCTTGCTTCTGGCAAATGTTGTGTTTTTATTAGGTCTTCGTACTAATGTTGTTGGAAGGCAATCACGTTTTCAGGTAATTCGTTCTAAGCGAGTAAAAAACGTTCTGGAGCGTGACATTGGTAGACTCGCAGAGTTCTAAAACATATGGAAACTGATACGCATCGATAAGACATTCGTTTATCTCACCTCTGTTAAATCCTTTTAATTGCTGTCCAACCTGTACTGAGTAAAAGTTAACACCGAATATAGTCGTGAAGTAATTTCTTTCTGTTTTGAGAAATAACCATATTTTCGTATTTCCTGTGCTACTTACAACTTACTGCTATTTTCTGTTGACTCATTTTTCCATCTATCACTTTACCTTAATAAAATAGCTCTGATGTTACTCAACTGTTCATTATAGTATCGTTTTCGCGATTACTTTCGTATTACATAAACAATGAAAAAATATTTGACTGTTAAAACTCTATCGCTAGTATATGAGGTCCCACCACGTGCGAGTAAAGTCAGATGTCTCAATGTTATGTCCGTAATAGAGGTTGTGGTTCTTATTTATCGTATATGTATACGATTTTCTCAACAAAGCATATAAGGATTCTGGAAGATACACAGCCTACCAACTTTCTAAACTGAGTTTGTGAATATATTTTTAATAGATAAATGCACTATACACTAAACCAGTGGTTAGCATCCACATTAATACTATATGAGTTATTTGGTTACTCGTAGATACATCCAAGTTCCGTTAGCTACTATTCTTTAGGGGAGTAGATCGTAGGTTAATAACTATTTGTGTCGAACTTCAGGTCGTATTGAATAATTAACAAGAGTCAAGGTTTCAAATTATTTCGTTTACTTCACAATCTGCTATGTCACATGTTATTTATATTTTCATATGGCTGATAAATTTGTTAACTATCTTAGAGACATCGTTGTTGGTGTTTTGAATATTGTTTTCCTTGTGTTTATTTTATGAGTTAAGATGGAAAAAGAATTCATTGAGTGTTTTTTATCTTGTATCTTTTGTTCGTAACGTTCGCTGTGGAGTGTTTATTGGCTTATTTCGAAATGTACGAGAATATCGTCTTAAACTGTTTATCCAGTTAATTGTACAATAGAATCAAATGCATAGATCACTATTTCTTTTAAATTTTATTACTGCAAGATTTTAACAAATAAAAATATTTTCCAATATATCATTGATTCGTATTTTTCTTTGAATTAGTTGGTTTCTGTATTTTCATCCTGTTCTTTTGTTATGGACGACATATTTATAGGTATTTTTCAACTCATTCCCAAGCCAACTCTATGAAGGTCAGATATGTTCAGTTCAAATTTCACTAACTAATAGTGGGTTAATACCACTGACTAATTTGCGTATCGCATCAAATTGTCCAGGTTTATTTGCATTTGGTTCAATTCCATATGATCTGTCACCAAATAAACATATTCATTATCTTTCAATTCAGGTAGGTTCTGGTATTTACGAACGTTCGTTTACTTTTATTGTGTATATTTTATGCACACAACAGTCAAAACTTTCTGTGTTCTTGTTTGGGATATTCTAGCAGTATTTTGAATTACTGATGTGGTGATCAGCGTGATGGGTGTTTTAATTATACTGATATGTTTCTGTTCAATCTGTTCACACAAATCACAATTTTTGCTTGTTGATCCTGAAATCCGTATTCACCTTTAAAATGATTATGCTCGTCTGGGTTGTCTGAGAACAAACAAGTGGACCAATCTTTGATTTTTGGTGAACATCCAAACAGTTGCATAAAGTCATAAGTGCTGTTGAACAAGAAACTGCTAAGATTTGAAGTGATGGTGAGACTAATTTATGGATGACCTTTGAGAGACACTAAACGACCTTGAGAGTGCCCATCTAATAACTAGGACCAGATGAGGGTTATAAACCTGTGTGAGGAATTAGGATTATGTTTTACAGTTGATGATTAAGGTTAGGAATTTGCTTTAGGGTTTTCATCACGAACTGACATCAGTTGTAATGCCAAAACTCTATTTATTCAAATGGATGAGTGAGTTTCGCGCCAAAATCAGAGACATGTTATTTTATACCTGATTGGTTTGTCCATAAATTGTAGTCTCGCCGAAATGATTGGTGATCAAATAATCCAGATAATTGCAGATTTTTATCAGAAGGGGTTTGTGGAGATTTTTAGAAATTTTCACAGATTGAAATCATGAGTCAGTTGAAGCTAGACCACCATTGAAAACCTGGAAGCACTGGACGGCCGTTTCGTCCTAGTATGGGACTCCTCAGCAGTGAAATTTCTAAAACTCTCCACAAAACCATTCTGATAATAATCAACTGCTCATTAGTGACTGACTTCAAGAAAAGCTCCTGGAGTTCTAGTGGGAAGCCGTTACCAGTGGAGTACAACCAGGTCTGTTGTGAGATATCAGCTCACTGAAGACAATGGTATATGGTGGCGCAACTTCGTGGATTGGTTGAAGTTAGACATTAACACCGTTGTATGCCGGCCCAGTGGTCTAATGGTTAAGTGCTCGCGCGCGAAGCCAGTAAGTCCTGGGTTCGAGCCCCGCGTGGTGCGGGATCGTGGATGCGCACTGCTGAGGAGTCCCATACTGGGACGAAACGGCCGTCCAGTGCTTCCAGGTTTTCAATGGTGGTCTAGCTTCAACTGACTCATGATTTCAATCTGTGAAAATTGCAGATTTATTGAAACAGTATTTGAAAATATAATATAATATGATATTTCCGAAGGTTGGATACTAGGTACGAATCTCAGTGGACAAGTATCTTCGTTCTGAACTTTTGTATCACAGAATTCAATGTATAACTATTGTATGTTATGATTCGGTGAATAATACTGTTAAGGTGATTAAGTTTAATTTTGAGCGACAGATGAATGCAATGATGGCTTCTCATGATATTGAACTATTGACTCAACCACAACTTACCCCCCTTACTCGATTTGGTGGATAGTGAAGACAAGACTATTAACCAGAAAATAGAAACACATTATAATATAATTCAAGATTGTATCGATAAACCCTCATTCCTAACTTTTAGTCCAATAAACTATTTGTTGAAATATAATTGAATTTACTGGTTTCACTCAAAAGTCTTAGTTCTCTCAAAGTTCGATAAGCTCTTGCTTTTGAAAACTGTAACAGTGAAACTGTAGTAGCTTACTCAAATAGTTAGTCACTTTTACTGAAGTTTGATGCACTGAATTCAAGACTATTTGAAAGTGCATCATATCTAATAACGTTAATGCATTCGTTTGTCTGTGAGTAAACCAGGGAAGCAGTCATAATAATAGGAATAACACTTAATAACAAGGTATTGCTTTCAGCATTTACAGGTTTGTGCAGTGATGACTCAAATTTACTATTTGAAAAAAAATTACCGTTTTTATAAAAACATGTTTAGACAAGCATGATTTTATTTGAGCAGGAATTGACAAAACCGCATCTTCTTTTTTTTTTTTTAAAAAAAAAAAACTTTTTAGCCATTAGAGCCATGGATTGATGTTCCTTTTAGTCAGTCTTCTTTAAACAACAGTTACTGTACTGGTAAACAACCTTCTATACTAATGCCAGGTACAACTATTACACAGAAATTATGGTTACGTGGTCCATATTTAACATATCCATATTCTCGTAGAATGCATCATAACCCGAATTCACATCGTTATCCTCAGCTCATTTCAGCTTTACCATCATCATCATCATCATTATCTAATCAAAGTAGCTATGGTAGTAACACTTCCGGTGTTGTAACTTATGGTGGTCCTCCTACCGTTACTACTACAGTTCCTGTAACTTCTACTATAAACACCAATACTGGTATTTTACATCATATACAGCAAAAAACTGTACATATTGTTTTTCAATATGAATCCACTAACAATTTACGAAATGAACAAAGGCAAAAACCATTTTCTGGGTAAATTTCTATTCATTTGAATGATATCAAATTGTCTTATTTATTTTTTAATTAACAGTGTTCCTATTTGAGGTTTTATTATAGATAAAATGTTAAACAGAAATCTTGTCATTACTTCATATTGTGATCTGTTTAAACAGCATGAAATTTTCACTAATAACTCAAAGTAAAAAAAGAAAATTTAATTATAAATTTGGAAAATCATGTAAAAGCTTAAAAGTGAACAGTGTTGCTAAGTCCACTTGATATTGTTTTACTTGAATCTTCCCATTGATGTTTCAGGACTGAAATTGATCAGTCTCTCAGGACGAAACGGGCGTCCTAGATTCCACTGCTAGCCACTATCCGTCTTTGCTTATAATGCTTGCAAATTAAGGCAATATCGAGGCATACGCACAGTATGCACATATGTCAATAAGAGACTGATCAATTTCAGTCCTAAAACATCAATGGGAAGATTCAAGTAAAGCAATATCAAGTGAATCCAACTTCAACCCATTGCACAAGTAAGTGGCTATCAGGACTCAGTAGCTAAGTGGATAACGCGATGGCGTTTGAGGCGAACGGTACTGAGTTCGAGTCCCAGAGTGAACATCAACTCTGAGATTCAGGTACATCCAGCTGACGAGTCCCAAACAGTAAGAAACGTGCGTCCTGGATTCCACTGCTAGCCACTATCCATCTTTGCTTATAGTGTTGCTAAGTTTTTATGTTTAAGATGACATCACTAAAGTTCTTTTTTTTTCAAAACACAATTCTTGTACACTACAGAGCATAATGGAGATTTATTTAAAGTGCCAGATGTACTATTAACCTCATAGACAGTGGGATAAAGTTTAAATTTATAGTTTTAAGGTATCATAACAATTTAATAACAAAACTTTCAATTTTCAGTAAATTTCCCACTTCTATCAGTTTGCTGTGTTTAGTTTCTTTTTTTAGAAGTTCAATGTACTTCAACCTGAAAACATCCTTCGCTTGTTAATTGTTTAAAAATGATTGAACATGTTTGTGATGAAAATTGAAAAGAAGTTGAACATCTAGTTTCTTTTCGATGGATTTCTAAGTGGTATACTGGATGTTAAATAAACGTTGTGTAAATCAATAATGTCTATGATTGTAGGTATCAATACTAAATTTAGATTTGATAGTTTCCAATCAATTGACTAGTGGGTAGAAAGTTCATAATAAATTTATTTTTTGCTATATCCCAATGAATAGAAAAAACTATATTTCTGATGTTTCGTAACTTAATCTAAGCCACTTCTTCAAAGGAAATAAATAACACAATTCATGTCCATGTGTTGATCAACTTCATGTATGAAATATTTTACGTTTCTAGAACTGTATAATTCGGTGTTGTTATAATTGACTGAAAAACATATTCACACTATATATATATATATAGACTATATGTAGACTAGTTTATTATGTGTTCACGTAGATTCTCATTATATTGCACATTTCTACACTTTTTGTCAAGTTGTCGTTATGTTCGCCATCGTTCTGAACTTGAACTGAAACCATCATTGCATTTTGAAGCTGTTGCAAATTGTTTAAATATAACCGATATCAATGATTTGCTGATTAGTGTACAAATTAAAAATGTTGTTAATTCAACAGTAAGTTAGTTTTATTTTTATCAATTATTGTAATTAAAAAAGACGAATGAATAGCTTATCATAATTAGATGTTAATATTATTATTCTGTTTATGAGTACAATGTTTCATTTCGACTTTAGTTTAGGATATATGTAGTAGATGTGAATACATCTCAGTCTATAATATGCTCATCTGTGCAAACTCTAATTAATTTCAGAAGGGGTTTTGTGGATATTATGGTAATTTTTTAATAGTTAAGATCATGAGTCAATTGAAGCTAGACCACTATGGAAAACCTGGAAGCACTGGAAGGCCGTTTCGTCTTACTGTAAGACTCCTCAACAATGTGCATCCACGATCCTGTCTAGTGAAATCCGAACCCAGGACCTATCGGTCTCGCACGCGAACGCTTAACTCCTAGACCACTGAGCCGGCAGGCATTCAACGATGTCAAACTTCAACTAATCCAAGAAATTGAGCGACACATCCACCATTTTCATCAGTGAGTTATCTCACAACAGACCTGGTTGAACTCCACCGGTCTCGTCTCAATTGACTCATGATTTCAACTATTGAAATTACTAAAATCTCCACAAAACGCCTTCTGGTAAAACTAAATAGTGGGATTACAATTGTATTGATAAATCATTCAATTTCCAACATAAAAACAATTTAATAAACCTGAACTCCTTATTCCATTTTATCTATCACTTATTATCTGAATAACAGCAGTTACATTGAACGGTTTTTAATCAATTGTCTTATCTGAATATATTAAACAATTAACTAGAACACAAACATTCATTCCTTCATTTTTATTTTGTTTATTTATCTTTATTTTATACATGCTCTAACATATACTTGATTCATATCATATATGAAAATTGTAGTGTTTTCACCGATCAGAGATAATATATAGTTGATGAAATTTCTTCTCACACTACTTATGACTACATACCACATGTCTCTTACACGCTAAAGCAGATACCTACTTTAAACATTGTTAACATTGATTGGATGACTTATTCAAGTATACAGTTAACTAGAGAATCATGTATTTATTTATATTCGATCATTTTGATGTTTGATGATATTTCATTGAAAAAAAAAGCTTGAACCAAATTGTCAGATAAGAAACATTGAATTTACTTCATCTTCTTTAATGTGTCACATCAACTTGTCACCCATGTACTGTGTGTGAAACTGTATGATCCTATTTGATACGAATTTTTATTTTATTTATTAGGTTCCTATAAATTTTCAAATTATGCAGATTGCTTGTATTAGTCGTGATTGGAGCATAAAACCTATTCAATCAACTTGTAATATTGGTAAGTGTAATATAGTTTATTTAATATTTATTATTTTGACACTATTCACTCTTTAGTATTTTACAAATACTGTAGTTGAATAATTGATGAAATAGTCTTTTCAAGTTGATAGTTTGTTTGTTTGTTTTTCTTTAGTTTTTGATCATCTGTAATCTAACTTTCATTCTTACAAGTCATATTTAATAATCTTTCTGAAAATTAGACATTTACTTATATAGAAATGGTCGATCCTTCTAAAATGTCATATGTCTATTGTGTGTACATGTAGTTTATTAAAAATGCGGTAAATTGGTTGTAGTTTTGATAGACTTCTAATCAGTTTTAATTATAAAAAACTTTGTTGAGCGATTTAAAACATAAACTACCTTGGAGTTTTAGCTTATTTACTGAGTTTACTAATCGGTACACCATCTAAAAATCAATTTGCTGACTTAGTAATATATTGTAGTGTCGGTTGACATGTTAAGCCCATATATCTTATTCTCGTTTTCAGATAAGTCAATCTATTCATTCTAGTTGAGTCACATTCCAACCTTGTTATTTATTCGCTTACCCATCTTGACTGTTTTTATATGAGCGCTTAGGTGTGTGTACATTTCTTACTCTATTCATCACATGTCTGTAACTTATTTTTGTGTGACTAAATATTGATTAACGCTCGACCAAATAGAGTTGGCTTACCCACCATCTCTACTGTGTGTCGTTTCGCTTCTCTCTATTCTATTCGCTGCATATACAAAATATATGTATTCAAAAGTCCATTCTCGTTATTTGACTTATTTAATTCCGTTATTGATCAACGCCACTAATGTCGATGATTATATACCAGGATAGGCGACATATATATTTCAATAACAACCATTCATACTACCTACCTGGAGTCAGATCCCGGGCCACTAAAATATCACTGGTTCATGAAGTCATAAACCAACTTCTAATCCTTTCAAGTTTGTTTAACAAAAAGCGTAACTGGTCATTGGGTAATATTAGATAATGCCATTTAATTTAATGCAATCACTCTTCCATCAGATCTAGATGTTTTGCTCTATCTATCTATCTATCTTTGAAAAAAAAAAGTATCTCTATTTTCTGATCCTTCGTTAATGTGATTTCCAGTTTTATTTAATTTACCGCTCAAACAAAAGACAATTACAATTAAACATGTTATTCAATTTTTACCATTTAACTGTCCATATAAATTCGTTTGCCTAACGGAGATATTAACATTGTTCTATTTAATCATACAACTGATTTTAAATTGAATAAAAGCGTTGAACTTGATAAGACTTTCAATCATTTTTACCTTGTTGTTGTTGTTTGTTTGCTTTTTTAAGTTCACTACACAATCACAAATACGAGTTACAGTATCGATAGTCTTATGTATAGATCATCATCTACTCAGAAATTGTTGTTTCTTTGTTTTTACTAGTTGGTTGTGTACTTTTTTTTCCTTAAAATATTTACATTTATTGATTTAAACCTAATGGCTTTTGTTTCACTCAATTTCTTATTCACATAAAGTTGACCTATGACATTATGAAAAGATGAAATCAATAAAAACAAATGCACGTTTTACCATCTCTTCACTCTACATTTTTATAGTTACACTTTAAGTATTTTTGTTATATCTTGGATGTTGATTTCTTGATATACCGCGTATAACAGAGCACTAGAACACCGAAACCCTTCCAAGTCGCCATAAGAAGACAGAAGACTAATGAGATGAATATTATTCCAAACAGTGTCAATTATAGCACAAAATTGTCAGCTATTTATAGTTTTTAGTAAGAACGAAATCATCATTACAGTCCTCCAATCCGCATACAGGGGGTTATTAGCATTATCCGACCGGGAAGCTACATGTAGGAATTCTAGAATATTCTTCCGAAAGGTGACTGGATGGAACGTCTTCGTCTCCTTCTGAGCCTCTTACAGCTTCCTCGAGTTCACTGGTGGTCCGTCGTCACAATTTTATACGAATTCAATCATGAATTTATTGAATTAAACAAGAACAACAAAAAGAGAAATAATATCAAATCACATGTATCTCTCATGTTATTTTATTTTTGATCAACTTAAATGTTTGTTTTTTTCATGATAACTCTTCATTTCTTCAACTTAGATACTGTTCCTAGTATAAATGTAGGAGAAATTATCACCCTTTATTTCAAAGCTATTCCAACCAAAAACAATCCAGAAATAGGACAAAACCAAAAACAACAAACTGAAAAGACTAATGCCACTTTAAAGAAGGGGAAGAAATTTCTTTCTGTAATTCATTTCAGTCATCATCATTATTGTCAATCAAATAATACTGATAATACTGATAGTAATCATTCAGTTGTATCAGATATGAGAAATATTATACAAAATTCAGATTTACCACAATCATTGATCAACATATGTAACGATGATGACATGATGAGGTTATCGTCAACTCATTTAGAATTTTTTGTCGATCTGGAATAAATTGGCATCATCACTCTGTAAGTATTTATAACCTTTTTAATTTCTATATTTAATTTTAAGTAACATCAATGTAAAATAATAAAGTGGTTGTATTTTGAAATTTTTTCCTGTTTTCTTAATGTATTTAGTAAAAATTGTAGAATATTCACCCAAATTATGTTACTGAGATAATTACTACAATTATGGTTTATTTGTTGATCATCTCCGACGAAAAATGTTACTGACTAAAATATAATGACCACATTAGATGTCGCGAAGGGCTGTTCTTTAAAAAAAAAAAAAAAAAAAAAAAAAATTCGTCCAGGCATGTGTTCCATTCAGTCAGCTTTTTGGAATAATGTCACATGTCGAGGATAACATTGTATCGTTTTAAACGACCAGTACCGGGTTTGAGTCTCACAGTCAATTTTAACGACAGAATGCAGATACATCCTCAACTGATGGTTTTTAAGTACTTTAAAACTCACTCCATATAATTCACTCGTAGATACTGTCCGGATCATAATCAATCGGCATTCAGTAGTTTACATGGATGTAAATGGTATTCTTTAATAACTTTATTTTTATTCGATCCTAGTTGACTGTTTTTAAATTTGTTTGACTTACTATTGTCAGTATTTATGAGCCACATTCATAGAGATTCTAACGTGACCACTTGTTAATCAGTTGTTTTAGACCTGAATAAACTTACCTTGAATGCGTTCCCAGCGAAGATTTTATGCTGTTACCAACCTGACGACTCTTCATTCACTTGTTTTTCCAAAAAATTCAGTTTTCTAAACTAGATACATTGCCCGTTGTATATTTAATCGAATTATAATGTACATTAACTCTGATGATAGTTATTATTGTGTTTATCACAAGATATTTATTGTCTGTAATTGTTGTGGTTCTTTATGTTCATTAATAATCAAGGATAAATAAGAATTAAGTCAGTATGTTACATAGATCTAGTTAGTTTAACTAACTCACTTCTAAAACATGGTATTTTGAAGTGTTTTTAAATTTACATAATTTCTAAGATTTAACCTAACAACAATTTGATCGGCTTGAGATTTGCAATTCATGGATTGACTCTGACATTAAACTGTGTGTATTACGAAATATATTGAATGTGGACAAAATAAATTCTCGAATACTTGTAGTTCTGTAAGTGTATAAAAACAAAACATTTTGTCAACAACAAAAAAAAAGCCATTATGAATCCTAATGACAATTTCAGGAGTAAATAAGGCTTCGTTGTAGTACAAAACTCAGATGTACTTGTAGTTTATACTGAATAATGTAATATTTTCAACAACAAAAAGAAACATATCATATGCTTAATTCAGATGATATAAAGTACTGATTTTATTATCAGACTATAAAAATAAAATGATGATAATTGGTTTCTACCAATCAAATAGTTTAAAGTTATGATTATAAACTAATTGATGTTAATGCTGTTTTTTATTTGTAAATATTATTTCTAAACAATCATTAAACTAATAGAATTATAAAGCTCTTAGAAACCTCGAAGTTTTTCATATTTCTAGTTATATTGTTTTAATATCAGGGAGAAAGATCATTGTCATACTAAATCAAAATGAATAGATTTCAGTGTTTTATCGAGAAACAAACTGGTTGCATTCGGATAATTGTAAACTGAAAATCTTCAAATATATGAAGTTTATCATTAAGTTTTTTTTTTAGAAATTCCGTCGTTCAGCTCAGTAACGGATATAGAATTGTAGAAATACTGACTCATGAAGCTGCCTTTTATCTTCTCATTGAGTTGCTCTTGCTACTAAGACAAACAAACGAAAGAGGTGCTTGGAGATGAATGGTCGCTAATCTATATTCCAATTATGTTAATAATTTAAACGTGACTATCATGTCTTTTGTTATTTATCTTATGTACGAGTCATTACAATGAAGTATTTTGATTGTTTTGTTTTCAGAATGATGATTCAATTAAATCTTCTGACGACAGTTTATCCTTGGATATTAATCTTCTTATAACATGGAAGGTATACAGAATGGTTAATAATATTTTTTTACTGCCACTATTATTCTTACTACTTAGAAGATATATATATATATATATATATATATATATATATATCGCTGTATATTAGAGTAGAGCCTGATGATGATCTAATCGAAAACAATGTCCGATTATATGTTATTATTTGCAATATCGGGATTTCTGGTGTGTGTGTGTATGTGTTTATATTAATTTGTTGTCTAGGTAGAGGTATTAGTTTGTAATTTCGAATACTATTCATTGAGAACATTGACCATATTTCTCAAAAATTTCTGTTTTCTTAAAACTGTTTGTTTTTATTCTGTATTCTTGTGTAGGGTTCAACAGAAACTACACTAACTAATCTTCAACAATCTATTTGGGGGCAAAGTCATTTAGGAATTAATCATCTAAATTATCCAGTACGAATGCCATATAACTATGACAATAATTATGTAAGATTTCGTTCTCAATAATGTTACTTTTGTTTGTTATGGGTCAATATTCTTGAAAATTTCTTCCTGATGTTTATGTCAATAATCTGTAGTAAAAGAGACGTTATAATTACAACAGTTGATATTATATGTATGAGGGTGTACGGTTTCTGCACATTTATTTGTTGTTACATAATTTTTATTGTTTTTAAACCAATGATTCCTTTCTCAAGCAGTTAGAGATTGTTTGATATTTCACTCTATCAGTTTCTTTATGATATTGGGCACTTAAATGTATATGCACTCAACATTCAGCTTCAAATATTATATTACCACCTAAAATCGTGCACTTTAACAGTTGAAGTGTGCCTTGAACTTAAAACGTTAGCCAGATTTATCTGAACTATATACATTCACATCATTCGTATCCAAACACTTAATGACTGTTCTAACATTTTTTTGTTCAGATTGCTATGCTAGACGGTCTTTTTAAGGTATCATGTAATATTTCGGTTGTTCATTGTAAACTCGTAGGTTTGTGTTTTTATAATTTTGACAGTTTCAAGAAACTAAATCCAAGGTGCTTAGCTAAATATATCATTAGTACGAATTACTATATTCCCCTATTATTATAATAGTTATTATTGATTAATCATTGTTGTTGGACTGTGTCGGGTTTTTGGTGTGGAAATATATTTACGTTCTAGTCAGGCTAATCACGTGTTCTTGATCTGAGTTGTGTTGAAGTCCTGTAGAATAGACACCGGGAAGGAATCTAGTGTAGATAATCGTCTAAGGTAAATTAACGTCCCATATGTGTAAACGTGAAAAACCCAACCGTTATAACAATTTCGATGAAACTTAACAATCATAAGTGTTAAATAAGTCTTGTTCAACCGTGAAATATACGAATACACTGTAGAGTACATTAAATATTTTACGTTTATTATCTTGAAGTCGTAGTTAAGCAATTGTAATAAGGATTTAGAAGATCAATTGATTATTTTCAATTTCACTTTATCTAATTTAGTTTGAATAGCAGAATAATAAAGTTATAATCAGATGATTGTAGATAACTAAACCACTAACCTAATTAGATAATTTTTTTAAACTAAAATAGGTATAGGAATAATGATTAGTCTCGATAACCTTTGGAGCATTATTATGTTCATAGTAATTCTCGACAAAAATAGTTTGTCATTCTATCGATAACTAATAATATTGTAATGAATACCATTAGTAGTATCAATTATATTGAAATTATATCAAATATAACTGTAAACCATTTGATTCTTACTAGTAAAATTCAAACAATTGGATATGTAATTTTTAATAATTGAGATCATGAATCAATTGAAGCTAGATCACCATAGCAAACCTGGAAGCACTAAACGGCCGTTTTGTTCTAGTATGGGACTGCTCAGCAATGCGCATCCACGATCCCGTCTCTCTAGATTCCAACCTAGGACCTGTCGGTCTCGCGCACCAACGCTTAACATCTAGACCACTGAGCCGGCCGGCATCCGATAGTGTTAATGTTAAGTTTTTAAATTAATCTAATGATGTTCATTCATTATAAAATATATTCTGTGATCAATTGTTTATTATTATTATTATTATTCTTTAAATGATTACTTTACAGAATACATTGGATTTACAATCATCTAGAAGAAGATTTAAAAAGCGTAAACATAAAATCATAAATAAGACAAATTCTACAAAAATAGTTGATTTCAACGAATTTGATTTATCCAATTTAATGAGATTTCAATTAAATTATCCAAAACTTGTAAATTATTATTCCCAGAAGAACAATAATATTTCTGATGATCAAAATCAACACAATCATAATCAGAATATAAATTATACTACTTGTTCATTTGAAGATTTCTTTAAACATTTTTATAATTCACCATTCAATCTTCTTAATAATAATCGATTAATATGTGAACAATTGAAAAAATTGTAAGTACATATTTGTCATTCTAAGAATTATTGTTAATTATGTCATGATTTATATAATCCAAATTACAAAAATATAAAACATTTCACTATTTTATATAAATTGTACAGTTTACTACTTGGGTACCAAGCCCTGCTACGACCGAAAGTGGGGAGAGTTAGCTGTCCCCCTCCAAATACTCTCACATGGCCATGTGCATATAACCACTACCAGGAAAGTCCTACTCGCTACCTTCTCGTGACACTAATGTTGTTTACCAAACTGAGTGGACGAAAAGCGTATGAACCAATCGTTGGTCACCGGCTACCATGGGACTGCATCTCCTCACGATGCTCCACTGCCTTGTGGATCAGACCTTCAGGTCAAAGGCTCCGTGTGCGGCTCCCTAAGAAAACCACCTGCTTCAGTCTGGCACCCGATCAGTATCCTAGTTCTCATACAAATCGAATGATTTATGTGGTGCATATGTATTCGGTGCCTCTTTGTATCAATATTTATGCGTTTAAATAAATAAAAGTTTTAACTTAATTAATTATTAGGAAAACTATTCATATTAGAATTCTTCTGATATTTGATAGTTGTGTGAAGGCTATACCCCTTCAGAGATTTAATGGCTTTACACGTTAAAACATTTTTAACTAGTAACAACAATTTTCCTGAAGCATAGAGATTTACGGTGTAGAAAGAAAACAAGAAATGTTTCATTGGTTAAGCACTGTAGAAAAGTAACTTTCCACCCAAACCAAACTGAAAAATCCAGTTCGTTTTTTCACAAGATAAAGAACGATGAAATGCCTTAGTCATACGCTTAACCTGTAGACCACTGAGCCAGCATCCAATAGTGTTTATCTTCAACTTCAATCGATCCATGATCTTGTACAACCCTTTATCGATTATCTGAGGTAGGTACCTGTCTCTACCCGACATTGATTTGAACTCCACTGATTATGGCTTCTCACTAGAGTGATTTTAATGATTAAATTACTACAATCTCGACAAGTCTCAACTTCGATAATTAGTTGATTATCAACTATTACATTAGTTTGATGTATTCAAGTTAGTTATTTTCCAGATGAATTAGATGGCAATATCATCTCACCATATAATTCAATTTCATTTTCAACAGTTATTGATTTTTGATAGGTGCGCAAGTAAATCTTTATCTTCAGTTCTGTATTATTTCTTCCATTATACATTAGCAAATAACAGTTTCAGGTCTGCAGTCATCAGAAATAGTAGTAGTAGTAGTACTCATCAGATTTCTACACTAAATTATGTCCATTTATTCTCATTTTCAATTGCAATTTTATAAAATGTATTTGCTTTGAATTACTTATTAGAAGTGATTATGGTAGAACCTAATGATCACATTATTTTCAGAAGGGGTTTTGTGAAGATTTTAGTAATTTCAATAGTTGGAATCATGAAAGAATTGAAGCTAGACGAAACAGTCGTCCAGTGCTTTCAAGTTTTACATGGTGGTCTAGCGTCAATTGACTCATGATTTCAACTATTTAGATCACATTATTTGTTTGTTTCAATTTGAGAATTCTACAATTTCACTTCCATTCAATGTGTTTAAAATGTATATTAAAAAAGAAAAAATGCCCATATGTAAAGGTGTATTTTCTTTCTAGAATATTATGTCCTATATGATTATCATCTATATAATATCAAGTTGATAATAATCTTTATTAATTAATTATTTGTATAACATAATCGTTTTAATAAATTTCTACTCATTCATTTCATGTTAATTTTTTATCCTGTGAAAATGTATTCACATCAAGTTTTGTTCCAATCTCTGTACAAGCCAAAATATACAATAGTTCAAAATGGCCTATTATTGTTCAATTAGATATGAATGATAAGAATGAATTTCAGTAAGTTGTTTGATTATTATTACATTTGTGTTTGTAGATTATGTTATGTATATTCCCTATGATAATTTTTTTACAATCAGACAGGGGTTTTGTAGAGATTTTAATAATTTGATAATTGAATTCATGGGTCAATTGAAACTAGACCACCATGGAAAACCTGGAAGCACTGGATGGCCGTTTGATCCTACTGTAGGATTCCACAGCAGTGTGCATTCACGATACCGCCCCTGTCGAGATTCGAACCCAGGACCTATCAGTCTCGCGTGCGAGCGCCTAACCATTAGACCACTGAGCCGGCATCCAACGGTGTTAATAAATAAAATAATATATTTGTAACAATCAACCCAATGCTCAATTTATTCGAAATTATCAAATCAAACCTTGGCAATGATACCTACAACGGTGTTAATGTTTAACTGATAGGCCCTAGGTTCGAGTCTCTTGGAGCAGGATCATGGATGCACACTACTGAGTCCTATACTATGGTGAAACAACCTTTCAGTGCTTCCAGGTTTTCCATGGTGGTCTAGCTTCAATTAACTCATGAATTCAATTATTAAATATTTTTTACATTGAATAACTGAATAAATCATATTATTCAATGAGAATAGGTATTGTACATTAGATTTCCAGATTAGAAAACAGGAAAAAAAACAATTTGAAATTAGATTATCAAACAGTTTTATATTCAGTGTTGTAGCCGATATTGTTCATTTGAAATAGTCTAGTTTTTGCATACATTAATTGATAGTGTTTTCACAAGACTCGGTATTGATAGAGTCCACATAGATGACTTGAAATGTTTGTAGAAAATCTATTCATTAGTTCATTCTTTATCTTCTAAGAAATCCTTATCAAGTTATTATTACTCTTTATTAATGATCTCTTATTGACTAATAGATATCGTAAATAATAACTTTCAAGTCGATATCATTATCTGATCGCTCTATCTTTCTCGGTTAACATGTCTGAATTCAGTTGTTCTGAGTATCTATGTGGACAAATTTTCACAATAACAAGAATAATAAAGTATCGGGTTGTGATAAAATAAAAAGTGTGCATTCGCTCTATGCTGGTGACTCTCATTGAAAGGAATAAACCAGTTTGAATAATCTCGAAAGCATGAAACTCGCATTAAAAATGCAGACCATGAGTCCTTGATATAACTATTTTACTCATTCCTATTTGATGTATATTTCGTTTACTATGGTCCTCACATATTCGCTCATCACTTACCTACAACACCTCATTAAAGTATGTAATATATGTCAGTCCTTTTAAGATTTAAGACGGCGGTTGAATGTTACTTACTTACTTGCGCCTGTTACTCCTCGTGAAGGAACATAGGCCGCTCACCAGCATTCGCCATCCAACCCTGTCCTGGGCAATCCTTTCCAGCTCCTTCCAGCTGTTATTCATCCTTTCCATATCTGCTTTCATTTCCCGACGTAATGTGTTCTTTGGCCTTCCTCTTTGCCGCTTCCCTTCAGGATCCCAAGTTAGAACTTGCCTCGTGATGCAGTTTGATGATTTGCGTAATGTATGTCCTATCCATTTCCATTGTCTTTTCCTAATTTCCTTTTCATCTGGAAGCTGGTTTGTTCTCTCCCACAAAAGGCTGTTGCTGATGGTATCCGGCCAATGGATGTTGAGTATCTTGCGTAGACAGCTATTTATCAATACTTGCACCTTCTTGATGATGGTTGTTGTAGTTCTGCAAGTTTCAGCTCCATACAGTAGAACTGCCTTGACATTCGTATTGAAGATTCTCACTTTGATATTGGTTAAAAGTTGTTTTGAGTTCCATATGTTCTTCAACTGTAAGAATGCTCTCCTTGCTCTGCCAATCCTCACATTTACGTCTGCATCTGAACCTCCTTGTTCATCGATGATGCTTCCCAGGTATGTTAAAGATTCTACATCTTCCAGAGTTTCTTCATCAAGAGTGATTGGATTGTTGTTCTCCGCTTTGAATTTAAGGACTTTGATTTTCCCCTTATGTATGCTGAGGCCTACTGATGCAGAGACTGCAGCTACATAGGCTGTCTTTATCTGCATTTGTTCATATGTATGCGATAGGAGGGCTAGGTCATCTGCGAAGTCCAAATCGTCTAATTAATTCTGAGCTGTCCATTGTATTCCGTGTTTTCCTTCAGATGTTGAGGTCTTCATAATCCAGTCGACCACCAGAAGAAAGAGGAAGGGAGAGAGTAGACAACCTTGTCTGACTCTGGTCCTTACTTGGAATGCATCTGTCAGCTGTCCTCCATGCACGGCGGTTGAATGTAGTCGACAGGATATCCTGAATGTAGATTTTGTGCTGTTTGGCAGTGGTCGGCAAGATATATTTTTAATCTTGAGGAGACTTATGTTCCCTGGCGGATTCAATCCCATGTCACCCTCCTTCACACACGTAGACGTCACCACTGAGCTATCTGGGTCGCGACTCTAACTTCCTATAAGGCTGAGATGTGCACCTCATTGACGAGTGCCAAATAGCTCCAAACCTATCTTCAGTGTTTCCGATTGACTACTTCCAACCACCATCTCACCTATCGAAATTGTGCACGCGATATCGAGACACCTAGAGTAGTTGTCACATAGTGATCTGGTCGATAATAATCGATTTGCATTAAAAAACCTAACACACATGACATTACTCATTACCCATTGATCAATCAATCAATCAATTATATATATCCCTAAGACACATTCCCATTACTTTCAATAGATACTAACTGGTCATGTGAATATGTTTAAAATTTATTCGGATAGTATGATAAATTATGCTTAAGATTCCGAATTGTAATTTAATTTCATGTATTTTTTTATTAGCTTCCTATATGTATTTCATTCACAGAGCAATTGAACCATAACGACAAGTAAAGTTTGACTCATTGAAAATATTTTTCTGATGGGCACTTATAGTTTAATCTAATAATGATTGTCATATATATTCATTATCACTGATAATTGTTTCTTTGTAAAAAGGGGGAAAAAAACGCTCATTTACTTGCCTCATCACTCACATTAATAATAATAATGATGATGAATGATAAACTTACACTGAACGATTTAGCCCCAAATACCATTCACAACTCAATTATACTAACTAACTGACAAATATGACAGAAGGATTTTTTTTTTATGTCAAGCAATATAAATAGTGATGTTTATATAAATAATAAATATACATTTTCATTCATTATTAGAATTCTGTTATAGTTTAATGCTCTTTATGGAATTATAATTTATTGATTTCCACTTTGTATTATCATTTTTCTTAAACTTAATATTTCTGCTTAGAATCACGTATTTCGATGAAAATTTAAATAATCCAAGTGAATTTTTGACGAGACAATAATTTTTATAAACGAACTAATCACGTATATAAGATAACAGATATCGGATTTTGGCGCGAAATTCATTTATTCATTTGGCTAAATAAATTTTTCGCATTATAACTGATATCAGTTCGTGATTAGAATTTTAAATCTAATCCCTAACCCTAATCATCATTATTTATTTATTTATTTGAACACATAAATACTGGTACAAGGAGGCAGCAGATACATATTCGCCACGCAAATCTCATTTGATATGTGTGAGGGCTGTGATACTGACCGGGTGCCCAAACCGAAGCAGCTGGTTTTCTTACGGGGCCACACACGGAACCTTCGACCTAAAGGTCTGATCCACAAGGCAGTGAAGCATCGTAAGGAGATGCAGTCCCATGGTAACCGGTGACCAACGATTGGTTCATACGCCATTTATTCCTTCAGGATAATGGAGCCCATGTACACCATTGGTTTGGAATCAGGGTTATTTTCCAACTCCCCAAGTTGGACTCTCCATGTCCACCAACGTGGTTAAAGTGCCGGTCATTCGCTTTTCGTCCACTCAATTTCGTAAACAACAGTAATGCCACGAGAGGTAGTGAGTAAGACTTCCCTGACAGAGGCTATATACGCGTGGCCATGTGAGAGCATTTGGAGGCTTTTAATCATCAACTGTAAATCATAATTCTAATTACTTAGTCCTTATTATTAGATGAACACTCTCAAGATTAGTCTAGCATCGCTCATAAATGATATTCTCACCGAATTTTTTTGCATTTCTAATCTGATCATAATAGATAATGGATATTACAGACATTTTATTCAGTGTTAATTTTATAATTCTGATTGTAAATAATACATAATCATGAAGTTCAAAATACTTGACTCTATCATGACGTGTACAATTATTTACTACCACTTAATTGCATGAGTAGTCTCAAACTGTTCACTCTTATCATTTAGATTATTTCAGTGTTTAAATGATCTATTTAATGAAAATACAACAATCATATGTGAAATAGAACTTTCTGTATTATATCACGTTTGTTGTACAAGGTTGTGGATTTTGAAATAAATCTATATTAAGCTTTAAATGATCATATTCTATGGCTCAGACCGGTCACTAACTTCGGGTCTGAGCCACGTTGTAGATGCAGACTACTTGGTTGGGGTCCGCGTGACTGTCGTAACCAATGGTTGGAGACTGTGTGATATGGCTCAGAATTGATCACAATGGCGTAAGTGTGTATAGTCTCTGTCTTCCTTTAAACTATGGGATTAAAATCGCTTCATATCTTTCTTCCTACTAACTATTTATTTCTACCTGTACTATATTCTTATATACAATCTTTCTTTTATATATTATCACCAGTGAATTAACTACTTCTATGAATTCGGTGTTCATCTTGTTGTGCAAATGAAGTATGACAACTTGGACCGATTCACGTATGTACCTGGTCCTATGTTGTAGCTAACTGACTGATTCTATGACATTATATTGTTAGTTCATAGTATTCTTCTCAAATACTCTTTTGTTTATTAGACGTGAACCAATATCAGAAGAGGTCTTATCATCAACACTTGAAACAAATCAATCACAACATATTAATCCGTTTCAAGTGTATAACTCATCATCATTGTCGCAATTGGAATCAATTTCTCGTAATATATCCTTTATTCCATCTCTTATATGGATTGGTTTAACTAAACAAGAATTTCATCTACAACCGTATCAAGTCAAATGCTTAACACTAAAAGGTCTAGCACCACAACTTGGAATTTATAACTTATGCACATTTAGTATAAAAGCAGCTCCACTATTACTATGTAATTCACATTCCAATCTAAACACAACAAATAAACCTTTGTTAATTGATCAAAATATATTTCCAATATTTCTTGTTAAAAATCATAATATGTTATCTTTGGTTATTGTAGAATAATTAAACAAAAAAAAACCATTGTGTCCATGTAATCAATCACCGTCTGCCATGTAAACACAATCCTTAACAACGTGCCTCTTTTCATTTTTGTTGAGATTCAATGTATACAATAGATGATAAAGTAATAGTTGTTTCATATTTAACACTGTTATCGTCAATAAAGCATAATGATGATTTAATTCTACTCGAATTGATGTTTATCTGTCTTATGATTTGTCTATCTATTTGTTTGATTGTCTACATTTCAGTTAGCCTTAAGCATAGATGCATCTAGTGTGTACATTTAAATTAATGCTCAAATGCTTTATATATATTTATTTTTTATTGATTTTTCGCACTTCTTCTATATTCTCACTTGTGAAATTTTGATACAAATAGATGAAAGGTTTAATGAAATAAATGAATGGAAAGTGGAATACCTGCGCGTTTGTACTATATGTATCCATGTGCAATTACCTTGAACCTTTTGTTTTTCTATTCGTCTTAGTTTACCACGTTAGTTTTCATTGTTGGTGATGAACACGTTTACGGTGTAATCGTAACTCTGATTATATTTGCATATATATATATATATCATGTGTGATTCTACAAAACTATTGGTATTGCTACTGTGTAACTAATTTTCCTTATTTTGTCATTTATTCATTTACATTTCCTTCTCTCTAGTTTCATTTTTATTCAATATTTATTACTCTTAATCTGTAAACTTTCACTGTTGTATTTGTGCACACTTCTTGTGGTGCGGCTTATGTTTCGTCGGTGAGCTTTCCAAGGTAGTTTCGTTTCTAATTTTCTTTGTAATTATTAATTTTGGGATTCTTCGTTGAGAAAAATAAATACATCTTAATTGATATACCAAATAAACCAGGCAGATATTTCTTGTAAATTCAGTAATATTGTCAGTTGAACAATAAATTGTTTCTAATGTTTAAATTGAAACCAAAAATTCCGATATCTCGGTGATTCAGTTCATCATTCAGAGCATTTTGTCTGTCAGTCTCAACGAAGAATCCGCTACGTATGGACATTGATTCAAATTGTCATACCTCATTAGCAAAGAGAAATAAAAACGTCATACCAAATCCCAGAATGGTTAAGGTAGTAACAGTACCAGTGGTAATAGGAAAGATTAAATATTAAAGTCACGACTCGAAAGGAAAATATAAATTAATAAAATAAAAACTAAAGGTTACGGAGAATTTAGAATTTGGGGAAAGACAACGAATGGATGCACCTGCGCCATCGCAAACGATTTTGAGCCATATCATTCAAAGTCTTTAAGCACTAGTCACGATAATCACGCTGACCCCAACCAGATAGTCTATACCTGTTGACATTGCGAAGTTCAGTTGTCAATGTACTGATGTTATGTTTTGGTTTGGTGACTTCTAGCTTTCTTCCAGCCCACTTCTGCATCAGAATACGTCACTCGTCGAGGTAGGTAATAGATGAGTATACATAACACATGTCCCAGCGGCTTCAGTTAATCAAGATTTACCATCTCTTCTATCAATTTGGCGTTCTTAATGAATATTATATTCTTAACCCGGGCATTGTTTAATCAGTGATCCCAAAGTACACAGGCAATGCTTCGAAGATACTTATAATCGAATACTAGTAACCTACAAATATCCTTAATGACCATGATCAAATCTATAAGGTAGAACGAAGTGAATTACTGCATAGTAAATCCGTCTTTTGATTCGTAGACGAGTGTCTCACTTACGCCACAGGTGACGCAATCGACAGAAGCCTTCTAAATCCGTGCCGAGATTTCGTGAGACGCCAGACCATCAGTACTAATGAGGCTCCTAAGATAAATGATGCCTTTAACTTCTTCGCTCCCTACCATTGCTTCAGGCACTGATCCAAGCCAATCATAAAGCAACATTTAGTAACTGGAGGGAGAGGATCATATCCTAAACATGCTGGTATTGTTGCTTAATATGATCAGAACACTCAGCATTTCGTCAACGTCTGCAAAAAATAGGATTATATCAACTACATATTCCACGTCAAATTATGAATCACCTGGTAGAAATCGATCCGTGAAAAGTCACAAGATGAAAGTGTTATTATCTAGAAGTATGTCCATGACAAAGTTAAATAAAATCAGGGAAGCGGACTTATTCCGATGACAGTTCGCCATAAGCTCTGACTGGACCAGTAGTGTTCGAGAAGAGATTCTGTACAAGGCCAATGTACTGCTTTGGTATACCTTCCAATGAAAGACTTCCACAGAACCTCACGATCATCAGGGTCTAACACCGCCTTAAGGTCAAGGAATAAATCATCATTAGGTTGAAGTCTAAGGGGTTATCTGTCTGTGGCCTCCAGCAAGACGCAGGCAAACACGTACTCGAACTAGACTATGATCTGAGTCTAGACATATGCTCAGGAATGAGCAACAGTCTTCTATTGAGCCTCGAACATCGGCTGATGGCAATGCGATCTTTTTAGATCCATCATTAGGTTGATTGTGGGGGTCGCTACGTCAGACTATGTTTCTCCTTGTGTTGGTGTTCGCTAGAATTAGACTACTATCTGAGCACAGTTGCAGCAGACGGTCGCCATTATCTGTCCACCGAGCTGCGACATCGTAAGACCCACCTAAATGTCTTTCACTTTGGTCAAGTTTGCCTAATAAGCATTAAAATCACCTGCCACTTCTCCTACATTGGAGCGTTTAACTTCTTGTAGAAGGTTGGGAAGCTTCACATAAATTCCATCGTTAGGTTCACCTGAGTCGCGAATAGTGGGAGCGTACACTGAAACAACGAAGAGGCAAAGGCGTCTTTTCGAGTTCTTACTGTCTCGTCCAGTCAGACAGCGCACAAGCGACTGCCTATTGAAATCCAGCCTAAGAAAACGTGTTCTATTTTAGAACTTAATGCTATACCTACACTAACGAGGCCAAGGGAGATTGCAGTGCGATCTCCAGATACACATAAGGTAAACGATCTGCATCAACATAGTGACAACGAGAGGTCAAATAAATGACCGTACTCAAATCCCGCGCGTTTTGGAGACGCAGCTTGCATTGATGGCTCAAGATTCTAGAATCCTAGCTAAAAAAGTCTGTCATCCTATCTGACACAAGGTTCGAACATTAAAAGCGTGGTTTCAGGAGTAGCATTTTGTGAACTCAAATCATTATCATAGGTGGTGTGTGGTGATAAAGATAAATGAGGAGAATTAGTCGTAGAGTAGTGAAGAATGATTTCGCAGATACGATTTACAAACGACTTACTGACTCAGTGAAACATTAAACGTTTTATTTGAAGTGTTCGGAATGTTGAGATCTACGGCGACGATAACATCAAGGCTATGTTGTCTGCTAAAAATACACAACACTGGTTTAACCATTCAACCTATTTTAGATATAAATAATTCAGTTTATCATACTTAGGAAAAATAGTTAGTAAAGATCCTCAAAGCGTTGCACAAAGAAATTGTTAAGCATAGTGTCAAGGATTCCTTTGAATTTATTGGTAGTAGAAAATCTGTTGGTCAAAAATAACTTTGATATCATCAGATGTATCGCGTTTACTTACTAACATTACCATACTGGAAACTGTGTATTTTATTTGCAGTGAACTGATAGAGAGTCATAAATAAACTCTAACTCTTATACCTGCAATAAAACAGTTTTGAGATACGTAGAAAATCTGCAATTGGACAATCTACTCATGTATATAGTACTGTACCGACCAAATATTAAAGAAATTTAGTGGGAATCTCTTATATCCTATTGAACTTAATGGATTGATATTATACATATATTTTCCTATTGTATAACTGTTCAGTAACTACGTTATGCATATGCATATTCCTCTCATTATAAGCTTCATTTTGACCCATAGATTATTATTGTTATATGATTTACTGTTCTTAAGTTATATTCAGATTATTGATTAGTCTTCCACGTTCACAAACACTTTTTGGCTTGACCTTGTATAAATGTTATTTCCTACTTTATGGTGTGATGAGGTCTATTTGGCTGGTATATAGACCAAGTATGTTTGAAATAGATGATTTCTATAGTGGGACCTGTTATTGTTGTGGGCGGGCTAGGCGAACAAAAGACCGATAAGGACGCTAGGATGCTCATACCGTCGAAAGTCATTGGTTTAGCACAGTACTAAGATTGAATAAGCCGTAATAAATCACGTGATAACTAGCGGGGCTTAGAGTCACAACAGAATCCTAAACCGTCCGAAAATGATTTATTTTGATGCTTTTGAAAATGAATTGGGTAATGTTCGCAACCCGCTTAGTAAGAATGGTTATCCAGAGAAGTTTATCAACAAACACATGTAGGAAACAAAAAAAGACCGATGTTGATAACCGTTGTGCATACAGTACTGTTCTTGGAACCACCTATCTTAAATGGAACTACAGAGTGAATAATAACTCAAAGGTTAGGAAATGCAGCGCAGGAAATATTTACTAATGCTAAACTGAGTCCAGTTTTCTCCGATCGTTTGGTGAAAGCCACCAATAAAAACATATAGTCTGAATCCGCCACAACCAAGTGTATCTATCAATTCGATTGCTCCTGTGGAGACAGTTCGGAAAGTCCATCATCGCATAGCGGAATGGTATTCGTCTTGGTTGCGTAGAGGGAAGTCAAGAGTTTTAGTGTTCTATTCTTATCCAATTAATGGACAAAAAAATGTCAAGTTGATCTGAGTGAAGTTTTTAGGTTATCCGCCATTTTCTATTAAAGTTACAACACGGTTCACGAGCTCATCTTTCGTATATTACTAAAGCCATCGGAATCCACTTCACAAAACCTAATCTTACATCTAAAAGAAGTTTGTACAAACGCTCGTGTTACCTAGACCATCGACATAGAAGTGTGTTTATATGAACTTTGATTATTCCCATTCACCCGGGGGCCATCTTCCGTTTTATTTTTATAAGGTTGACTAAGTCGATAAAGTGGTAAATACCATTAACGCTTTCCAGTTAGTAATAGTAAAGTCTCCACGAAATAATATTCTGTAAGCATTCAACATTACTGTTAATTTTATTATGTGATACAAACTACAGTTCAGGACTTCTTACCACCCGAAAGCTTTTAAAAATTTAAACTCAGCTTTATGACAGTTTAAAGCAAAGCCAAGGAGCATAATCCCGAGAAACAACTGGACAATGTGATTACTTACACTTTTTACGCGATCGCAAATTATATGCAAATAGCATGAAAATTCCTATACAATATTACTATA